GGACAGACTCTTTCAAATCACGAAACTCAGCTGGAACTCATAGAAATGATGCAAGTGGCCTGGCTAGGGCAGCAATCGGCATAATGAACCGCTGTTTCACATTTGCAACCTCACACCCTGGCCTGACGCGCATGCATTCTGCTGAAACATAGGTATGAGTACTCGGAGGCCATGGCGGCCTGTGAGGCTGCGCAGGAGGCGGCTGCAGCGGCTGCAGAGGAGAAGGCGCGGCTGCTGACCGAGCTGCAGGAGGCACGCGCGGCGCTCGCCGCAGCCGCCTCCGCGGCCGACACCGCCGGAGCTGCCCACGACGGCGAAGCCGCTTGCCTCGCCGCTCAGCTCAAGGTGGTTACTTCCTATCCTGTGATACCAAGCGTCACTTGATATAGTCCTCACTTTGTAAAGGGAGAGCGAGTTTCTGTCCAACAGAAGCACATCAATAGGAATTCGCATGTTTGCTTGCGGATGGGAAGGGTATAAAGCCCATGGAGGCCAGCAGTGAGCCGGTGGCCATGATCATAGGGATCACCACATGAAACCTTGCAGCCGAGGATGCTGCTTTGCCGACCACAAGCTGTGGGAAGTTTGAAGGCAACACTGACTTCATGCTTGTTCTTTCTGCGGCAGGAGGCCCACGAAGCGCTGTTTGAGCTGGAGATGGATGCGCTGGAGGCTCAGCGCATCACGCAGGAGACCCACGAATTCCTGGCGCTCGATGACGCCCCAGAGCCCATTGTGAGTGCACCTCTTCCCACCATAACTTATGCAAATGTATGCGGCTGTGCAGTGTGTCGGTGGGTCCAGGAAACAGGCGCTGGCATGCCAGCATGCACATTCGCTCATGGGCAAATGGAAGCATTATTTATGGGCATGGGCACCATGGGTGTTTTGATGGCTTATTGTTGGCTGCTTGCTGCAGGTTGCGAACGAGGCAGACATCAAGGAAATGCAACAGGTGCGCGCAGCAGCACAACTGTTCCCTTGTTTTCTGAACTGCTTGTTGCCCGAGATACTCAGCATGTCGGTGGGGAAGCTTCCCTCCTGCCCGCCTTGTTGAATTGGCAGCACCTAGTCAATACCTCTGTAGTTTGTGTGCTGCTTGCCACTTAGGGTGAACGCAGCATGTGTATGCAGATACCCTGGTGGCCATACTGTTGAATGCACAGGCTGAGTTGCGCATGCATTCAGGTGGTGGAGGCGGCGAGTGACGCAAACAAGGCATATGAGGAGGAGAATGAGCGTCTGCGCGAGGAGCTGGAAGCCGCGCAGGAGCAGCTGGCCGCAGTGAAGCAGCAGCAGGCCAGCCTCACCACGGTACATTACATAATCACACCCTCTTACGCAGTAACAGTGTCAGTGCTCTCCTCAGGCTGCTTGCATGTTGACGAGGAAGGGTGCTGGAAGAATAGATACCCATCTTTCTGGCATCAAGACTGCTGATGCACCTGCATATCGTATTGTGTTGTGAAGTGCTGTCCCATTGACTGGGGCCTTTCTGGCCTTCTCCAAGCGTCTCTTGCATGTCAGAGCCATACACACCATCAGACATCTCATGGCGGCTGCCTGAGTTGGGTGTTACTTTGTCGATGTGGGTGCTCCTGAAGTCATCATCCAGAGGGCAAAGTGTTGAGGCTTGTTGTGCAGGCGGAGCAGACTGAGGCAGATGGCAATGTTAGCACAAGAAGCAACGCCACGGTGCTGGCAGCACAGGAGCAGGAAGGCGATGAGTCAACCCCGACTAAGCGCCCCAGTGAGACAGCGGCGCTGGTGAGCGCGGCTGCTGCGGCCCACGCGGCGCCCGTGACATTCTTCGGCTCCCACCGCGTCTTCCTGGGACCTCGCACTGCCGGTGAGACAACTGATTTCCTCTCTGGAACTGTACCAATGCAGTAGATTGATTGACAGCTACACAGTTGATCAGCCACTGTTGTGGCCAAACAGCCACTTCACCTGTAATACCTGACATAATGCCATGGCCTGCATTGATCAGAGATGCACAGGCTTCACACCCGCCCCAGCTATCAAGGTGGAAAGTACTGGGTCTTTTTCTCTCTTCTCCCCATTGCTGGAAGAATGCAGGGGACTAAAGTATCTAACATTTTGGGTTGACTGGTGTGTGTTTGCGCTCCTTGCAGATGTCCCCGCGGCCAGCACGGCAGCTGCAGGGCCGGCGGCGTCGGTTCCGCGGCGGCAGGCTACGCCCCAGAGCGCCAGCCCTGTGGCCGCCTGGTGCACAGTCACCGACCGCCTACGCCGCCTGCGAGCCGACCTCGAGGTGACTCACCATGTCTTTCTTTTTACTGACATCTGCAATTCTCCTTTTTTGACCCCCCATCTCTTCAATGAACCTCTGCTGTGCACTCTTCTTTTTGTTTCTGTGATGTCAGATCACATGTGGATCACTGCTGGACACCCTCTGTGTGGCCCCTTTGACTTGAGCAGTCGCAGCAATCGCTCTGCAGGTTGCAGCGTATGGGTCCTGCATCAGTAGCAACTCAAACATTGCATACCATATGGTGTCCGCCATTGAGCAGTGCTGCCCTGCGTTGAGAGTGGATTTTTGAACTACCATGCTGAGATCCACTTGGCCCGCCTGTCCAGGACACGAGCAACACGATGCACCTGCTGCGCTCGGCGCAAAAGGTCCCGCTGCCGCTGCCGGCGCCTGAGCAGGAAGCGACTGAAAGCCTCAGCCTGGAGCCGATTGCACTTGTGCCCGAGACAGAACCCGCTGCTGAGCTGTCACCTGTCAGCAAGGCAGCGCCTGAGGTCCCGCCAGTGATCAAGGTGGGCGGCTGCCATAGCGCTGAAATCTCTATTGCTTAGCGGCTGCAAAATCGAGTACAGCTCACCTGGATATTTTCCCTTGTTTCCCCGATCTGGGAACACTGTGATTGTGCGGCTGGGGTGCCTACAGAATTCTGCGAGAGATTGGCTCCAGACAATGTGAAGTTGACGGCAGGCATGCAGTTTTATTAAGCTGAGGTGTTCTTCTCCCGGCCACAGGCTGCATCGCCAGCCCCTGCCGAGCAGCCAAGCAGCGAGGGGGAGGACCAAGCAGCGGCTGAGGCAGTGGCAAGGGTGGATGAGCGGCAGCGGGAGGAGACCCCCGAAGCGGCTGCCGAGCGCATCCAGCTTGTGCTGCGCATCGGCCACCTCACACCCCCACCGGTAAATTTCTCACGCCCCTCCACCTTCCCCTTTCCTGCCCCTTTCACATGCACACACAGGGGACTCCAAGTTGATTTAGAGTCCCCTGGCACACATGCTTGAAGCAGAAACTGAAAACTCTCTGTGTGGTGTGATGAAGCTAACATAATGCTCTGAGTAAGTTGAGGCACGACATGCTTGGAAGTCGTCACAGTATGTGACACGCCGGCATGTACGGCATGCTGGCAATGGCGGGTCCCTGTCTTACTCCTCCTGGGATCAAGCTTGTCAGTCCTGCACATGATGCTCATGAGTTGATTGAGGGTGTCTATTGCACGAGAAGAAAGTAGATGCATGCGCAGAACTGATGACGTTACTCTGGATTTTTGTTGTAGGAGGAGACTGAGGCATGCACGCCTGAGCCCGAAAGGAGGGCGCCGGTCCGCGAGGAAGCAGAGACCTCACCAGAGATGGACACCCCGGTGCAGCAGCCGCGCTTTGGCCTCTGGGTGCGACGCTCCTCCAACCCACAATTACATTCCATTTTTAGACCAGTGCAATGATTGCAGTGTGCAGCTGGGCTCAAGCTTCTTTTCGGTCATTGGGTGCGTGCATGCTTACAGCGCGCAGCCTTAGTGAGATGTCAGCAGGGCTCTGCCTGGGGATAAATGCTGTGAACTGTCTTGAAAGTGGAATTTGGAAGAGAAGCAGACAAAACCATGAGGATCACAAACGTGCCTCCTGTTGTACTCCAGACCAATCATGAGCATTCAGAAGATGTGTGATACTCAGCGAGGAATGTGGCCTTGCAGGGGAGGCGCGGCGGAGCGCGCAAGAAGGCGAGTGCATCGGAGGAGCGCGAGTTCCGGCGGCGAGCGGCCGCGCTCAAAATCCGCATCAGCCCCTACTTCAATCGCCGCCGGGACGCCACCGATGAAGAATGACATCAGCCAATATCACGATTTTAAAGTTTGTTTCTCATACCTAGGGATCCGCGTGCCTGCAAGTGCATGTGTGTGCGAGTCTCAGACTCTGAGAATGGTGCGGACTGCATGGAGAGGCAATCCATGCAACAGTAGGGTGGCTCCAGGATGATAGCCTGTGTGTGGATGTTGCTGCTCTTGAAATGTTTCAAAGGACTCCAATCAGATTTAAGGGCCTTATGTGCACATGACAGCAACCTTGCGCAATTTTGCCGTGTACATTTGACAGAAATTAAGCTCATGAAATGCCCTGGGATGCATGAAAGCGTGAAGGATGTACAGGCACACCAGCGTTTTTAACCCCAAGGCCACACGATCTCAATTTGTATATAGATCTTTGAAAGGAGATATGCTATAAGACTTGAAATGGAAGTAGCTCCTGATATGCAAGCATTGTGGGAATCTTATGCAGGCAGGGACGTTCCTGCTAAGTAGTAATAGTCATTGCCGAGTCCAGTTTGAAAGGCCTGCTGCCAAAGTACACATGCGCCACATCAGCAAGTGGTTCTGTGGCAAACCTTTCAAATCATTCCAGGTTTCCTTCACTAATTGTACAATCTGATACTGGCTTGCCACCCCTGAACCAGGACCTTATAGGCTGTAATCACAATAATATTGCAATCAAGGGAAGCAGCTACCATGGTGGCCACAGCAAAAGCTTTTCTTGACAAGCTTTCAAATAAGCACTTCATAAGTATACAGCTGTAGTGTGATGAGCCTTTGCAAGCAATACTTTCTTAACTAAGCGTTCATGTGTTGTTGCAAGTCAGAGACTGCACAAACCCCAGACACCGACAATATGGATTAATAAGAGACGTGCCCGTCATGATATCAATCTAACTAATTTGAACGCACAAAGAAATAATCCTAGATGAGCGACTCCTGATTAGCCGGGGACGTGGGCTGCGAGGGGGGCTTCTGCGTGAATGGCACTGGCTGCAGGCCGCGCGGCGGAGGCGCCAATTTTGGCGCCAGCGGAGCAGCGGCCGGCCGCAGCTGCGGCGCGCCAAAGAAGTCGTCCAGCTGCGCAACGGCGTTCCCGCTCCCGGCAGACAGCGGCGCCGCCGCCCCTGAAAAGCCCAGGCCCCCTGGAACATGCACAGCTATCATGCTCCAGGACCCTGGAATACTCCGGATACTCCAACCTGAAGGACTAAAAGTATGTGATCTAAATCTGCAGGATTCAAACACACCTGCCTGACCTCTAGGTGGGGACAAGCTAGCAAATGACATAACAGCAGGCCTGAAAAGATATGCCTGGCCTGTTCTGAGGAGCTCTCAAACATACTGATATCTAAGCATGATTACCCATAATTATCCAGAAAATCAACCAGTTGGCTGGAGCAAGGCCCAAATGATACTGAAGTAGCGCCCACTCAAGAATAAGTGCATCTGGTGCTATTGATGCTGGGGTGAGTGGGTACCTGAGCTCTGAGGGGTGAAGCTGGCCAGGCCGCCTATCTCCAGCTGCGGGTCTTTCCAGGTCGGGTCCTTGAACAGGTCGTCATCGTTTGACACTGCCGACGCCACGCCTGCAAACCAGACACAGTCAAACCTCATTCCAACTCTGCAGAGCACACAGGCAGCTTACTGCATGAGGCGGCAAGCAATCGAGACACTTGCAGTGTACGCAATCTGCCGCTGTGTTTCTTCCATACACCTCACTACTTTTCCAGAGAGCAGGCAACTTGCAGTAAGTGACTGGTTTGTAATACAATTCTGAGCTGTTCTGCACAAAATATACAAACCAACAGATGGGGATCAACAAAGCTTTTCACCGGCCACGCTCCCAGAGCCCATCCAGTCCAGCGGGTCTCCAATAGTAGTAGCAAATGCGCTGCCAGTCCCATTGCCCAGCGAGCTTCTGCCTGCAGCAGGCCTGCTGCCCATCGAGGCCCCTCCAGAAGCCCAGCCCTCCAGGCCGCCGCTGCCGCCCGCCGAGGAGGCAGCTGCCGGGAAGCTTCCCGGAGGCTTCACCGCCAGCTGCCCGGACCCAGCCTGCATAGGTCTCTGCGCTGCGCTGAGCTGTGCTGCAGGTGCATTCACCGGTGCTCCAATCCATGACGGCAGAGACGAGGACTCTCCAGACTGCGACCCATTGGACGAGGCAGTTCTGCCCATTGCCGGGGGCTTGCCGGGGGGCCCGGTACTGGCTGCGCCGCTGCCGGCGCGCATCGGCGCGGACACGGGATTGCTGAAGGAGGATGTGCGGCGCTGGCCGGGGCCCGGCTGGCGGGCCCCGGCGGCCGCAGCTGTGGAGCTGGCAGGGGTTGAGGTGGAGGAGGCTTGGGCCGTGCGCGCGGCCGGCGGCGCGTCTTCGAAGTCTCCGGCGCGCGCAACCTCGATGCTGTCCAGCAGCTGTTTCACCGTCCTGCAGAGCGCGTGACACCTTTGAATATGATTGTCACACCGGTGGCAGCTTCTGCAAGGGCGGAGCGCAGATCATTGTCTGTCCGGATGCAGCAGAGGCAACTGGGTGCATGATGTACGAAATGGCAAAAGGAGTTGCAGCAGGTAAGCGTTGGAAATTGAATCATAAATGAGGAGATGGTGGCTGCATCTGGAACAGGACAAGAAAATATCCATGGAGTCCAAATCGTCTCTGTCTCCTTCTCCCTAGACCAAACGAACAAACAGGTAAAGACGAACCAGTCTCCACGGATGATTCCTGTCCTCTCCAATTACACACATGTTCCAAACATTCTCAGTTTGCCCAGTATAGGGTGTCTAGGAGGTAATAAGGGGCGCGCACTGCAGCGCGGCGGCAAAATGGCCGGGGGAGAGCGAGGGTGATGTCAGCAGTGGCGTCAGCACTGGCAGCACCTTCTCGGCCGCCAGCTCAGCGCCCCACTGGTGCGCGAGTGCGCTGCCCAGCACCAGGCAGCCAGATACCGTCCCTGGGCTGCGGTCCACCGCCGTCACCTGCACCATGTCAGCATATTAGTCACCTACCATGGATATTCAACATGTGCCAGCACCTGCCGGCGTTACAGGGGCTCAACAGCACCACCAGTGCTTCTGCTCCTGCAGACCAGGCGCCAGAGGGCACAGGCCATCCACATGCAGCCTTCAATCTTTAGTAATTCGAGTTTCCAAGCGACCAGCATGCTTACAACCACAGATGACTGATGGCCTAAAGAAGGTCCCCCTGCCAATAAAAGAGCCATGCACGGCCTGCTGCGGGGTGCAGGCCTCACCTGACTCACCTTATGGATGGTAGGAGGGAGTGCAGAGAATGTCCATAAGGCAGGCAGCACCAAAATATCTTGAACGCCATGCGATGGGAGCCAATGAGTCATCACCAACAACTTATCACCACGTCAAAAATCGAGGGCTGCCCACCTTGTGGATAGTGGAGAGGGATCGCAGCGCATGGTCCTTGGGCAGCCGGGCGGCCAGTGCTGCGAGCGCAGAGAGGGCCGCCACGCGCACGCCAGCATTGGTGGTGGCCAGGCAGAGCTGGTTGATGCGCGGCACCAGATCTGTCTCCACCACTGACAGATCCGCACGCTCGGCCACCTTGGGCACGCGCTTCAGCATCTCCTCCTGACACCTCGGCTCCCCTGGACGAGAGCAGGGGGCCACATTCGAATGGAGAAGGCCGAGGTCACATATTGCACGGTGACGAGAGAAACTAGTAGATGGGAAGTCATTAGTAAAAGTGAAGATTCTGCATGCCCTAATCGAGCAAAGGGCCATGCTATTCAGGCACCAGTCCTCCTTATTCACTTTGACACAGCTTGGGAATCAGGAGCTCCGTCGTGAACCTCAGGATGCCCATGCGTGTGCAAGCAAAGGAGAAAGACTGACTTCCCATTGTTGACATGGTGACCTGTTGAGAGTCATGCAATGCAGGGATCAAGGGCTCTGATCTTTGCCAGGAGAGAACCTTTCGTAGAATTGCCTCCTCCCCGCCAAAACCCATAAGCCAACATCTGCAGTGTCAAGCAGAGAACGCGCGCACCCTGGTCTGCGGCGCGGCATAGCAGCGGCAGGATGACTCGGGTGACAGGATCACGCGGCAGCCGCGCTGTAAACACGTCAGCGTTGCGCGTCAGCAGCAGCAGGGCGTCCCCCTTTGCGGAGCCGCACAGTGAGGTCATCTGTGGGAAGAAGACCTCCTCAAAGTCCTGCGCATGGATGCACAAAAAAAATTCCCTTATGATTTCCCTTATTTGACCTCTCACAAACCTGCAAGATGGCGATTCAGGGCTCAAAGCAGAATGCTGAGGACCTGAGCATGCATAGCGTACTTCTGCCATATTCCAGCATCACTTGCAGACACTCGAGAAGCAGACCTTCTCTCAGACATGCAGGAGCAAAATGATGAGAGGTAAGTGTGGCATAGGAGCATTTGAAAATTTGAACGGGATGCCGCATACAAGCAGAAGAGGAATGAGAAGGGAGAGCGGCACAAGAGCAGAAAGATTAATATGGAAGGTACAGGAGGACATCAAACCTGCGTGGCCTGCTGCTCGAGCATGGCTAGCAGCAGCGGCAGCAGCACCGGCTGCAGCGCCTCGGTGCGCGCCTCGGCCAGCAGCGGCGGCAGCATGCGGAACTTCACCACGCGCGCATCCACGCGTGGCCAGATTGAGCCCATGTCCTTCAGAAATGCGGCCTTCTGCAGGTTGTCGCGCTGGATCATGGTGTCCAGGAAGCGCACCGCCCTCAGCAGCATGTCCTCCTGTCATGTGCACACCAAACGCCGTTCCTATAAGTATCAACAACCCATGCCAATTCCCTGATGAAACCCCATCGGACAGGATACCCTTCAGGACCCCTACCAAACTCTGTTTCTATCGGCCTGACTGAGTGGAAGCACTGTAAGACCCATGCAGATTTTTAATTCCCGGATACCAAGAATCGTGCACGTGCCTCCCCACCATGAAGGTTGTCTACCACGCATGTAAAGCATGACCAGGGACCAAGAATAGCTCACGGCTCTCCATGAGCATGGATACCCCTTTAAGGGGCACTAAGATCCCTGCAACACCCTGGCTTTGTAACATCCCCTGCAATGGCGGCCAGCGTGTTCCTGCGCCGGCTGCCGCCCCGGCTACCGCCCCGGCTTACCCCTGCATGCACAAGAGAAAGGCACCTGGAAGTAGCCGGCAGCAGTGAAGGAGATGGCGGGGGGCCGCAGGGAGGGGCTCTGCGCGAGCATGGCCTGGAAGGTGGGCCGCAGTGACACGGGCGCGCCCTCCATTGGCGCCTGGTGCAGCGATGCCATGCGGCCGTTGTAGTCGTCCAGGTCAAACTGCACCGGCAGCAGCGCCTTCCCCGCCAACACCTCGTATGCAAACGCGGCTGCACGGTGCACACACAACATAATCTATTGTGAATATATATAAAAATGTACTATCTAATTTCAAACACAGCTGTGAACATCCATTTTACCAAAGATAAATTTTGAGGAAACTCTGGAATAGGCAATGAGCAGGGGATTGTCAAGTATGTTCTTGGTGGTCGCGGATAGAACATGATGTCTAGAAGCATGGCTACACATGCCAGGGCCGTGGCGATCTCATGTTGCAGCAGAAGATTTGATGGGAAAATGCAAGGCAAGGACCAGCACTGGTGTGGGAAATCACCCAGTGAGAAGATGTCGGCAGCAGTGCTGATGCTGGTTGCGGCGTTCTGGCCGTCAGCGTTGGCAAGCTCCGGCGCAACATATGCCAGGGGCGGCTGCGACCACCAGGAACTTCATAAACAAAAACTGCAAATGCATTGGATTGTGCTGCCAGTTATCTGTAGATGTACTGTATAGATCAAGAAACACGGTGGCCCAACAAAATCACAGGAAGAACAGATAGGGGGTTTCGGAGTGGGCCTCATTACACACATTGTCACTCCAATAATGCAGCAAACTATAATGCAGTGAACATGACAGCTGCTCTAACTAAGTATACATAGGTTGATGTAAATATTTCTCTGTCTGTCGTCTGCCAGGCCTGCCAATCCCTGCTTCGTACAGTACAAATTTCCACCACATACAGAAATAAAGAAAAGGCACAGGAGGCCGTGTGAGGGCTGCAGACCTGCTGGTAACGCATGAAGCGCTCCATGGAGGGGTCCCTGTAGGACACAGGGATCACTCCGACGGTCTCAACCGTGATAAATGCAGGGCTCGACAGTGAGAGGCCCCCCAATTTCCAGGCGCCCATACTTGTGATGAAGACTGTGTGCGGGCACAGCGCCCTGTGCACCTGGTTTGCCTCCGTGTGCAGGAAGTGCAGCCCGTCTGCCACCTGCCACTCACAAGCCAAGTGCATCAGAGGAGAAACGGAGGCATGTGACTCAGTCTGATCAGCGTACTTGCTCTCATGTCAAGAATGCAGAGCCCCTGCTGCAGCAGCAACCAAGACTGTTGACCACTCGATTCGACCAGAAAGCCATTTTTTTACCATGCAGCATGGCACTGCCTGCTGTACCTCTGCGAACCCCTGTGATTACAGAGGTGTCCATCCTCGTCCTGCACCAGGTCCTCCTTGACAAGCTATGACTACAAACTCTTAGGTCCGCTCACCTGCAGCAGGCCAGCCTTGATCTCCAGCTCGGACAGGCGGGTGTCCCTGCGCGCATCAGCGGCCGCCGGCGGCAGCGTGGCAAAGCGCGCCAGCAGATCCGCCGCAGATGCAAAGATGGGCTCCGTGACTAATAACAGCTGCGTGCGCGTCTCCTCCAATGACTCCACCACCTGCAGAGTCAGTATAGGAGACCGATTTTGTAGGCTGGATTTGCATGACTGTAACAAATGCTCCTGTAAAGAGCACCGGCACCCATGCCCCGGTCCTGCGGATTGCCGCTGATGCCTGGAGAAAAGGTTACATCTTTCAGATTGGGTGTAAAGCCTGGCCTTCAAAGGAACACAGGTGGGAGACGCACTAGCAAAGGGCTGCCAGAACAGGGCCAACAATGCAAGACAGAACAGAACTTTCAAAGGAGGGCGCTTGGCGTGGGCTTTAGGATGCATGCAGATGCTTGTGCAGGGGAATCTGACCTTGACAATGGCCGGGTGCTTGAGGCGAGTGAGGCCGCTGGCATCCCTGCGAGCTGTCTCTGCTGCAGCCTCGATTTCTGCAGGGCTGGCGCCTGCCTCTGCCATCGACCGCTTGTCCAGGATCCATATGCTGACCGCTGGGTGCGCCACACCTGCTTACCATGCGACCTGTCTAAGTCGGATAATGAGGATGGAGAGTTGACAAGTTTATGTCTTGTGTTGTTGCTGACGAGATTGTGCACGCAATGGGCATGCGATGCTGCAGGATGGGTCACGCAAGGTAGCACCTTGGACTGAGGCTGGCATCACATTTGTATGGATGGTGCACGCCATGCTTGCCTGATTAATGGCACAAATGCACATGATTGCCTAGGTGCACGAAGAGATGCCAATCCCACCTTCTTTCTTCGCTTTGGCAGAGTAAACTTTCCAGCATCCGTTCAGTCCACCTGTTGCCGTCTGACCCTGCAGGGAGTACTCTCGGAGCGCCTTTGGCGTACCAGTCACCTGTTTCCAGCACCAACAAGGTCAGTCCAGTGAGTGCCCTCGCTTCTTGTGCGACAGATCTAAACAACCAACTTTGCAGATCCTGTAAAACGCACCGATGCACCGAAGTCCCTCGCACTTGACGAGGCCGATTGAACGACCTGTCCGAGAGCATTTTTGATCGAAGCAAAGTTCATCTGACGGGAACCCTCTGTCAACTTCAACTTGTCAAACACATGCCAACTACCACCAACTTCATACTTCTCACTAACAGATATTGGTTGTTACGATCTTGACAAGACTAAAGTACTTCACTCTCAAAACTTTTTGATTCGATAGTATCCAAATTCGAAGTGCTCTACTGTCAGATCGCATGTCTAGTGTGGGAGTGACAACAGGCCTGGCCAGTTTTGGCCCCAACCTGGCATGCAAAGTGCAGATTCCTCCTCAATCGCTCTTGTATCCAGGAAGGAAGTACACCTGTAGTGCTTGTGGGTGCATTTTGCAGCATTTGGTAGAGAAACCAGGTCGATGAGTCTATTTTACTTACATATGTAACACGATGGATTGGTGTGTCTTAGGTGATATCGCTGGATGTTCATATCCGTAACGAAAAGAGTTGCAATAGATATATAGTGGCGTTTTATGTAGGATCCTAACAGGCGAATCTGGGTATCCTTGTTTCAGCATGGAACATAGCTCAGGCCTAGAAGTGAGCTTTGAGGCAGCAGCTGCCCATGTAGCATCGATTGCAGGCACTGAAAAACTACAAAGCGATTCCTTGCTGCAATTGTATGGCCTATACAAGCAGGCGACCAGCGGTCCCTGCACTTCCTTTCGGCCATCCTTCTTTGACAGGACGGCGAGGTCAAAATGGTGAGTGATTTTGGAGCCACATGCCCTGACAGCATCTCATGATGTCCTTTGTCGAGATCCTGTGGAGCTTGCTGCATCATCCAATTGCCGCTGCAACGTGAAAACCTTTCTGTTTGGAGAACCAGACTCACTTCTGTCTTCTTCAGGGCAGCTTGGAAGCTACTGGAGGACATGCCGGCAGACCAGGCACAGCAGGAGTATGTTGACCTGGTCGACTCCCTCTGCCCCGGCTGGCAGGAACAAGGCACTGACAAGCCTGCTACAGGCGGTCCTGGTGGACCTGTCTTCAGCTCGCTCGTCAACAGCATGGAGGATAGCCAGACAGGCCCGGTAATTGCACACACCCCATCTGTCTGACTTTGGGAGCTGCAAGGGCATGCACCAGTTCTTCTGCATGCACACTGGCATGCACGACCGATTGCTTTCCATGTGGATGGTGGCCTTGATGCATGTGGCACAGTCTACATCTCATATGAGTGATATGCTGAAGCTTTTTGTGTGTCTTGCGGTCAGCCCCTGGGGAGCTTGCATCTGCTTGCAAGCGAGGGCGATGTGGCGGCAGTGAGTTTCCTGCTGGACAATGGAGCTGACGTGGACTCGCGCGATGCTGAGGGCTGCACTGCGCTGCACTGGGCGGCTGACCGCGGCTCCTTGGAGGTAGGCCCACAATATTGCCTTGACAATATTGCTTTATATGTGTCAGGTGGTGTCATTGTATGTGCATGCACCTGCATGTTGCGTGGACGTGCTGAATAGGAGCACTTCCAATACCATTCATTTTAGAAAGGAACACTTGCTGATATTTGTCCTGAGGATGTATCTTGATAGAGCAACTTTGAGGGGTGAGTACAATGTAGGGGGGGTCTGGCTGTGTGCAGGTAGTCCAATTGCTGTTGGAAAGGGGCGCTGCCGTCAATGCACAGGACACAGACGGGCAGACGCCGCTGCACTATGCAGCGTTGAATGACCAGCGACAGGTGTGCCTCCTTCCAACGTTACCCTTGCAAAATATCGATTGGGGGACCTCACTGTTGCTATGATGCACAGCGTGTTGTGGCAAGAGTACCAAACCAATCCTCCCTTCAATGCGCCCCAGGTCTGCTCAGCGCTCCTGTCTGGAGGGGCCGATTCATCCATCAGGGATCACGCAGGAAAATTGCCGCAGGAACTTGATGAGAACATCAGCAGCTGGGACATTTGGCCTTCTGTCCAATAGATGAATTAGAATGGTGGCACATGGACCTTGTATCCTTTTAAGAATGTCTTAGTGTTTCAGCATTCATCGCTATGCGATTTTGCTGGTGCTCCAAATTGCCCAGCATCCATTTCTACATTGGATTTGGGCAGGCTACAGACTGTGGACGCACTTTGGCGAGCACCTCTTTAGTGTTGGGCGTACTAAATATTAATTGTCTTGGAGAAGCCCCAGGTGGATTCAGCCAGGTGACTGCATCGTGATTTCAGATTTGGAAATGGTAGCTTAGTCTTGCGTAAAAATGCTTGTGATCACATGATGTTTTCCTTCTGATTGAAGCTGCTTTAGCTGAGCACATGAAGCTGAAGCTGTGCTCTCTAACATGACCATTGTGGCGGTTTGTGAGTGCAATTATTTACAGACTTGAGGTCAATGCAGCCTGGAATGCAGAATGGAAATTTGAGCTGCATGTCATTATAGAAAGAGGAACGCAAACATTAGAGCAGAGTGAGCGCGAGGGAGTAAGGAGAAAGGGCTGCCTTGCAGCGTTAATGCAACGTGTGCAAGATATAAGACACCTCTGGTCCTGAGCAGAATTAATCACATTGCATACACGCGGTCAAGTGTGGCTGTCATAAATTTCTGGACAAGCAGACAAGTCAGCCAAGCTCAACCTGCAGCACTGTTGACCGATATCCTGTACCCTGAGGTCAAGTGCAACGGTTGCAACCAAGTGGGGATCTCTTCGAGTGCCCGCCTTGTGCAAGGAATCTCCCTGACGCGTGCGCGTGAGACTTCCACTGAATATAGTTGAAGGCAATTCTCCCATTCCTACTTTAGAGAACCTGCAGCGCTGCGCATGAATTTGCGTCTGTGCCAGCTTGGCTGCTGGCAGTGATGGGCCACTGGCAATTGCAAAAAGATTATAGCCAATGATACCCACGATACCCAATGATAGTGCACTGATCAGCCAGATATTAAACTTGTTGAACCCACTGTAAAGGTGCACCAGCACAGAGCCACTGGTAAGGTCCCGGCAAGCAAGAAGAAAACACAACCGCCTTGGTCTTGTCAGCACTGAAAACCATTCCTGTCCGCTCACAAAACTCGGCAGCAGCATCAAGCAGGCGTTGCAGGCCATCAGGGGTAGTGGATAGCAAAGTAAAGTCATCAGCATAGCCCAAATCAGGAACACATGCACCAGTGCGCAAAGGCGGCCCGCCCGGCCCCGGGCCGGCCCCCCCCCTGCGGCCGGCCCGGGGCCGGCCCCAGGACATCTGTGCAACAAGTGCCTGTGCAATCCATCAGCAAACAAGCCAAACAGGGTGGGGCTCAAAGGGCCACCCTGCTTCAACCTAGTCTCAGAGGGCAGACTCATGGCGGGGGCCTGTTCCCAATTTTGACTGCCACCGTGGGTTTTGCATACAAGGACTGAATGGCTTTGAGCATGCGGCCACCAATGCCCAGACGCCGCAGAGCCTCCCAAACCAATGACCTGTTGACTCTATCATATGCACCCTTCAGGTCAAGGAAACAACAACACAGGGGCTTTTGGCAGCACTCTGCCTATCTATAAAAGGCTGCAAGGTGAATGACTAGTGGACAGTGGAGAGCTTAGGCCTAAAGCCAGCCTGAGTGTCTGCGCGCAGCCCAACCCCGGGGCCCCTCTGTACACCTGAGAAGCCGAGCATTTCGAATGTTGGCATACAGGCGGATGATGGGCTCAGTCACTGCAATGGGCCTGTAAATTTACGTGTCCAATTTGCTGCCATTCTCATACACAGGGGTAATCAGACTACCGTTCACAGAACCTGCCAGTGGTACTTGCCCAGCCACAAAGGCAGAATTCAACACAGCAACCAGCGAGAAGGGAGCCTGCTGGTAATGTTGGCATGGGTCCCCTCTGTCAAATGCCACATGCCTTGTGCACCCGATGGCGCAGCGGACAACCCCCGCCGGACAGGAGAAGCAGAAAATATCAAAAGGGAAGCTGCCATGAAGCTGACTGAAAAAAAAGACCAGCAGATACTTTTGGGAGCAAAATATCTCTCGATATTTTGTGATATCATTCTTGGCACAAAACTCTGAAATAACGCTGAGCGTGTGTCGCCAAACACCACTTGCTTTGGCCGCTTTTGCTCGAGTGAGTGGTGGTTCACACACATCAATGCGCAGGCGACCACATCGACTCAAGACGTCGAGTCCAGCGGTGATCTTGACGACCATGAATTGAATACCTCTGTGTGCTTTTGCTGGAATGTCTAAAGTCTGCCGGTTGCCTGCCTCTGCCAATACATTTGTCCAAACTTCAGGGGTCCCAGCCTCGTCTGAGCTGAGCTCTTGCACTTGCCTCACGAATGATATCAATATCGTCTGAAAGGGTGAGTTGACCCTCTTGTGGTGTTGAATTCTGCGACCGCTGTTCGCTTGTTTCCCTCACATAGACGTGCCGATGTGATTGCCGGTCACCATGGCCCGTGCACACCACCAGTACCTGGCTATGTTCACTCGTACCTATGTAGACAGGCGGCATTCCCACGAATTGTTGATTGATTCCACACTTCAAGAAGAGTCTGTGAGCATCGCCTGATATGCGGCATCAGGAAGGAACGGCCGATGCTGTAGGAATATATGAGTCCCAACGTAGTGGATGTCAATTGTACAGGTACAGAAGTCGATTGGGGAGAAGGTGTCTGCTCCAAGCCAATTCTCAGCGCAGCTGGTCGATGCAAAGGCAACCACTTTGCAAGAAGTCAGGTGAGTAGTCTATAGGCATTTTGCAGGTGTGCCACATTTCGATCATCGTATTGTGTTTCCGGTTGTCACTATGATGCCCAGCAGCAACATATTTCCAATGTGTCCTCATTGGCTGTTCTTGCTGGGTGCGCACCTGATCTGCTGGGCTTCATATAATGCTTTGCACCTAACCTTGCTCTGCACTCGACCTTGGAGGCTGCCTCGGAGTCTCAGCGTTGCCAACTGGCAGGGTCATCATGTCAGACAAACCTCGTCTCAGCCGCTAATTCATGCCCATCAATCACAAGCCATTCTCGGACAGAAGCCAAGCCAGCCTCAGATACAAGCAGCTACTGATGTGCCTGCAGGTTCATGCTAGGTTTGCGACGACTCTTATTCTCGGACGCCTACCTGGAGGCTTGCTTCCGAGAGCACTGGGCTGCCAGCTCGCGAACATTACTAAATCTACTGTCACTGCTCACATTGGTCATGTGGGCGATAGCCACTTGGAATGTGCACACCCACTGCAAGTGGTCGCGCTTCCTCTGCCGCACACTGGAGGTCATCTGCGCATGTGGCGTGGCCGGCCATGCCTACATCCAGTACCAGCTGAGGAGGCATCCCAGTGCGCTCCTTTCCTGGCACACGGCCTACTTGCCGATCCATGACAGCCACTGCATACTCTTGCGTTTGGTCATATTCATCCTGATGAAAGAATTCACAAATAAATTTCCTGTGCATTGTGGATCAGTGGTGACACTTTTCCATACCTTGCTTGTTGAGTTGAGTGCTGTAGGTGTTATTGTAGACCCCAAAATGCATGCAGGGTGGCACGTAGAGGAGATAAACAAGGCGTATGCGCTGCTTGCGGACCTTGTGGCGTCCATGGTCTTCCTTTTGTTGGTGGAGGATTGGAAGGAGGTGCCAGGAGGCACGCATGACTGGATGTACAGCTGCCACGGCTGGGCCATCCTCTTTCTGCAGGTCTGCCCTACTCCTCTGAACCTCCTATATCAACACATTTAATGTGGAAGGGGGTCCTCTTCTGACTGCATTGACGTCATGGCTGCTGGTGACTGGAAACAAGTGAATTCTCCTGGACTGCAATTGTTGGCAAACCCCTTTGTTGGGGTACAGGGATGGCCTCTGCTGATGCGTTAATTTGTGTTGGGTGACGCGTGTCATCTCCGTCTGATATGTAGCCATGTGTTTGCCTGAAAATTCTTGGCTTAGAATGCACTGAGTTGCACCTGTCTTCAGGCACCCACACATGCTCTATCTGTCCCCCTTGCATCCTAAGAGTAAGCCAAAGTGTCAGGTCCCAGGACTGACTTGCATCAGGCAAGGCCTTGCAGCATCTGCACGATTCTTAAAGGGAACTATTAGTGCTTTGCTCCTGTCACAATGGCCCCGTCACAGGAGTCCTGTGGCGCAAGCTGCAGCTCAGTCACCCTCCCAGCATGTGCGCGCAGGTGACGACGGTGAGCGCGTTCCACCTGCACCTGCTGAACCTGCTGGCCTACTGCTTCGTGGAGGCCTTTCTGGTGCACGAATTCGGCTGGACCGCATTTGTGCGCGGCGGCTTCAGGAACCTTCTGGCGGTTGTGGCTCTGTGCGGCGCGCTCCCCCTGGCCGTCAACGCCAGCATCGAGATGCAGAGCCGGCGAGATTTCCTGCGCCAGAATCGGGCCCACCCCGTCGCGCGCCGTGAGTGGTTGCGATCTTACCAATGAGTGGCCTGCCTGTATACGTGGACACCTGTGCCCCTGTTATGCGATTGCTGTGTCAAAATCACCCGGAGGGCTGCGCTGCTCTCTGTGGTGGTGTGTACCAGCTGTTGGCATGCAGCCCGCTTAATTGAGCACTATTAATAGGCAAGTTGTTGGTGCTGCCTTGTATCACCTGTACCATCTGCTCGCATGCAGTCTGCATGCAACATGTGGGCCGTTCACTTGGGTGCTTCTGGAGTGCGTTGTGCATTGCCTGCAGCAGCTGCTCGCATGCAGAGCCTGCATGACGGCACATGCAGGCTGCCCACAGTGGGCAGAGGAGGAAGAAGTGTTGCTTCGCTGGCAGACTCAAAATGGGGAACAATTTGAGCTGGAGTTGAAGTGGGTCCATGGTGCTGGGTTGGGAAACAAGCCACATTCTGTTGATAGAATGCTGGCACTGGTGTGGCATCAATAAGGCATGCATCCTTCTCTGCATGGGGAATTAGGGCGTTTATTCAAGGGGTGCAATGCAATGCAGTGGGTAATGCACACACGATGTAGCCTACTTTGCTTTTTGCTAAATTCAGATCCGTGCTGGACACACCAGCAGAGGCAACTCACATAACACTCATCACATGCGCTGGTGCTGTGTCAGGGAGAGAAAAGTGCATTGCATGCCCTGGGTTTTGACTGGTCCAGGCTGTATCGATTAAAATATCTGCAAGTGTCTTCACGCATTCAATTTGCAGTTGTGGGGCCTGCCGAGCCCTGCAAGCATTTTTGGACCCAGCCGATGCATCGGATGTGGCAGTCTTTGCGCTGTTGTCTGAGCCTGAACAACGAGATAATATCTTGCGGGGACCTGTGAATGTTGCTTGTGTTTGCTTTGCTGCTCATGATTATGTGGCTGCCAGCTGAAGAATGTATATTGCAGCCAGCGCATGCTGCACAAGGGAGGATCCGTCAAACGGTGGCTAGCACTACTAGCTTAGTAGATATAGCTCATTTGCAATATGGGTGGGGCGTGCATCTGTGTGCTTCCTATGTTTTTGGGCGAGCAGCGTGGGTGTGTTGCTGTGAGGGTGCAACTGTTCAGACTTGGAAGTTCCTGGGGAAGTACCTTGAGTCTTTGAATATCTGCAGGGCGTTTCGTTTTCTTTTTGTTGGAGGAGAAAATTCCATGCATGGCCATGTTGTCTTTGAGTACGGGAATATGCATGGGCACCTGAGATCAGGGTATGCACTTGGTGTCTCCCATCAGGAGGCTATTGTTTGATTTGGATGTCAGAAATCTCGAAATTTGGAGAAGAATAATTGTTGCAACATCTGATTGGTTTTACTCGTTTTGCCACCGTTTTGGATCAGCGGAAGCACTAAGTCACCTACATTGCGCAATTTGGGGTGCATTTCTTGGGGCGCATGCATGCTGTACATATTAAGCTTATTATTCAATTGACTTGCAAGGGTTATGAATATGACCAGGCGCATCTATGTGTGTGGCACCAGGCAAAAATGCTTCCATCCCACTGTAAAATAATTTTCCAAAGTCTCGTGCAGATTTTCTCTGTGTTCTGAAACCCAGGTCCTAAACGGTCCCTCTGTTCCTTATGTAAATAAAGTGGCAATCACAGATAATTTCTGTCTGTTTGACTCGTATGCAAGCATCATCCCTATATTAAAGAGCAATTTGCTTGCCATGTCACACGCCAGTGGCCAAATTTAATTCGTTCTGTCCTGTACCAAGGAAGATATTCTGTACATCCTCTACAGCGCCCCCCAGTGGCCATGTGACACATACAAGACACGAATGACGTCGCAAGGAAGCTCTCAGTAATCTACAACCACCCGTGTGCCACATGTACAACAGTCGAGACATGAACCTTTGTGAACACAACCTGAACCCAGCCTGATTTTCCCAATCTTGTTAACAAGTACAACAGAAGCTTAATCAACCCTATTTACTGCTCCTCCTCAGCTGCAAATGAATACAGTAAGCTTCTGTCTACTCAATGAAGCTATCATACTCATCAGGTAGGCACTGGTGCACTGCCTTTGCGGTCACCTTCCGGCCTTGCATGTGTCCTCACAGGACCATTATTGTGGACGGCACGAATCTTGAAATTTATAGTCCCTTGCCGATTAAATACAAATCCACCCTCACGGGAGTCACTTCAGGGGATCTATATGTAATTGAGATCTATACGTACAGCGTAAATTACATGATAGATCCCCATGGTCCGTTCTGAATATCTGCCCTCTCTCATCTGGTGAAGGGTGAGAGGGGGGCCTGGGAGCGGGGGGACCCCATAGGAGTGGCGCCAGGTGTCGGCAGTGGAGTGGCTCCAGGTGTCCTCAAATCGTTCCTGCGCGCCTCTACCAGCCGCTTGCCTGCCACCCGCTCCGGCACAAGCCCCTGTGTAATCAGCCAGAGCCAGTGCAGCCTCAGCAACTTCATATTATATTGTATTGAGTTTCATTTCTGCTGCCAGAGGTTGCTGCTACGGGCCCTTGTTGCCGGCAGAAGCCCCATCCTTTGGTGCAATCTGGAGTTTTGCAAGGCACCTGTTGCTTGGTGGATTGCAGTTGGCACTGGCACGACACTGTAAGAGCATATTTCTGCAGTCTGACTCGGCAAAACTCCATGGGCGCCATGCGCAATCTTCTGAAGTTTTCGTACAGATTTAACTGGCAGAAACTCCAAGCACGTGCACATTTTGTTGGCTGGCCTGGCAAAAGCATCAATTTGATTTGTTGCTGGACAGCCGTGGAGTTCACCTGCAGGAACACGTCATGCTGCTGGCGGAAGGTACGCCCCCGGCAGACGGAGCGCAGCCCCTCGCCAGAATAGGATACGGTAGGGGACACCTCAACGCCCTCGCACTCCTTGGGCAGCCGCAGCCGACCGCCCGATTTGGCGACCCACCTGCATTCAAACCATGCCCACGACAGCTCACGCGCATGCCAATTTGTAGTGCATGCTCAGAACGAATGGATTGCAAGGTCCAACTGCATCAAATCTAAATTCTAGATTCAATGGAGGTTTCGACATTGCATGAGCCTGTTGCCGGCTGATGAGACACATGCAAACACTAGGCTGGTGCATCTGTTGCCTGCAATTTCCGGTCAAATGGTTGGCACTATGCAGAATTCAGCCATCCTGGCATGCTCCCTGATGAGGTCGCTGTTGTTACTAACAATCCCAACACCTCACTCTTTCATACACCTCATAATAAATCAACTTCCGTATTTTCTACACTTCAACACTTCTACATCTGTAGGAATGTTACAGACTTGAAAAGACCTCACCTGGTGTGCAGGCCCAGGATGGCCTTGCGTGCGGTGTCGGGTGAGTCATTGTCAGAGCCGGGGCCGTTTTTTACGGGCGCAAATTCTTCCTGGCGTTTCACTTCCAGCAGGGCCACGCGCTGCGCCCACGAGAAGGTGTCGAAGATGAACAGCTCCAGCTTTATGCCCTGCCCACATCAACGAAGACCTCAACTATTGGTGATACTTGTTTCTTCCTCGAGCCTGCCATGCATGGATCAACCTTGGAGCTTTACTCCCTGCCCAAAGCGGAATGAAATTTCCCCATTGCTTGCGCAAGCCAAGTTAAGACTGCGATGCATGGTTACAAGTCAAGCTCGATGCAGTACAGGCAGAGGCATAATGCAAGAGAGCGCATCATATTTTACTGATGGATAGGCTCGCTGAACTTGGCAAGCAGAACCCTTTGGGCCAGTGCAATAGGTGAGATTGCCAATGCATGCAAGGAGGACTGCTGGGTTTGTGAGGCTCGGCCGCACCTGCACCGGGCCGTCGACGGAGGGTATCTTTTTCCGCGCAATGTGGTACTGCCCATCTGCCTGCAGCCGCCGCGCAGCCGCCTCCAAGAACTCTCGCGTGAAGTAATGCATGCAGACGTTGCTCCAGTTGTACTTCAGCTGCCCCTGCCCTGCACGCACAGTACCTTGCACACATAAATCCGGGGCTTGCATTTTGGATTTGTCTCTATCATAGCAGTTGTCAACTCGGACAATGGGCATGCTCTTGCCTATGCACGCTTACTCCGACGCCTGATGATATTCTTATATCTGCCAATTTCTTCAGCGAGATACAGAAGGGATAAATCAGCCAAGGGTTAGGGGACAATGGATTTCGAATGCGTGCTTGAGATTGCAGAAGATCTCCCTCACCTTGCCGTGAAGAGGAGAAGAGGCGACCCCAGGAGCTGCGGCGCAGATTTCCACTCCCCTCCCCAGCCCCTGCAAGGCACACACTCCCCTCATTCTCAACAAAATTCAACTAACAGGTGTCAACAGTAGGCACATTATGGCTCAAGCTGCCAGACACTCGGTATTGAAAGTGGCATGCAACTCAGCTATCGTTGCCCTGTCAGCTGCAGAATAGGCACAGACACAGTCCTCACAGAACCCGACATACATTACCAGTGCCTTTCAAGATCAGAACTCTAGCTTTGTTGGTACCCGTGCAAACATCCTTGTGACTGATTAGTCGGGGGTTAGTCAGGCGCACACCGCTGTGCGTGGCGGCAGCTTCCTGCGGGTCCAGCTCGCTGTATTCGACAACCTCGATGCCGCCGTCGCGCCGCGCAAAGACGCCGACGCGCTCCTCTGGGTACGCCTTGGCCACCACCCGCGCACCTGCGCGCACATGTGCCTTCCGGTTAGTCATCTGCTTGCCCACCACATGCGGGCTGATATGTGCCCTGTACTAGATTGTCCATCTGGAGGTCAAGCTTGTTCCTTAGGGTGCAGTGGATTGTGCAGTGTGGGAGACATTCAACCTCCCAACCGGGGGGGCATGACGAATGCCTTTGGCCTGACCTCCACTAACTTCAGATGAGGCCTGTCAAAGCCTGAGCCTTGCCTCTGTACCCTCAAAATTCAGGTGGATCTCAGGTGTTACCAGATGCTCAAATGCAGCAAATGGCAGTGCATGTTGTGCATAAAAGTGACACATAGCCAGCAAACAGGACTCAAGCTGTAAAAGTAGGGATGCGCACCGCACTCGGCTTCCAGTTCGTGGCAGTAGCCTGCAAAGAGGGGGTCGCCCAGCCTGACCAGGGCGTTGTCCACGCTGAGGCAGTCCACGCACTCCACGCCGTTCTGTGCCATGTCCTCCAGGACACCCTCCCTGTGCCGCAGATGACAACCTTCTTGCTCGCTGCAGGAAACTTCTGTATGATGAATTTCTCCTTAAGAAGTTTGAAATCTGCAAGGTGCATGCGTTCCCCAGCACTTCCTATAGCTCTCTGTGTCAACCCTCATGTTCAGACAAGGGACAACCCTTTTGAGGCTTACTTGAACGAATCAAGGGTCCATTACGGCTGCACATGCTAAAGAACTACACCATGGATAGCATGCGAGCAAGCAATTTAGGCAAAAAAAATGGAAAAGAGCACCTCTGCATGGCTGTGTAGAGGCCGCCGTTGCCGTCTGGGGCCCTGGCGATGGAGCAGGGCGAAGCCAGGATGAAACTGCCATCCTTTGTCAAGCACGGCAGCGTCCCCTGTCACCACACCATGCAATGCGCGGTCAATACACTTACTACTTATTCTCACCGTCCTTCAAGCCTCAAAGTCCGCCGGAGCGAGTGGTGGCCAAGCATGGCACTGTGAGAATCGGCATAAGCAAGGAGTAGACTGCATGCGTTTTACGAATTGCCTCACAGGATGCAACACAGCAGAATGAATGGAACCGGGGCTTGACTCAGTGAAGCCTCCCAATTTCCAGTGAGGAGTTCATTTCCTTTTCCTAAGTAAGCAAGCCAGCTATCTCCTGGGTTGAGATGTGGGACGTGGAGGGAACATCAGAACCTGCTGGAAGAAGACAATCTGGGAGGCCTCCAGGCCAAAGTGGGCATGCTGCTGGAAGAATTCGCGCGTGGCAGCATCCGTGGCCGCGCTCGTCATTATGTACCATCGTACAGGGTGCCTGCCCACCCCCACTCATGTTTTGAGGTCCTGACAGTTGTGGTGTTCATGCCAGTGAGCACCAATAGCATAGCCAACCGCACAAACCCGGTGAAAGGGATGTGGTATGCTGATGACTTGCGATGAGAAATCTGCTGCATGCAAACATCTGAGCCCGGGCTCTGATGGATTGGACGCTGACAAGCAAGACCTTCAATCTCTTGACCAGTGCGGAAACTCATAAGCCAGAGTTTGCGCATGACTTTATTTGTGTGCCAGGGTCATGCAGTAGCACACCTGACGTCAGAGCCCGGCCCAAAGACGGCCTGCGCAGCGAGGTGCTGCAGCCTGTTGAGGCGCTCGGCGTACAGCTGGAAGAGCGATTTGCGCGAGGGCAGCCCGATGTCATAACACCCCTTTGGGGCATCGCTGCCCAGCCGCGTCCCCTGCCCGCCAGCCATCAGCACCACTCCCAGCCGCCCCTGCGCGCATCACAGGGCGTTCCCTTTTTCAGCCAGACCCGTCCTGAGGTGTGCCCTACTGTCAGCCATGCTACTATTATTACTATTGTTACACGCTTTTCCTGCCAACAGGCAAGGTACGTCCTGCAGACAAACTGCAGTTGAAAGCTAACACAATCCTACCCCTTGTTGGACTCGCCAGGTCCAAGCAGACCCAATCAACCATGGGCACAGTGCTCAGTATTTCTACTGCCCCCCGCCAGCCGCTTATACTATTCGCGGCTATAGGGTGTGAGGGGAGCCCTGGAGGGGAGCCGGTAGTGGGGTCACATACCAAACAAAAACCTGGCTCCTGAACAAAAGACAAGAGACAGGGAACAAAACGCGCCGACAGGCATCCTCATGAGGGTTCATCAAAGTATCGGCATATAGTGTAATCATGCACATCTTGAAGGCAGGCATAAGTTAGGGCCTGCAATTCAGGCCACTGCGAAAAGACCAGGTCCTGAAATTGCCTAGCTTCAAGAAGTGGATTGCCTGTACAAATTTCATGTTCAAAATTTCACCGATTGCCTGCTTTCGATAACACAGTAAGAGCTTAGCGAAGGTACATTTGAAAAAGGGGCCGTGCCTCTGCAATGAGCTTGAAGCCCAGCTGTATCCAGCGCATCTCCTCCCCGTCCAGCACTCCATCCACCCTCTTCACATCCCCTTCCCTGAGTGGCTCTATCACGGTGCTGTGTGACACCTTCGAGGCGGCTTTGCTGGCGTGGAAAATGCGCTCCACTTGGTCAAAATCCACATCCTGTTCACCATTGCATGCATGAAGTTTACAAGGGAGGGGAGGTCCGGTGTCCACAGCCAGAGAGCTCTTGACTTATTGAGAGTTGGTGTGCGGTAGAATTAGAGACAACAGGGTGCTCTCCGAATCCCCTAGCAGTCGCGTGAGGATTGCATGGTCCCATGTTCTGCTTGGTGTAGGAAACTAAAGCCACAAACGCAAGGTGCTCAGCAGCTCAAGCCCCACCTGCAAGTCTTCAGCTAGCATTTGGTGATCCTTCCCGGACAGCCTTTGCAACTGTTTTGACAGGTGCTTCTGCTTCTCTGGCAGCTTTGCTGTCCGCTGTCCGGCCTTTGCTTGCCCCTGGCCATGCTCTCGGAACTTTGTATATGCAAAAGCAACCCTGCAGACATTGGCAATGAAAGTTGCTCCAAATGCAGGTCAATGATCTTATTTCTGTAAGCAATTATTCAAATGAATCAGAATAGGACAAGGTATATGGCGCCTGCGCCCAGGCGATGGTGACATCCAAAAAGAGAGGGAAAGAAGTGCAGTGACTTTAGAGCTCACCCTCCAGCAAGGACGGACAATATGAAAACTTTAACCATATCAATGCATTCCAAATGCGCCCGCTCACAGTATATTATCTCTTTCAAGCCAGGTTGCCTAGGTGCCCAGTACTAGGATGTCAACTCCAACTAAACCAAGCAGGATTTGTTCTCTCGCAAGCTATAGTGAGAATGTTGTACTAGCAACAATCAAATCACTGCATTTTGAGTTGTCAGTGATGCTTTTGCTTGATGCTGGAATCTCTCCTCGCTCTTGTAGCCTGAGCCTATCTTGGCCAGCTGACGCACGCAAATCTTCTACTCCGAAGCCTTCCCACAGCTTCTCGCGCTTGCAGAGGAGTGGAAAGGAAGAGCGATTGCAGGTGTTTATCTTGGATGTCCGGCACACTCATGCTGCGTTGAGGCAGCGCTGCTGGTGTGGCCTAAAGAATTGGCTACCTTTTGGCAGATGACAGGTAAGATTCTATCAGGGATCATCGTGATGGCTATCTCAATGAAATGAAAGGTTATTATAAGCCTCATACAGAATTTGTCTCTTTGGTGAGAACTTGCAAAATTTGGGACTTTGATGCCCCAGGTGGAACCCTCTTTCTCACTCTTTTAGGGGTAAGTGCCGCACAAAGTGCGGTGTTCCTCCTGGAATTGACGCAATGGTTCTAGGATAGATTGCATCAGACTGGGGCGTTTTCGTAAGTATGAGGGGCATGTGGGATCTGAACTGAGGAGGACGTTATCGTCAAAACCGATCGCGATCTCGGTGTGATTAAGCTTTTTGTTCCTGTGTGCAGTGTACCGTTGCAAATGCGGGTTTGAAAGCAGCGCTGCCCCTGCTTTCCATAAGCACCTCACCAGCTTCAAGGGTGCGCTTGTCCTGAGATGCATACGTTCACAGAAGGAGCCTGAGTAGCATCGAGACCTGCTAATGTCTTTTATATTGCTTGTTAAGTAAAGGCTGCCTGGCCAAGCCCTCTGCATGTGACTCCGCACAGGTCGCGAAGACTGTCACATCTGACTGGTTGCCCCATGCAGGCAAGAGCCTGGATCATTACATGCTGACAATGGAGAAGGTCAGGAAGACAGAGCGAGCATTGAGTCAGGCCTCGGATGATGCTGCGAGCGTGTCTCCCATGTCGACACCTGGAGCTTCGCCGCCCAACCCATCCGAGGGCTACTTTTCTGGCCTGCCCAGCAGGCTCGGCATGTTCTGGTCGTCCCCAGAAGCAGGTGCAATGCACTCCTCTCAGCGCCCATTTCCATGGTCTGCACTGTCACTTGTCCAGGGCATGCAGTCAAGTTGCCGGCCATGCATAAAGTCCTGGACAGCAACCACCCTGCTCCCTTTACCAGCCACCTTGCACCTGCGTCCCCAAAGCTTGCCTCACGAAGCGCACCGAGGGTCTGTTGCTGCATGGATGCAGCTCTGCTGATGAGTCATCCTTAGACTCACATTCAAAGGCGTGGTGCCATTTGCAGGCAGTGCAAGTGCCCAGCATGGCGGGGTTGACATTCCTGGCGGCAGCGATCGGCGCAGTCTGGCCGAGCAGGGCCCCGGGGATGAGGACGAGCGCCCACTGGGCGGCAGCAGCCTGAGCTCGCTGGAGAGCCTGGTGAGGGTGTCCAAGGAGCTGTTGCGGCGCGAGTCCGACATCTCTGTCGCCAGGCAGAGCGATGTCGGTGCGTTTTCCGCCCTTGTTATCGTGTGCCCTGATGGGCTTTGGCGTTCGCTTTTTGTGTTAATTCCCATTTGAGTATAAGCATGTGGACGCGTACGTGGGTCATTGCATTGGACTCTGCAGGCATCTCCTCCGATCTCCTGCTGGCTACATTGTCTTTGTCGAATATTTTAACATTACTCTGCTGTCAGACTGTTTGCAGGGTCTGCAGGGGTTGTCAAATGATCTGTCAGAGACATTGATGCCAGCTTAGCACCGGCTCACTATGCCTCTATTTGTGCTCTGTAACTGTCAATACTCTTGTCCTGAACCAGCAATGAGAAAACACTGACAACCTGTAGTGGACTGCCTCAGATGCGGCATGGGAGACTGTTGCTGCGTTGGCGCCGGACGAGGGTGAGACGGAGAGCTACCGGGCAATCACCAAGCAGCTGCAGGCGGTGGGCGGGGAGGGGGCAGGTCCTTCAGCGGTGGCGAGCGGTGGCGGCAGGGGGAACCCGGCCGCTGCCGCATCGCCCCCCGGCCGCCTCAGCGGCACTTTCTCCCGCAGACTCAGCAGCCTGGGGGTCTTTGGCTGGGGCGCCGCCAGGGAAGCCGGCCCTGCTACCTCCGACGCTGAAGCCGCGCTCGCACTGCAGAGACAGGTACGCTAAAAGGAGTGCAGTGCCTGGAAAATAACGCAACCATGAATTAACATGAACTCCGCACAGTCGGTGCAAGGGCGGGATGCCACAGTCAGATTTCAAGAGTTCAAGCATGTCTTTAAGTCAAACAGCAATAATTGTTTGCCAGGATGCATTTGGTGCTGGTTTGCTTGGAGACATGTTTCTTCTTCACAGATGTTTGCCAGGGTACTAATGAATTACTCTCGCTCAAGGGTTTAGTGATTGGAGGGCTTGGGTGGTGCAGATTCCAGTGGAGCGTGTGGAGGCGCTGCTGCTGTGGAGCGACCCCTACGCGACCGCCAAGGTGTTTGGTGGCGGCCTGTACGTGCTCATCTGCCTGCGCCACCTCGTCTGCGGTGCATTCCCTGCGCATGCATTCATCTCCACTTTTTCTCATTCTCAAACGGAATGTGTGTGGTATCATTGTATGGCAGCTATTCAGGCTGACGAAGCCGTTGACTGCATGATGTCCTCCTCAGTTGTGAGAGGTATTCCCAGCTTGGTGTGACTCTTGGCAACCTCTTGCAACCGAGCATTCATCATGCCGTCAAGAGAGTATATACGGATAGGTCCAATTGGATTCTTAGGTGTTCCTGACCATAGCATTCGGCGCTGTTCTGTACTGAGCCAACTGTCATGCGCAGGTGTGGATCTCCTGCAGCCGAGCTCGGCCTTGGCAGGGGCAGCACTGTTTGCGCTGCTGTACTCGGCGCTGGCGCGCGCATGGTCTCAGCGGCGGCCGACGGTGCGCCACATTTTCAATATGCAGAGAGTCGGACTGTCAGATTATATGTATTAGTGGGCGTCGAAGGATGCTGAGGGAGAAGATAAATGTGCGGGCTCGCATGAGAGGTTGAAGAGATTGCTCGGATTACCCTAGCTATTCTGTCAGCACCTGCAGGGGCGAGGCAGGCAGCCAAGCCAGCTAAAAGTCCCCTTATGGAGCCGGCTTGAGAATGTCTACCTAGTGTCGCAGTCCGTAAAATGGTTGTCAGAGTGGTGTATGATGAAATTTTGATGTGACACAGGTGCGGGAGATGCTGGATGAGGAGGAGGAGGGATCGCCGTCGGCCGCCGCAGCGCGCGAGGCCGCCCTGCAGCGCCACGTGGCCGGCCGCGTTCGCGCCGCCGCCGACGCCGTCGCGCCCGTCATCGCAGCCGTCGCCGGACTAGTCGCGCGGCGCCTCTCAGGTGCGCCTGCACAAGCGAGGCTGTGTCTCCTTGTTTATTTCCCATTCCCATGTAATGAGTCATCCATGGAGTCCTACTGGAATCTGACAGACTGGTGACCACGCGTCGGCCCAGTGTGAAAGTGTTCACATCTTAGTCTGCCACGAGTTTGGTGGCTTTTCATAGGGATGGAAATGTTTTGATTAGCTGATGATCAGCCAGCAATCTCAAAGCCTGACTGGTGAAGTGTCCAAGCAGTTCTAATGCAGGGCACTGAGGCATCAGCTTCATTGTCCTGAATTTTGTTGGCAAGGGACTGAGAGTGTGGGTTTTGGCGGGGGGCAGGCCACGACAGCGTGGGCAGCACGGTGTGGCTGGCGCTGGTGCTGTGGCTGGTCATGTGCATCGGCGAGCTGGGCATTGTGTCGCAGTCCGTGCTGGCCATGTACGCCTGGATCGCCCTCTTCTGCCTCCCCTACTTCTACCGCGCCTGCCGCCACGCGCTGGACGCCCTCGTCGAAGAGACGCTGCTGTTCGTGGCCGAGGTGGTCCGCGGAGGTAGGGAGCTATCTCACCCTCTTGGCTTTGGTTGGGGTTATCAGCGACTTCCAGAGGGGTCTATAAGCGCTTGTCTGGTCCTTGTCATTGGTACTCAGCTACTCACGAGAAGCTGCACAAGTGCAAGCAAGATGTCTGTGCCCTGTGCATGTCTGATGCAGAGGTGCACTGGTGCAGCAGGCATGCACATGCCATGGCTGTTTTGTCTGCACCTTGGTGGGGCGGGCGAATAGTGAACGTGCATTGCTATACAAAAAGGGGAAAGAATGCTGGAGCATAGTCTTTGAAATATTGGTCAGATGGTTTTCATGGGGGGCCTATAAATTTATTGCACGCAACGGAGCACCTGGGGCAAGGCATGTCTCGCAGAGAGTAGTTTGACACATCTGGCTCGGCATAGAAATCTAAACTAAATATTGGCGCAAGCGAGCGCATGACGCTGGGCATAACTCGCACGAAGAGAATATCTCTAAACAAATGCGTTTGGCTTAAGATTCCACTTTTGACAATGGCGCAGGGGAGCGGATGACGCTAGGCATGGCAGGCGGCGTGGCAGTGCTGGTGGTGGCGGCGGTGGACGCATCGGTGTTTGCGCGGCTGACGCTGGCGGCTGCCGGGGCCGGGGGCGTGCTGATCTGGCGGGCGCGGCGGCTGCGCGCACAGGCGCAGACCTCCCTCAAGTCCTATCCCATCACGCTGGAAGACTGATGACGGCGCTTGGAGGCAGCTGCTATCTGCTGCTTTAAATGGGTCTCACTCCATACGCTGGGAAGACTGATGTGGCAGCTTGCATGCAGCTTTTGCTGCATCGCTGGGTCTGGAACCACAACGCTGGAAGGGTGTTTGCAGCCGCTTCATGGCTGTTGCCATGTGCTGCATTGCTGGGGCTTATTCCACAATGCTGGAAGGGTGATTGCAGCCGCTTGGAGGCTCTTTCCATGTGCTCTCTTGTTGGATTTCACTCCATCATGCTAGAAGGCTGATGCACTGCTGCTCTTGAAAAGAGCTGCAGCCCGAAGGCTTGGTCAACGCGACAGCTGGGCTGGATGGAGGTGATCATGAGAGGTTGGGCGGGAATGTTGATGACTTGTTGGGAGTGATTCGTCTGTTGGCAGTGGGTGCTGTCCCACAATCAGGATGGGTTGGCGCTGGTGAGAAAGACCAATTCTCTGGATCGGTGCTTCTGGTGCTTGTACCATTTCAGTGGGTCGTAAGGAATGCTACAACACATTGATGCAAGCCTGAGGACACTACCTCAAGACACTTGGGAGACCTATGCTTTGGGCTGATCATTCGCTGGGCGATTTGAGGACTGCCAATCCTCATCTACGTTGTACACTATAGATTGTTGTGTAGGTTTGTCATTTGGCAAGCATAGACTGTGTACCACCACCAAATATCTCTTTATATAGACATAAAATTCTAAACCCACCTGTACATTAGCAGTTTTGCAACTGTAGTAGGCAGTGCAAGCGATTTCCGAAGGATGTGCGGCACTCTCAATGAGCCAGCTCTTGCAAGATATACGTATCGTGTTTTGGAAAGCATACATATGTGGCACTTCGAATTGCAGTGGACCCTGTGCCATTAAAATTTTCAGATGAATCCATCGACAGGTGCACGTGGGAGGCATGCTGGCACGAATCAGATCAATCAAGACCATGCATCAATTGAATTGTTTGTCAATCAAATGTGCCGCACCACACCTTTGCTGAAGGCGTTTTTTACACTTCTGCAGCTTCCAAGCGTCTCCTGCAGCCGCTGCAAAGCATGCATGGCACTACAGAACCCCCTTTATTGAGTGCACGTGCAGGCATCTGACACAGCGATATGCTGCCAAAGAGGTGATCAAGTCGGTGCTGGCGTGCGAGGCATTTGAGCCAGCTGGCAAGCATGACCTGGAGTCCTTTGTCAAGACTTTGTACGTTGTGCCCACCTCAGCGTACAAGATGAGCTGTCTGAGGTGATCAAGGGCGCTTCCGAGGTGATGCAAATGTCTGTTGCAGCCTGCTGTATGTCATGAGCAGGTCTGTCTTTCGCTTATAAACAGTTGCGTGCGGTACTTGAGGCTGTGTGAAATTGTGAATGGTGCCTATGGGTGCAGGATAAGTTCTGGTCGACGGTGCGGAGCTTCTGGGACGTGGATCTGGAGCAGACCAGCCCAGACAGCAGCTGTTGGCGGTATGCACTGATGCAGCACGCAGGTCTAGCTATAACGAACTGCAATATGCCCTCAGCCAGTGTTACTGATCGGCCAAGGTTACTGATTCTGATCCCAAAAGGATCATCTGATGACAGATTTGTACTAGTCTGATCTCTATAGTCGTCACATCTCTGACAGCCAGTGGCTGCGGGAGCCAGCTTGCAAGCTGGCTCAATTGACATAGCTGCTGTTGGGTGTCACACGAACGCAGCTAGTGCTCTGAGTACTGTATCGCCAGACTTGCAAAAATTGCAAGTCTGGCGATCCACTCAGATCCACTGACACATGTTCAGCTGAAGTGCTGCGGCTGCTAAGAGTATTGTATTTCCAGACTGCTGAGGGCCTGGCTCGGAGCCACGCTCGAGCTCTTGTAAGGTACTTTGAAGTAGAGACTACTCTTCAAACCATTGTGCATGATTCTGTCTGCCACCGCCAGTTGCAGTGATGTTCCTGTCCCATCTCCGGATATCATGATCATCAATGCGGCAATACCATGCAATCATGCACCTGCGCTGCTGCAGTTGCAACCTTTGCTGCACATCTTGACTTCTGCAGGCCCTCCAGCTGCTGCCGTGGCCCGGGCCCGGGAGGGCTCAGATGCATTAAATGCAAATCTGTAATGTGACAGCCATACCTGACTGGATGCAGACTCCGGAGGATGACTTATTAGCCTCACAAGCATGCAAATGCGTCAGCAATCACGTGATCCAGCTGTCTTGAGGTCTTGAGCCTCCCCACAACGCCTCTTGCTCACATGAGGTGCTCGACTTGCGACGCAAGGTCAGCTTGTTTGAAATACGCAGAAATATGATGCAGCTTGTTTGATAGGTGGAGAACGAATCTCACAAGATGTTAGCCTCAACATCATACCAGCAGACTTCTGCAGGCGCATCTGTTCGCGATGCAGCCCCGAAAAATTCACCAGTAATCCCATCCTGCTGCAGCACATCTATACTCCGCCGAGATCTGCGAAGAGTGTCGTACGCGACCTTGAGAACACAGAAAGGCCAGCTGTCGGAGCGTCTTCAAGCGGGGAAAGTGAAGCACAGAGCACGCCTGAGAAACAGGTTGGTGGCAATTTTCAATAATGTGAATGATGGTGCTCTATTCATAATATTCGGCATCGCTCTATTCGTTTTGCGTCAGGAAACATCCAATGTCAACACCCAGCCGTCTCTGAATCTCTTTGAAATATAGTGCGTTGTCCAGAGGCTTTGCTACGAGAAACAATAGTAAAATGATCTATGATGTAGGTCTGCTTCGATTAGAAGTTGTGCTTGCCACCTTGACCCTAATCTGAGCACAGGGCAAGCTGCAGCCAAGGACTATCAGAGCATCAAGTACAAAGTCCTTACATCTCAACAGGGCCATGCCACGTCCTTGATGGTGGGATTGCCATGTGCAGGATGGATATCAGGACTCCTACACAGATGTGTGGCATCATTGGGATATTCAAGCATGAGGTGCGGCCCCTTGCTTGTAGTGTTCACCAAAGCAGCAGCAATGCATGCATCTGCTCCATCTGCAGCAGAATAACCATGCCTAGCCACTTGTTCCATTATATCTAAAAAACATCCCATTCTAAGCTCCTGTGCAAGTTCACAGAGGCATAAGGTCCACGTGTGGGAGAAAGTGCCAGGGGGATGCCTGGAGCTAGTACCCACCTGGTGCTGCCTTGCAGGGGTCGGCAAACGCGGAGCTGTTCGAGGGCCTGCTGATGCTGCAGCACAGGGGCCAGGACAGCGCTGGCATGGTCACCTTTGACGGCACACGCTTCTGCGAGCACAAGGACAACGGCCTTGTCAACGATGTCTTCGACGCCCGGACTATGAAGCAGCTCAGAGGTGCGCAGATGCATATGCACATCATCTTGTCACATACTGGAGTTTGGCACATGTGGTGAGGCAACTTCACCGCGCAATCTACTATTGGGGGGGTCATTGCAGATTTTCCACATCACTGTAACAGTCAGCTGAACCAGGCAGATGCGTCTGCATGCCCGATTGGCCGACTTGTGGTGCCAGCCGCTGTGAGAGGTACTTACATATGCAACACCTTGGCGGGGCAAAGACCAGTCTGAGCTAGAATTAAAGCCATTAAGTAACATAGCAGTCGTATACAACGATGTGAGATGCATGCATTTGTGCAACGTAGGGGCACGGCAGACGTCAGTCAGAGCCACTAGATGAGCACATGAAGTATCAACACTCACAAGAAAATGAATTTTTGTACAACCCAGTCCACTAGCACAAAGGCTGTGAAGCAGTTATAGAGAAGTGACCAAGTCTCTTGTGGTCACCCAGAGGTCACCTGTTATATCACGATTCATAGCAGAACAAAAAGGACTGAGTGCGTGCCCCTGTTCAGGCAACGCCGGCATCGGCCATGTGCGCTATCCGACGGCGGGCTCCTCATCGGCGCAGGAGGCGCAGCCCTTCTTCGTCAACTCCCCCCTGGGCATGTACCTGATCCACAACGGCAACCTGACCAACACCGAGGAGCTGCGCCGCGGCCTGGAGGGATCGCAGTCCTTCTTCAATCGCCACCTGCGCACCGACTCAGACTCCGAGGTGCGGGCCTCCACCCTTGGTCTGCCACAGACCGCCCTTCTCCTTCCCCCATACGCTAACCAACTTCCTTGCCTGCGTCGGATCATCATTGCAGATTGGCCACCTTGCTCTCTCCCTCTCGTTGTGCGCGGGATGGTTTTGTTGTAAGAATGGAAAGCACATGAACCGCTGAATGGATGTACAATGCGGCCAGCAAGTAGTATCCTTAACAGGGACACTCGTTGCATGCATAACTCCATGCTGGCGCGCTACAGTCTCTGGCGCCAGCACACCTCCATTGCCATTCTTCTTTTCTGCCCGAAAATAGCCTTCATGTTGCTGCTGACCGTGCTGGCACATCTCCCTTTGCCGGGGGATGATAAATACAAGTCCATATTCCTCCGGTCTTTATTAACTAGTTACTATGGTCAATTGAATTGAAATTTAGCATCACGCCGGCGGCAGGTGCTGCTGAATGTGCTGGCGGACGAGGTGCATCGCGCGCATCAGGCCTGCCAGGTGGACGGCGCATGCGACCCGCAGCGGGACGTGAAGCAGCTGGTGTTCCGCGCGGGCGCGGCTGCAATGGCGTCCCTGCGCGGCGCCTACTCCTGCATCTCCCTCATCCGCGGCGTCGGCCTCATCGCCTTTCGCGACCCCTTTGGCATCAGGTGGGGCAGCTTGGCAGCAACTTCACCTCACTCCAGACTGTCTTCATTCCTTTTCTGCTCCGTTGCTGAGTTTGCGCCATTGAGGACATCGATACCTGCATGCTTGAGGCTTGAGAGGGGGGCAGCCATTTCATAACGCCTGCCGGCATTCGCCTGTGTGGGCCTCTGCAATTGCATGGTGCGGTTGGGAAGGGTCCTGCAGGGTGCGTGCTGAAAGTGGGCACAAGGGCTCACACAAGCAACATGCAGGATGCATCTAAGTTTGCAAAAGTGATATTCGATGAACCATTCCAGCTGTACATCAAGTCCCATGCTTGCCTTGCACTCAGGGGTGGGCAACTGTCGGTGACTGGCACTGGCATAATGCTGAGGTACTGTTGTCATCTGCGATGCAGGCCACTGGTTCTGGGCAGCCGGGAGAGGAATGGGCGCACGGAGTGGTGCGTGGCCAGCGAGGACTGCGCCTTTGGGCCCATCGGCTTCACCCGCGTCCGCGACGTGGCCCCCGGAGAGATGATCGTCATTTCCGGTGCGCGGCGTTGCTGGTTGTCTGAATGCCGCCCAGGCGTGCCTGCTGCTTTTAGTAGGCCTCACTCTGCTCACCGGAGCTGCGAATGCTTGGCAGTCTGCCGTGATGTCTACATATTCCTGCTGTCTCGCAGGCTGAAAAGTGAAACGCGCCTTTGGGGCCCAGCTGATGTGCAACCCTCCGCAAGTTTTTCTTCTTGAGTGCATGTTGCGCTGCACTCTGCACAGAGCCTGCAGACACCGGGCCTCTGCATGAGCAGTGACTTGGCCTTGTGAGGCCTGTGAGGCTGCTCTCATGTCTTCCCTTCAAGCCTTTGTATTGACCCATGAAGCTCACAGTGGGGATTGCATCACGGCTGACAGGGTGCTTTGGTGTATATGTGTGCTGCAGAGTCGGGCGAGCTGGAGTCGCAGCAGTGCGCGCCGGGGCAGACGTGCCCGTGCATCTTCGAGTACATCTACCTGGCGCGCCCCGACTCGGTGCTCAACGACGTCCCAGTCTACAGCTTCCAGTTAGGCCTGGGCACGCGCTTGGCAGGGCGCATCAGGTGCGCTTTTGTCCTGCATGCGGTGAAGGGCACAGTGAAGCTTGCTCAGTTCCTGCCAAGCCCACGAAGTGAGTTATCATGTACTTTAAGAATTTGTCATGCGCGGCAATGGGAGCTGTTGACTTGGCCCAAGCAACCTCGTTTCTGGGTTTGTCTGGCTGGCAAAGCGCATGCAGCTTCAGCAGACCGACCCAGATGCTGCAAGGAAGTTGTGCATGTGCCCCTTTGTGTACACCTTGGCCTGAGCAACACGGGATGGCACTGAATATGCGTCTGCGCGGAGGGGTAGGGGGTCACCTAATCCACTCATTGCACCCTGAGTGTTATTCCCTGGCTGCAGGGAGATAGGGTGGGACATAGACTGCGTGGTGCCGGTGCCGGATGGGTCGCGGCCGGCAGCCATCCAGATCAGCGCTGAGCTGGGTCTGCCCTACCGCGAGGGCCTCGTCAAGAACCGCTACGTAGGCCGCACCTTCATCATGCCCGATCAGCAGTGCGCCCCCCACCTTTTCTTTTTTTAACCTGAGAAAGCAGTTTGAATGCTTGTATTGGCAGAGGAAGGACCAGCAGTGCGCCCCCCCAGTGCCACTTGTTGCTGCAAGCAGGAGCTCGCTAGCAGCGCAGGAAAGACTTGTTGGTAGGCATGAAGTGACTCGCTGAATTGGTATAGCAGTGATGAACTGCATTCCCCTTTCTGGAACACAACAGATGACTATCCCTAAGTTATGAAAGTCTTTATTTACTGCACTGCAGACTTGCCTAATGTCCAAATGGCAATTTATGCAGAGTTGTCGAACAATCTTTTTTGCCAGTAGTTTTCCTCGGTCTCAAGTGGGCTCCATAGATACAGGTTTGGCTCCACGGGACCCCACATTGGCCTTGCAATCTGATCAAAGAATGCACATGGTGCATGCGTGGCTGACATGTGGCGGCATGTGCGCGCAGCACGCGGGAGCTGAGCGTGCGGCGCAAGCTGAACGCGATGCCTGTGGTGTTTGAGGGGCGCTCCGTGCTGCTGGTGGACGACTCCATCGTCCGCGGCACCACCATGTCTCAGATCGTCGACATGGTCCGCCGCGCCGGCGCCAAAAAGGTGACTCGTCACACCCATGCAATTATTTCAGCTTTGCCTCTTTGTAAGCAGCTCTTTCTGTGGCTCTCGTGCCATGAACCCTTGCGCAAGTTCCATGGTCTATACTGGGTGCATCATTTGCCCTGAGAGTGTGGGCGTGGTAGAGCCTGCTGTTCATAATCCAGTTGTGTTTGAAATTGATCTGTACTCCGCGCCAGTCAAAGTCCTTATGCAGGGCAACATTGGCAGCGAGATGCAGACAAGGACTGAGTAAAGGCGGGCCATTCAGCACAGGCACTTTTCATGTAATTATCAACATGTGATCTCTCTTGGCATGGTGAAATGGCGAATCTTTTCTCCCCAAAAACGCTCACCGAGAATGCACTCTGTGTGCCGCAGGTGTATCTTGCAAGTGCGAGTCCCCCAGTGCGCTACCCAAATGTCTATGGAGTGGACATGCCGACCAGGCACGAGTTTGTGGCCTATGGGAAGACAGAGGATGAGATTTGCGCGGAGCTGGGAGCGGACGGGCTGCTGTACCAGAGCGTGGAGGACCTCATCTCAGTTGCCAAGGACCTCAATCCCTCCATCAAGGAGTTTGACACCTCCTGCTTCACCGGTGAGCGCTCTGCAACTTTTTTGAGTGCGCATGCACACGCATGCTTGCAGGCTTTTTGGTCATTTGCCATAAGGCGAATGTCCTTTACGATCGGTCAACCTGGTACGGATTATCTCTATCTTTTGCCCCTTCCCTATGCCATGTGGCTGCTCGTGAGACGGCCACGGCAGTTGAACGGAACGCGAGGCACAGTTTAGAGGCCTTTCAGGGGTGATTGCCCCGTTTTTGGCCCTAGATTATCTCTAAATATCTCCCTGGCGATTGGCTTTACGGGCCTGCGACTGGTTCTGCCCCCCAGCTCGCGTATGACCTCGTGGCCGCCCGCGGGCGCTCCCACTTGTAGAACATCTTGATAGGTGATGCGTACAGCAGCTCTGCGAGCCTTTGCGAGACAATACCTTGTGTAGGCTGGAGAATAGCTTATTCCTGTCTTTGCCCTCTGCCCCCTTGGTGCAGGGGAATAATAAGCAGTCCACTGGATTCACCTCGCACAAGTGTGACATTTTTTCGACTTGATGCACTTGTATCCGCGCTGCCATGCATGCAGTGATTGCTCCAGCAGTGCAGTGCTCATTGATGTCCAGAGATGAGATATGTGCACATCTGCGCGTGCAGGCAAGTACGTGACTGCTGATGTCGGCCCTGAGTACCTGGAGTCCCTGGAGAGGTCTGTGCGCACCAAAGACCGCTCGCGCCCCGGCCGCCAAGTCTCCCTCACAGAATCCAATGGCGCCCTGCCGGCTGCAGCCGCCACCGCCGGCACGGCGGCTTGAGGGGGCCAATCTTGAGGGGACCAATCGTCGTTCGAGCTGCCATCCTTGTGTGTGGGGAGCATAAGGCCTTTGGGTAAGGAACTTCTATTTGAAAAAGGTTAAGAAATTTAGGAGGGACAACTTGTTGTGGAACAGCAGGGCTCCAGGAAGGCGGAGCATATTGAAATTGCCTGCCTCCTGACTGCCAGTACTTCAGGGGGGTTTGCCACTTGCGGGAGCTCCAAATGTGGAGCTCAGATTGTGACATGTACATGTATCGTGAGAAAGATTGGCTGCTGTTAGTCATTCCCCATACTGCAGCTTGTCTGCAGACGCACCTTGCTTCTGGCAGGAAAAGCGTGTAATAAAAATAATAATAATACTGTAAGGCTTGGGGGGCACGTGCACGACCTTGCAGACCATCATGCATGTTGCTGATGCCGACATGTGCGCATTGGCCCACATTCTGTAGAGTTCTGCGCAATATTTTGCAAACATAATTCTTTTGAAGTCAAGTTTCGGTGGAGGATAACAGTTGCTGTTCTGGGCGCCCAGCCGGCTGTTTCAAATTTGTAAGACGAAGAGGCATGACAAGCGTGATCAATGCAGAGACTGTGTTTGCATCTGGTGGTTGGACGCTGGCTGAAGCAGAGGGGATTCTAATCCTCCCTCGGTAATCCCGATCATGACAATAGCATCAGCACTGGGCCGACGAGGCGGTTCGTTCGGCTCTCTTATTCAAGATGTCCAACCGACAAATTGGAAGGGCTCGTTATGTTTTCAATACGTGTCCCTCAGAGCCGAAAGTAGGCATAGCAACCTACTTAAGGTCGCACCGGAGCACCTTTGACAAGAAGCCGTACAGGACGACTCTCCTGGGAGCCCCGGGCGTGCATAGTCGGGTCTGGTCCAGTCCCCAATCGTTAAGTCAAAAGTCCCTAGTTCGAGTCCTTCCGCTGGCGGGACCAGAATCGAGTCGCTGGGCTTCTTTTTTGTCTTTTTTTCCCCACCACTTTTTCCTTTTGCTTTCTTGTTGGGGTATTCTTCTCTTTGCGAGCTACTTGAAGATTCGGCCTGTCCAAGCGTTCAGTGTATCGTCCTTCGGCGAGTAACGGAATCCTTCTATGCTAATTTGACCGATAAAAAAAGTACGATGGTTTGTACTTGTTGCAGATGGTGGAGTGCCACACATGCCTGTTATCAGAGTGCAACTTCATCCCTATGTTGAGGCACAATCATGATCACCACTGAAAAATGTATTGGTTACAACCCAAATCTGCGAACTCAAAAGCAGCCATTCACCCAGTTCCCCTGCATGACCATTCGCCCAACAAAATTTTAAGAAGCGGGCCAAAGCACGTCCCTCCAGTAAAGTTGCAATGCGCATGCGCAGTTGCCAAGCAACTCCATCGTGATGAGGGTTCTTTGTAATTATTGCATTTCTCTCAACGTCAAATGCTGGCATGTCAAAACTTTATATGCCTTGCATGCACACCTCTTCACCTCAACAAAAATGCCATGTCATCTATAACAGGCCTCCTAGGAGAAGCTCTCGATTTTACCAACACTCAAACATCGGCCCTGGAATGCTTAGTAGGGGGAATCCTATGTCCCTGAAAATTATCGAGTCGGCAGCAAACCTTGCATGCCCCACACTTGCAAGCACTGTGTAAGATATCGCGCAAGTCTTCAGCCCAAGGTGGACCGCTAAATTGAAATTCTACATCCATCTCGTAGGGCTGCTCCAGCGAGTATCTCATGCCACACTTTGTCAAGTGTGAGGCGAGCGATACTATGTCTATCCCCTCGAGATGGGCATATCTGAAGGTAAACTCCCGACAGGATGATGCAAACTCAGTGATGCTGTCAAAATCCACATACAATTTGTCGCCAGAGTGTAAATTCACCACTTTCCACTCGTGCCCTTTTGGCACTTGAACATGGAGGCCCTCAGTGCAATCGAGGCAGAAGCGTTCCGCACAGAGAAGTGCACCTTTCAGCTGGATCTCCCTATGCCGCAAGTCCTGATCCTGGGTCCTCCCGAAGCTTTGCAGGGCAAGGACAAGTTTCTCCAACCTAACGGGCTCCAGCATCCATTGTGGAATCTGTTCTTCAGTGTAGATACACGCATCCGTTCTCAGTGTAAATGATGTCAAGGCGTCGCCCACAGCAGGCCAGACCTTGTTCCGGGCATCCTGTAAGGTGTACACAATCACATGCAGGGCAGTGCCCTCGGGAAGGAACAGCAAGTTGGGAACAGCTCCGTCAAGCATCACGCTTTCGAGCTGAGTCAGGGCGTGCAAGTCCAGAAGCACCACATCAGATTCAGATTCCTCAAGGAGCTTGCCATCAAGGTACAGTGTCCGCAAAGTGGCCAGCGATGCAACCGACGCAGCCAGTCTGGGGAAGCTTCCACCAGCTACACCCAGCTGCAGGTGCCGAATGTGTGACAGTGGGGGCAAGAAAGGCAGGCCCACTAGGTCCAGGCTTAAAAAGACAATCCCCTTGGACTGACCCACCAGCCACGCGAGAGCCATAGTGAGAAATGCCAAGTCCTCCGAGCCATGTGGCCAAGTCCTGAGAGACAGCGCAGTCAGCCTGCTGAAGCTGCTGGAGACCTGCATGAGAGACTCAAGTGTGGCCTGCAGTCCAGGGCGCTTGCGAGGAAGATCCAGCAGGAGCAGCTGTGCCAGCTTGGCCCTCTTCAGCATCCATGCAGCGCCTGCACCCACGAGGCGCGGCTTCCTGACCTAGACCGATGAAGCAGCACATAGGATCTGACTGGCCTAAAGCTTTCCTTGTTAAGAACCGAGGTGATGCAATGAGGAGGAGTTCATTGACTTGACGATGATCGTATGATGATGTCAGACATATACACAGCTGGATTGCTTTTGGCATTGCACAGTGACAGTAGGAATACTGGCTGATGGAATGCTGGAATTGCTCACCTCTTGCGCAGAGTGGTTTGGGGGGGCGATACTGGGCTATACACACAATTTCCAGCTGAAGGTGCCAGGTGGTCCTGCAGATGCCTGCCACTTTGGCCCACTCGCGCGGTCCCAGATGCTGTGCAACGACTTGCCAAATCTCGGGAGGGAGGCTGCTGTGACGACGATCCTTCTCCCTGGAAGCACATTATTTCGTGATCAACAATCTATTCAGAAGTATATGAGGGAGTAAATTTTGATGAAAAGAGCTGTCATCTGATGAAGCAATTAGTTCCCAAGAGGAGAGAAAGATGCATACATGACGAGCACAGCGTCGCTGACAAAGGGCTTCACACTGGTTGTCTTCGGCTTAAATTCATCGAGTCTTCCTCATCAATATTGCCTTGTTGCACGGTCCAGTGAGCATGACTTCAAGTATGCCTTCCTGACCCGTAGCAGATGTCGAAGGATTGCAATTTTGAATACATAAAACAAGAAGAGACAGCTTCCACAATTTTGCAGTAGTCAATCGTTCTAGTGCATCATGCACAATTTGGCGGGAGGCACCGCCTCAGCACTGTTCATGAAGCGCACCTATTTTGAATGTTTTGATGTAAAATGCAAAGCAGAATCGTTGTATGGGATAGTGTCCTTCTAAAATTTTCGAGACGCACTTCACGCCTAGTGAGCGTTGACCTCCTTGCCCCACTTCTTGGAGGTACTTGCTCGCTCACAACAGACGTGGAGATGGAAGCACCCGAGGACGCCAGTATGATGGAAAGCAGCTCCGATCCTGTGCAGTTGAAGCCATTTGAGCTCCTGGACGACATAGCAAATGCGGTCTGCAGACTTCTTTGCTTCTCAAAGCTGGACATCTTATTATATTCTAAATATGATGGTCCTGATGGATATGCAATTAGCCTCAAAGTGTCCTTTATCGTGTAGAGCACCTTCAGGGGGCTTTATACTTTTACGAATACGACCCTGATACAAAGTTTGTACAGGTGAATGACTACCTTGCGGAAGGGTTCGATGCCTTGGAAGAGTGAGCCTCTCATATCCTTGACAATTTAAAGCAGGACTGTGATCAATTGGCCATGATGGGGCTTGAAAAATCGCAAGTTCATTTCCTTGTTTTCAAGTACAGATGGGGGCATATTGCCAGCTTGCAAGTGTGTGCTGCAGGTGTGTACTATCAAATGTTCCAGTCGATGAATTCCAGGCCCGCCTCTTCCTGCAGGTCAGTCACAGCCAATCACTCTTGACACCCCACATTCGTTCATCAGAATACCACCTATGTACAAGCACTTTGGACAGAAATAATACTGACATCCTGGCTCCTTCTGTGTGGTGCGCCAGGGCTCAGCCCACCTGTTCAGGCAGGTGCAGGCGGATCTGGGGAAGCACCTGCAGGAATTCGAGCGCGCTGGGCTGCGCACCAGTCTCAGTGTCCCTGCTGGCCTGATCCTGGACCAGGCAGCTCTGGCAGAGGGGGGCCCGAAATTCACAGCAGAGGACGAGCAGCGAGTGGATGGGCAACTGGCAACTCTGCGACAGGAGATCCAACAGGTGATTGAGCGACTGCGCACTGTAATGACAGTGATGCCATCAGATGCTCAGCAGACCGAGGGCCAGTTCTTGGTAGCTTGATGTTTCCTGGGGGGCATGAAAATTACAGCTGTACCGCTTTTTGGGATCATCGCTGCATGTTTGAAGCATTGGTGAAAAGCAAAATTGATGAAGTACTTGCAATCATGTTGAGCAGGCGAGGCAAGCGCGGCAGGACGTGGAAGCACAGATGGCAGCAATCGATCGGGAGATCAAGTCATATGGTGCGCATTTCACAGTCTGGCACATGTACTGAATGTTGTTGATATCCCGGGTAATTTATTGCATGCTGCTCACAGTACACAAGCTGTGACAATGATGTCACTCTCCTCTTTGCTGTGGCATCAACACAAGACAATATGGACGTGATTACACCCTCCATTGGTCACAGAAAGGGAATATTAGTTCTGGCTTCCATGCGCGCAGGGGACCCTTCACAGCTGGCAGCCATCACCGAGGCGGTTGCAGGGAAGGAGAACCTGGCAGAAGACGCGCGCGCTCTGGCAGAAAAGGCCGTCCAGCTGGCGGCGCTGCTGCCACGCGTGCGCGCAAAGCAGGCGCAGCGTGACGCTGCCGCCGCTGACTCAGCAGCCGCCGCCAACTCCAAACGTGCGGCTCCTGCCCCCAATGTGGTGTTCCTTTAGCTCAAGACCTTGCAAATATCTGCTGTGATCAGCTCTGCGCTGTCTGCGATGACGCATGTGACACGAGCCGCACCCCACAGAAGATGCAGCACCCTGCCGGATTTCGGGGAGTCCAATGCAGCGGTGGTTGAAAAGAGTGCCTGAATTGGCTGGGTGCATGCAGAGGCGGCCCTGCTGGCAGAGAAGGACATTCTGCAGCGGAAGGCGGCAGTGAGCAAAGTGAGCATGGCCGAGCTGAGGAGTTTACGCGAGCAGCTGCAAATGGACACATGAGGCCAATGCACAACGCAGCCTAGTTGAAAATTGAGGACTTCTGTGGAAGAGATATCAAATTCTGAGCAATCTGCAGCTGCTGCACCAATTGCAATACTGATGATCATCAATCAGTATTCAATGATCCTGCTCTGCAAATACAGTAGAACATACTGCGCAGCCTCGAATCTGAGGCTGCTTCACTAAAGCCGATACTGGGACAATGGATTGAATATGTGGAATCTGTCAGTTGCTGGGGACATCCAGAATGCCTTAAGGAAGAAGTACAAAGGTTGCATGCTTACTGTATTACTACTGTATTACTAATACTGAATCATCATCCCGTAACCGTGGAGATGCACCATTTTGTGCACCTCGGGAGGCAACATCCCTGCACATCTCAACGCAACACTCATTCAGATGCTCATTCGTGCTACAGGATCAAAGATATCGACGCAACTACGGCTTCATATGCGGGGTCGGCAGGTATAGCATCTCCTCAACCTTTTGGTGGAACGATATTTTCCACTCTGACCATTCAGGAAGTCATCTTTGACGATGAGAACCTATTGTAGGAGTTTATGGTTCGCATCAGCAGGAACGAGATGCCATAGTGCCCCTGCAGAGTCTTATGTCAGCACCTGCGAATTGTGACTTTCAAAGCCTCCTCGTTTTCTGGGATCTGCTGACTATACACGCCTCAGTTTGCAGCATTCGATGTTCAGAAGTGGTGTCAGATCGAACTGTCTCGATTGTGGTATTTGCGTAAGTCAGCAGGGTGAGAGTACAGGAAGCTGCTATGTAGTAATACAGAGCCTTACGAGAATCGTCAAAAGAGCCGCAGACATTGCGTTGTTTTCATGATAGCCTCCAGTATGACTCTTACATGCCACGAATCTGGGGCCTCTAGGAAGGACTTCAGTCTGGTCACAGCAGTCCCAGATCTGACCTGGTTGTGCCTGTAATGTGGGGCTCACTTGCTCCTTCACATAAGATAACATGTCTTTGTCTCGCATGTAGGTATGCCAGACGAATATCTGCCCGTGCTGATTATCTAGATGTGAGGATATATTCTGAGGCGCCATAAGTAACTCGGAGGATGGCAAAGCCGAGGAAACAGCACCAGCAGGCCTCCAAGAAGAAGCTGCAGGTGAAGCAGAATCAGAAGCAGGCCAAGGCTGGGTCAGCAAAAGCAGATGCAAAGGGGAGCAGCCAGGGATCTGAGGCACCAGCTGCCTCGAAGCAGCCATCTGAGCCTAATGCCGCGCAGCAGCACAAGCCTGCAGAGACATCAGGCTCTGACCATGCCAATGTCTATGGCCTGATCAACCTTGGCAACACCTGCTACTACAATTCAGCCCTGCAGGTGCAGCACTGCTCCCATTTGAACCTAAGTATTGGAAGACATCATTTTCCATGATTGGGGGCCAATTTCCCTGGAGTGCCTGTATCATGTTCACTTTTGATCTCTTCGGCTCCTGGTAAACAAGGTGTTGTGAATCAGCAAAACTGAGGTGACATTCATTTCATGGATGCAGGCGCTTGTTTCAGTGCCAGCACTGAGGAACTTCTACACCCAGCCGCAGCCACAGAAAGGGCGGCAGCTTGAGAAGGGCTCGATCGGAGCTGCCCTGCAGGAGGTGGTCCAGACAGTGTATGGTGCGCTCCACTCTGAAACTCCGTCAGCATGTCTCGCAATTCTGCGCACCGATGCTGCACAGTGAACCTTCACATGCAGGGTTGTGAATTTAGTCAGCTGCTTCTTGTGGGCATGCACCATCAAACTATGTAGCCCATGTGTGTCATACTTGTATTATGTATTACACACCGGAGGACTCAGTGACTGACAGAGTTTTGCATGTGCTTGGTGCAGGCCACAAAGAGGCCGAACATGCACACACCACCAAAGGAGCAAGGGTCTCGCGGCGGGAGGGGACCCCTCTGTTCAGCCCAAGCCGCTTGCGCGCTGCTGTGATCAGAATCGCCCCCCAATTCAAGGTGTTTGCCCCCCATTTGCATGCCGAGGGTGTTTCTTCCTTCCACACCCAAGGTGTCGAGGAGGGAACCTCCCTGTGTCATCGTTTGATTTCATGGTGTTGTGTGGTTTTCTGATAATGTCCACACACACGCCTGAGGTGTCTGTGCCAAACTCAGGGGCACCAGCAGCAGGACAGTCATGAGCTCTTGCGTTGCCTCATAGATGGATTGCGCACAGAGGAGAACAACGCCATCTCCTACCTTAAGGCAAGCTTTTGGCCCAGTGTTATCTGCACGCCTGCTTCTCATGCACACTGCCGTTCTCCATTTTCTGCATTGTCAATTCAAGCCGGAAAGTCCTTCTTGGGCCATGAGAGTTGGGGCCTGTTTGTTGCATTCTGACATGGAGAAACATGTGCAGGAGCGAACTGAGGACGCGTTGGTCCCAACCAGCTTCACAGAGGAGCTGTTCAGGGGAGAGCTGTCATCGCGGGTGGTGTGCAAGGAGTGCAGCCACGAGACAGTCACCCTGGAGGAGTTCTTTGACCTTTCCCTGCCAATCCCTGCCAGCCTGCCCGCCATATCAGAGTAGGCACACATGCCCTCCAAGCACCCTGGTCTTATAGTGAGACTTGAGTGGATGATGAAAGCAGGATGGACCCTGTATGCTATTCCAATTGCTGAGGGAAAAAGATGGCTCTTCAATTTCCATTTTGTGCTGTTTGGGAATGACAACGAAGGTCCATTGCGAAATGCTCTGTGGTTTGCGTAGCTTCATCTGCAGTCCCTCAAGTCACTTTTTCTCATGCTGTGTATGTGTGGCATTCTGCAGGGCTGGTGGGAGGGGCAAGCCAAAAGGGAAGGGCCCTCAAAAGAAAGGGAAGGCAAGCATTGAGAAGCCAGACGAGAGCCCAGCAGCACAAGAGCAGCAGAAGCTCACTGCCAAGCAGCGCAAGAAGGCAGAGAAAGAAGTGCGCATTTCGAAATCCTGTAAACAGTGCATCTTTGAGCGCTGAAGCTTCTTAGCTACATGCTTCTCTAACCCACAATTGTGTGTAATTTACTGTGCGCAAGTTGACGCTGCTATGAACAGGCAGTGGTGTATGAAACATTTGCTTTCAATGGTCTGCAGGCGCACAAGCAGGCCCAGATGGCTCGCAAGAAGCAGCGGAAGCGAGCCTCCGACGCCAACGACGAGGAGGAGGCGCTCCCAGACAGCACACCACCGGGCCTGGACCAAGCATCCCCTTCCACCGCTGCCGCAGCCTCGGAACCCCTTTCTTCATCCGCGCAGTCTTCCTCCTCTGACTTCACAATCCCAGGTGCAGTCCACTCTCTGGAAGAGCACGCCACATCAGGCTCTGCGCAACCAAAAGGTCAATCACAAATGTCCCGCAATCTGGAGCCCTTGACGTCTTTGGCTTCGGCTGCAGAGGCAGCGCAGCAAGGGTCGGCCGAGGGACCAGCAGCAGGCGGCGGCCAAAAGCTGCGCGGCGGCGTTGGCTCGGCCGCGGGATCGGCCGGGCGTGCCGCGGCCATGAGCGGCGCCGCGCAGCCGGCATCCAGCAGGGGGAGTGCGCAGACCCGGATACCCAGCAGCGCGCCCCCGCTCTCAGAGACCAGCACAGAAGTCCCCACGGACAGCGATGGGACCGCCCATGGGCGCGCCGACGGCGAGCTCGCGTCCTCTGCCGTTTCCCCGAGCCGGGACAGCCCGTCCTTCCCCATGCCAGAGGAGGTGCCCACGACAACCTCCGACACATACACGTCCAGGAATGCAGACAGCATCAGCATCATGGCAGCAGAGCAGACTGGGTTCCGCGCGGGCGGCTCGGCCGCGGCCGGGAGAGGCACAGCCGAGGGAGGGAATGTGCGGGAGCATGAACAGGCGTCAAGCGGCAGCGTGAAGATGCTGTCGGAGCAGCTGCGATCCGCCAGCCTTGCGCCCGACGCCAAAAGCGGCAACTGGCCGACCGAGCGCTCGGCCGCCGCCGCTGGGCCGGACAGCTCCGTGGACGCGTTATGGAATGTCCTGGAAGACCTGGACAGGGCTGACAGCACGCGCTCAGGCGAGCGAGATCTGCCCGCGCTGGAATCGTCTCACCCAACGGAGGAGCAGATCGCCGAGACAGACCCAACTGGCGAGCTGGCAGGCGGCACGCCCGCGGGCAAAGGGAGCAAGCCGGAGCCGGCGGCTGCGAAGAACTGCGTCAGGATCGCAGCGACGACAGTTGTGGAGGTCTTGCTGCAGCCCTCCGCGGTGTTCAGGGCGACCGGGAAAGCGCAGGATTTCGCGCACGACGTCCCAGAGGCCGGGTCCAAGGACGGCCTGATCGCGGTGCCGGTGTCGCCCGGCCCCGAGCTGCAGCCGCGCCTGTCAGGGTCCGGCCTGCCAGAGGCGTTCCCTGCAGCATACACTCCTGCAGCAGCAGATGAGCGGCCGGCAGACGGGGAGGTCACCAGCAAGGATGGCAGGGAGCAGGGGATGAGTGCGGGGGCTGAGCGGCTGACAAATAGCGTGCCAGCTGGCGAGGATGCCGCTGACGTGGAGCAGCAGTTGGGCGTGGGGCTGACGAGTGATGAGGAGGCGGCACTCTATAGTGACCTGGAAGATCTGCAGGAGGACACGGGCGTTTTGGGTGATGTCAGCGACACGGAAGCTGACGTCAGCGACGAGAAACAGGAGCGAACGAGGGCGGCTGATGTGGACACCTCTGGTCAGGTGAGTGGGAGACATTGCATCCGCAAGGGTCTACTCTGTTACTTTCTGTCGGGTTCTGGCAAGCACGGGTAGTTGCATTGCCATAACGGACCTCCCTACTCTCCCAAAACACGTTTGAAAATCGTCTGAGCAGAATTGTTTCTCTGCATTGTCCAGGGCACTGACGAGCCTGAAGAAGCCGGTGAGGAGATGACTGAGCTGTGCAGCCTGTTCGACGAGGGTGAGCCCAGTGGCTCAGCTGGCAATGAAGGGACAGAGTCTTGGGAGGACACTGCAGACCAGGAGCACGTCAGCCAGGAAGCCACCATCCAGGTGCTAGACCATTCTCGCTTTTCTCGTTTTTTTTCTGTGTAGTGAAACATGTATATCTTGGCGCCTGGCATTTGGCTGGCAATGTGTTAGATCATTGTCTGGGTATTTCATGGTGAATTTATATTGAAAGCTGTCACGGGGCATAGTGCTCATTATACCGCCATGGCATTCCTACATGCGCCCTACTGTCGTGCGGAATGTTTAAATTGTAAGTACATACTTTCTAGACACAGATGTAATGCTCGCGCTTGTCTTATTACAGGGCTGCCTGGCGGCGTTCTTTGCGAGGGAGCTGATCACGTGGGAGTGCCCCCCTGAGAGCGCTGCGGCCAGCAAGCAGCGCAGTGAGGAGCAGGCCCTGGCGAGTGCCTCCCTGGACGGCACTCCTCAGCCCCTCAAACGGCGCAGGTGGGGCACTTGCAGCTTTCCTACTTTCAGTGGCAAAAGCAAGACTGTGATGCTTCTGTGTTATGCCATGCCACAGAACTATTAATCGCACCACTGGAGCGAGCTTTCGCTCTTATAGTTTTATGGCGGTGTTTCTGGGTGGCGTCATACTTTTGCCTTGGCTAAGCAGCTTATGGCTCTAAATCGCTATCGCAATTTATGGACAGATCATGTGACGCCTAGGTGAAAGTTGCCACATCCATCTGATACAAAGATCTCTCGGGCTCTGAGTTTGTCTAGAGATACTGCCTTAGACATGCGTCTGATGACCTGCTCACTGGTGTGCTGCTGCAGCGTTTCATTCTCGGAGGAGAAGCCTCGGATAAAATTCATTCCCGGCAGTGCGGAGCAGCGCGGCACAAACTTTGTGCGCGCGCTTCAGGGGGACCGGCCCTTCTGCCGGCCCCTGAAGCACAAGGGCGGCTGCTTCCTGCTCAACGCCTACGTGGACAATGTCACCAAGGACAAACTCCACCTCGGCCTGCAGGCAAGCACCAGATGTCAAAGCTCGTATATTCTTTCCCACATCTGAAAGATAAAAATACTTTGATTCCCTGAAACACTGTATACCGGTATATCTGTGCTTCATGCAGCAGCTCGGTGTCCATTGTTGCAAGTATGTGTTTTCATTCTCTATATTACTGGCAACCAGACATGGGCAACCTAGGGAGATCTTCCTGAGGGAGGGAATTGGATGTGCAGGGTCAGGATGAGAATGATGCGACCCAGCTGCCGCTGCGGGACGTGCATGCCATCAATAACCGCATCGAGTTTGGCTCCGTGCCCATCTCCCCTGTCGAGGTCCGCACCCAAAACCCACCCTCTCACCACCGACCCATACTGCAACAGGAACCCTGCAACATTTTCACATTTGAGAAGGAGGAATGCAGACAACATTTCATAACATGCAAACTATAGTTCCATTCAATGCCATGCAAGGTACCTCCAGTGCAGCGCATGCTCTGGAGGGCATGACATGTGCTGGTCATGCAGCACTGTCAGTGGGCTTTTCCTGAAATGCGTCGTGTGATTGTGCTGTGCTTGCTCTTAAAGGACCCGCAGGACGAGGAGGAGCAGAGTCGCGTGCGCAGCCAGGCGCAGGCGCTGCTGGACTGTGTGGCCGACCTGGTGGTGCACAGCGGCCTGCAGGGGGCAGTCGCGCTGCTAAGCGAGGGGGCACAGCTGCAGCGCGTTCCTTCTGGCATGGGCAGTGCGGGCGGCGTGGGCAGCCCGCACTCCGGCAGCGACGGCCTCTCGCGCATGGGCAGCGAGACCTGGCGCATCGTCGGCAGCATGCCTCCCGGCTTCGGCGAGGGTGCGGCCCCTCCTTCTTGTCACTCCTCCTGCGTGTCATTCCTAGTGCCAGGACACTGCTATGTCTGCACTGGCTCCGTCAGCCCATGCTGCATGCTGTGGGATAGACTGTACCATTGTGCATGTGCTGCACTCTCTCAATGTCAAGTCTGGCGTCATGCGCTGAGCCTTGCAGTCTGGACAGCTGTGGACTGCGACTGTCTGATGGACTACATGGGGATGAGGATTATTCACTGTGCCTGGCTCTGCTGCAGGGGCCTGGGAGTATCCCCCGCCGCGCGACGACGCGCAGGGGCTGTCGCCCAGCTTCCGCTCACCCTCGACCGACGTCTACGTCCCCGCCTATCCCTCAGACAAGAGCGCCAGGCCGGGTGCACTGGGAGCGAATCCAGGCTCCTCCCAGCTGCCAGCCTCCTTCTGGGCGCGGTTTGCTGCCAGCCAGGAACCCATCATGGAGGCGGCCCGGGAGGGGTCAATCGACACCGACTCGCAACTCAGCGGAGAGATGAACCTGCCCCTCACCCCCCACAACTCCCTCAACGACGACGCAGCGCGCGTGCAGAAAGGCGGCGGCAGCGCCGATGCGGCGGTCGGGAATGACAGCTCGCGCCGGCCGCCGCGCGCGGAGGACGGCGGCGCTGCGGCCGGCCGGCGGCGGGCGAAGAAGCCGCCGCCGCCGGCGCTAGAGACGCGCAACTCATTCACGATCACGGCGGAGGTGCCAGTGTCGCCGTTCAGCAACGACCCCGAGGGGCGGCTGCTGTCAAACGGGTGGGAGCCATCATGGCCGGTGCAGCTGCCGGCAGGGGAGCGCGACAGCTCCGAGGCCTACTGCCGCATCTTCTGCAGCGACAAGGGCCGCAAGAGCGCGCGCCCGCTCAGCCTTCGCAGCGACTCCGGCGCCTCCACCGCCGCCGACAGCCCCTTCGGCCGCGCAGTCAGCGGCCGCGGCTACATAGCCGATTCGGACGAGGACCCAGACTGCGACAGCATGTGCCGCGCTAATTGCCAGGACTCCTCCAGCACCGGTTTTGGCGGCTCCAGCCCCTTTGCCAGCTCCAAGCCAAGCTTCCTGGAGAGGCGGCACAGCGAGCGGAGCCCCTTTGATGACGATGCAGAGACTTCCAATAGTCTCGGCAGGCGGCACAGCAACCGGGCGCCCTTCACCGACCCTGCCGAGGACCCCGGCGACCTCGGGGGAATGGGTCTCTTCACCAGGAGGGACAGCCAGATGGGCTTCCCGGGCCTGGACGAGGAGTTGTCCAATGGGGACACCCCAGAGGTGCCGTCTGCTTCGCCTAGCCTCTCCAGCCCGTTCACCGGCCGCAGCGCAGCCCCCTCCCCCTTTGCCGACCCCGACGTGCAGCTCAAGGGCAGCGGCAGCCTCTCACAAGAAGCCTCGCCAGCGCCCAGCCGCAGCAGCAGCACCAGCCCCTTTGCAGCGCAGCAGCACAGCAGCGCGAACGGGGACGCCCCGGGACAGAACGGCCCGGCAGCTGCGGCGCGCTGGGCCGTCCCGAACGGCATGCACGGGAACGGTGCGGCCAACGGCGGCGATCCCGAGCGGTCGGCATTGGGCAGGAGCAGCGCTGACTCAGCCATCACGCCGCCCACGGGGGTGAACAAGGCGACGGGGAACGCCGTCTTCTGGGCCGGCTCCAAGACCCACGGTATCTCCTTCGTGGACGAACCGCAGGACGCTGCCCCAAAGCACGGCTTGGCTCGCTTCCCCAACGGCGACATGCGGCTCCCCGGCGGCGCAGAAGCAAAGGAGTCTCCCGCTGATGGGGACGAGCCAAGCCAAGCAGAGCTTGGCGCAAACGATCTGCTGGCGGATGACGCAGAAGCATCCAGTGGCGTCGTGGCAGCACCTGCAGCCAGCGCAGCCACTGGCGCCGAACAGGGGACCAGCTCTGTGGATTCCGCGCAGGAGCCAGCCGCCGAGGCTGCCCTTGCAGGTCTCGCTACGTCGGCAGGGGCAGACGATGCATCCAGCCATGGGCAGGCAGAGGGTGTGGAAGCTGATGTAGAAGCAAAGGGCGCAGCGGAAAGCGACGCAGTGGACAGCGAGGAGGTGGGTATTGGCGCAGAGAGGAAGGCGCAGTCGCTGCCGTCTCCGCAGCAGGTGCCGGGGGCGGGCGGCCGCGCCGCGGCCGTGTCTGGCCGGGCACTGCGCAGGACCGTCAGCAAGAGCATCCTGCGCAAGTCCACGAAGATCTCTGTGCAGCGGGAAGCCGTCAAGGGCTACCTCATACACAGGTGTTGCCCGTGTGACCCTCCTCGAGCTCACCTGTCCTGTGCTCTCCGTCATCTCCATGCCAGACAGCAGTCATATGGCAGCGGGCACCCCTTTCAGCCTCATATCATTCAGCCTGGCGCATCCTGTACACTGCTTTGAAGCGCGGTTTCGGTGTGTGGATATGTGGGGAAAGCAAAAGCAGCGTTGGTGTTGCTGGATGATATGGAGCATGGAGCATGTCTGGAAGCTTTTCTGAAATGACTGATCTTTTCTAATAGTAATTATGTGTGTGGTCAGGGCGCCGGAGGTGCTGACGCTGCACCTGAAGCGCTTCCAGCAGGACATGCGCGGCCGCCTGGCCAAGATCAAAGGCCGAGTCCCCTTCCCCGCCGACCTCGATATCACGCCCTTCTGCGACCCCAAGGTGCCCATCTCTCGGTTCCCAGCCTTTTTTCAGCCTTCTCAAAAGAACAAACAATATTTTGCACGCCTCTTGAGTACCAGATAGGCTGAGTATTGCACCCACATACCTTCCAGTTTGCTGCAATACGGTACCATATGTTTGGTATCCACTAAGCCAAATTTCCTATTCTTTCTGTTGTTGTCCCAACCCACACCATTCTCAAAATACCTTGCATATCATGAGTCTCCAGGTGTGTAGAGACTTGAATACCCACAAGTCTCTCCATTTGCTGGCTATGTGCATGCTGCCAGTTTGGCGAGTGGAAAGTTTTCGATTGTGAGGAATGCTAAGGCAGAATGTATGGGGTTTATTGCAGGGCAAGGATGCGGCGGGTGCGCAGTACACGCTTGTGGGAGTGGTGGAGCAGCAGGGCGGCATGAGCAGCGGCCACTACTGGGCCTACGTGGCACGCATGCCCACCGACAGCGCACCACCGCCACCGCAGCCGCACCCGCGCCAAGACAGGTCTGCCACCTGAAGCCTGACCAACATTCTTTGGGTGTCCTGCTTTAATGGACAAGTCTGGAAACCACGCTGCAATAGTCTTGCCCCACCCGTAGGCCCTCAGTGCTGTAGCCCAAAAGGGGAGAGAGAAAGAATCATTTCATCTGTGCCAGCCAATAAGGGGTTGATGAGCTGGTCGAACTACATAAGGTTTTCCCCTGAACATATGGCCAATATCATCTCTAAGTTGGAGGATTCAAATGGGCTTGTGCAGCAGATTAATCTGCGCAAGCCAAGACAGGCAATGACGTCTTCATGTCCTGTTGGTGCAGCTTTGACGGGGATGACGCGGTGCCGCTTGCGCCGGCACATAAGGCCGGCTGCAGCGCCAAACCTGGCTCCGGCGCCAAGTCAGCCTTCGGCGCCAAAACTGGCTTGAGCGGAGGCAACGCGCCCAAACCGGCCGTCCCGCTCACGGCAGCTGCCGCGGGAACGCCGACCGCGCGGTCCGCCACCGGAAAAGGCGGCTCCAGCGGAGATGCACCGCGCGCGGAAGCAGAGTGCAATCCGCGGCTGGCTGGCAGCCGGCCCAAGCTGGACTCTGCACGGCTGCAGTGGTTCCACGCGAGCGACGAGAAAGTGAAGCCTGTGTCGTGGGACGCTGTGGCGGCCTGTGAGGCGTACCTCCTCCTGTATGTGCGCGTGCGCTAAGGCCGCACGTCCCTGCCAGGGCATAGAGGTGGCATCATTTCTGTCGCTGATGGGACATTTCTGTCGCTGATGGGCAGACAAAATGGCGCCATGCATACTCTGGGATGGGATATCTTTTGCGGTATGGCGTTTGTCCTTCGTGTGTCTTTAGAGAGGCTGTTTCGCTGCCCACATGCTGCTACAGCAGGCGCGAGCTCGCAGCCTTTCTGGCGCTGGCTATAAAATGATACCGCCATGTTTCTTTTGATCGCATCAGGCCATATTGCTGTCATTGGCAGCAGTGTCTTTCCAGCAGATTGTGATGCCTCTTGTAAAGACAAGGGAAAGTAAACTTATGTTTTGATGTTTAAATCAGCATAGCAGCTGCAGCTAGGAAGTCGGTACGAGCGCATAGGTTGAGTAGGCGCAACAGGAGAGTGTGAGGGAAGCTGGAATCTTGTATATGTGGGAGTGTGCATATATGTAGAACATAGCTACGTAGCCGGATGCTTTGGAGATTTGGTCATGCATAGTCATAAGACCTCTGCAGCGTCTCTATGATAGAACCATGTCAGAATGAAAAGATGCAGATGTGGACATGCGGACTTTTCAATCCATGAGACAGTCTCACTTTAGAGAAAAGCAAATTTGTAACTTTGTGGGTCTCTTACACATATAATGTTTGCAGTCGCAAGTTTACAGAACGCTATTTAATATACGGTAGTAGGAAACATTCTTGAAAGCACCATATTAGCACCTCGCCAGTACGGATATCATGTACTCACAGCAGGCGCAACCAATCCTAGCCTCATTTCCGGCCCTGCTTGCCAGCTCTGATGTTTGCAAGTGGCTCCTGTAAACAACCTCCAAAAATTATAGCCCAAGGCTCAGACATTCGCACACCCCTTGATGGTGTACTTGCTCTTTGCATGAACACTGCTCTTTCTAAGATTTGTACCAAATTGCAATACACGAGCTGGTGTGCTGATGCAGCCCAGCACTTCCAGCCAGGCGCGCTCGCATCAGCGGTAGGAGTCTGACATCTGTTCACGCATCAGCCAAAGGAGATCTGCGATGCGCCGCCGGGGGGCGCCAGCACGCGCGAGGAGTTCCGGTCGGTCAGGAAGTTTCCCACGTTCTGGCCCTCGGGGCGGCCGTAGTTGTTCCTCTTGTTTGCATTGTTGCCCTCCTCCTGCTTGGCGCCCATGTACAACGAGTTGCTGCCTGTGGCGTCAATCGTGACTGTCGGCTGCGGCGCCGCGGCCTGCGCAGCATGCATGCACATTGCTCAGGCAATAGGGAAGCAGTGGACAATTGCAGGCGTCTGTAGAGGAAGCTGAGAGAGGCCCTCCCAAGAGATCCTCACAGTTGGCATTACCAATCCTCAGCTCACAGGCATTGGTCAGCTTACAGGCAATCAACGAGAATCGAGCGAAGAAGTGGTGCAGGGAAAGTCCGTGGAGAGCACTGGTCTCTTAGTGCTAGTATGTAGACAGTCATGAGCGCCTGAAGGGGCTCCTGGTCAGCTTATGGACAGGGGAAAGTAGATCCTGCTGAGCCAGCCATTTGCGCCCTGCTGTGCAGCTGCACTTTTAACCCGCTGCAGCACTTGTTTGCCAGATGCATGCAGGTGCATGCAGCTACAAAACTTTCTGTTGCCACCCCAAAAGAGAGCACGGGGAAGGCATTAAACAGCAAAATAAAGGCAGAGGGAGGCCAGTTTGCTGCATGCAGAGGGGGGCCTCAGCACCTTCTTGGCGGCAGGGGGGGCCTCGTCGCCAAAGAATATCTGGGAGGCGCCACCTGGGGCAGCCAGCACGCGCGAGGATGGGCGGTCTGTCAGGAAGTTGCCCACGTTCTGGCCCTCTGGGCGGCCGTAGTTGTTGCCGTGGGGCACGTCTCCCATAGAGAATGCGTCTGCCTCACCGGTCTGCGACGGGGGCCGAGATCCCTCCGCCTTCATGGTGCTGCAGGGGCATGCCAAACCAATCATGCACCGCTACGTGAACCCTTTGTCCTGCTTGGTCCCCAGTCTTCTGCATGCCCTTAAGATAAAAAATTCAATATCCGGGGATTTTTGGTTGTATATAGGTTGGTTGTGACTGACAGGTTTGCCTCTTGACATGAGGGTGATCAGGAAGGAGCGCACTAATCCTGGGTCTCGATCATGTGCTCCTTGATGCGCTGCATGAGAGTTTCGCGGCTGCCGGCGGGGCTGACGCCGCGCGCGCGGCACTGGATGCGCAGGTCCTTGAGCAGGAGGCCCTTGAGGCTGTCATCAAGTGCAATGGAGTCCATAGCTGCCTGCAAAGCAGCTCAAAGTCATTCTGAAAATTCGTGGTTTTGGCTTTTTTGGATCCGTCGTGATGGATTAATCAAGGAAAATCAACTCGTAGACCGTTTGGGAATCTATGAAGTACAAGGGCTCCCATCTTGAAATATAGGGACGACCTTCGACACAAAGCCCGTGTGGTCCCTGTCTTCGCACTGATGCGAGACAAACAAATTCCCCTATGCATGAAGCTAGTCAAACATGCCAGGATCAGCTGGATGAGCAGGCCAGTCTTTGAAAGTGGCTTCCCGCTTGAAAAGCAGTTACTTCTTGCGAGGCAGGCTGCCCATCGTTCAATGCTGTTGGATACTCTTGGCCACCATATATCATGTCTATAGACTGACCCTATCGATCTGTGTGCATTTGTCATGGGAAAGACACTGCCGATGACTGACTAGAGGAAGCATACCTTTCGTTGTCTAGAAGTTGGGAACTAGATCACGTTTGCTGAGGCTGTCGTCTCTTTGTCTTGATGATGGCGGTTTAAGCTGCAATGTTGATCACTGAAAATTTTTGAAGGAAGGAGACAATGGGTCTCCATCATATGTGCATGGAAATGGGCAGTCCACAAACAATCACTTCTTTCAAGCTCCTCTAAATATCCATCTCTATCTAATAGTCATCACAATAAAAGCAAAAAAGGGGTAAGGATGATCTTCATGTGGCTCTTATGGAATGGCGGAGGTAATCAATGTCTTCGCCCTCGGGAAGTGAACAATTGAGCTATGCGATGGAAGGCTTTGCACAGGCGATAAGACACTTACATCGAATGAGACACATCTAGAATCATTACGAAGGGCTTCATGCACGACACCACTCCTAATATGTATTTTCCTAGTCTCCCTTCCTGGTAGCTGAAGTCTAGATCACACCCTCTACGCATCGTACACGTTCTTGTTATTTGTTCCCGCTTTGGTAATTAGATGAATGGATCGTTGATCAGTGCATACTTATGCGTCCAATGCAGGCAGAAGGACCATCACCGCACCAGCCTTGACCTCCCACCCGAGATCTGGCAGGTCATAGCGCGGTTTATGACTCCGAAGGAATGGGCCACAGTGTCAGGCCTGTGCAGGACCACTTGGCGGCTTCAGCTGGACCCAGTGCTAATCTGTCAGTGTAAATACTGGAAGAAGCTTTGCGATAGAGGTGAGCTCAGCATGCCTACTTCTACCAAAGCATCATCCACTGGGGCCTGCCGGCAGCCCATGCACTCCTAGTTGTTATCCACAGAAACAAGACCCGCACTTCCTGGATGCCTGGGATCAGTGGTCATTGTATCTGAGATAAGCTGGTCATGGCTGGCACCAATGCTGACCCTTGAGATTGATCTGGCAGTCATGGTGAGGCCCAGTCTTTCTGGGTGCAGGAGCTGCATGGATGCTGAAAAGGGCACAGCTGACACAGCGATTGGAGCTGGATCTGCCTCGTGATGGCACCAGTCTTCAACCAACACTCAGGGCCCTCATGCAGGTCTCCGGCGGCTTCGGCAGGCTGACCGGACTGTCTTTCCGGGCAAGTCCACAGAGTGAGGAGGACAAGGAACACCACAAAATGGCTGTGGCATGGCTTCTGGGGCAGGCCAAGGAGCTTGTCTTCCTCAGCCTCGACCTGGTGGGCCTGCCATATTTGCCTCACCTGTCCCACATCCAGCACCTGCAGCTAGATGTGTCAGGTGGAGCCTTCCCAAGGCTGGCACCTGTGCTCACAACACTGGTCACTTTACGGACGCTCTACCTTGAATCCACAGAGACACAGGGCGCGCAGGAAGAGGCTACGGGCCTGGACTTGCAGACCTTGACTGAACTGGAGAGTGTCATGCTGGATGGAGCCGTGCCATCCGCCCTGACTCTGGCCGAGGGCACTTCCCTGCGTGTGACTGTGTACTCCATAGAAGATGCTTGCAATGGACTCTGGTTGAGTGCTGGGAGGGCACTGAGATCCTTCACCCCGCAAGCCGATGGCGAGAGTATAGCCTCTGAGGATGAGATCCCACCTTGGATGCTGGAGCCTATCCGTCTTGAAACGCTTGTGCTGGCCTTGTACAGCTTTGGGAGGGGTATTGTAGAGGGAGTGTTGGAGTCTGGACATATCGAGCTGCAAGGTGCGTTTATGCTCACCGAGCGCATGTGCTTCGATTGTGTGGAAGGCCTCTTTGTGAGCGTGCGAAGAAAGCACGAGTGGAAACTGGTCAACTTCCATTCCTGTGGCAGACTTGATCTTGAGATGACGTATCCTGCCCATTTTGTGGCATCCTGCCCAGCATTCTCTATAAGGTATGACCACTTGAACGGGGTGGATTTGATTTGTCTGGCATCTTGCTTGACAAAAAACGGAATCACATTTGAAGCAGAGCAGGTTATAGCCTCAGATTATAATTGCAAATTTTACGGTGCTCCACAACTAGGCCACCTCAGTGCTGATCATCATGATGAGCTGGACTTGCATAATGTTGACTCTAGCTTATGCAGATGTGGAGCATGCCATATTTGCTGCCGATTGGATAATTTTCATGGAGCTCGAGTTCCTGACAATGACCTGTACTAGAACATGAAGCAAATGCATATTGAAGCAAAAGCATGTAAGAATAGTTGCATCCCACCCGGAAGTCCCGCATGCGCAGTAACTGCAAATGAACATTTGTGGGTCGATTTGAGAGATACTGTCAGCTAACCTCTGGGCAAAAGTGCTGGCACTACCAGCCTGGAAGAAGCAGCCCATTCTCAGCAAAAAATTTGTGATGAACACCTGCAACCGCGGCAACCGCCGGCGGCCGGCTTTAACCTCACTGACTATCTGCCATAAAAGCAAAGGCTTTTCATGTATGCAATAAATCACGGAACATGATCACTCATTGTTCACTTCTTCTAGAAAGAGCTTTCCAGTTCTGCCCCTTAGAAGGCCAGTCACAATGGGCATGCGATACCGGAAGCTGGCAGAAGCTGGGAAGATGGCGGGCCCCAGGGGCAGGCCACAACAACGCCAAGATGGCCGAGAATTTAAAAATTTTAAGGAAGTAGAATCCTTTCAAAGATTATCAGTGCACCGGTTCGACTGCAAATGGGACAATGGAGTGTCCTTTATATCTCTGGTTATGGACCGGATGCAGATAAATGGCTTCACGATCGACCAGTGCATATAAAGTTATTCCAGCAAGTTGACTGTACGCTCGATTCTGAGTAGGCACAGAAAATGGGGGAATTTGTCAACTATCCCAGGTATGCAATTACCTTTCAACATTTTAATTTGGCCGTGACTATTGGCAATCTAACAAGTGCTTTTCCAGGAGTTAGCCCTATAGCGTTGCATTGGTGCTCTTGTGATTATTTTAGGACATGTTGAATTGTGATAAACAACCTGCCATGTGGCCCTTTCAGGTCACAGATGCCTCACCACACCAGCCTCCCCCCAGAGATCTGGCAAGCCATCGCTCGGTACCTGAGCGCTCGAGACTGGGCCAGAGTGGCAGGCGTGTGCAAGACCACCTGGCAGCTTCGACTGCCAGAAGTGCGCATCAAGCAGAACGAATTACGCCAGGGTACTCTCTGTAGGGAAGGTGAGCTTGTTGCCAACAGGCATAGACTTCTGCACAGCCTGTGTGAGCTTGCCAAAGTTATTCCATCATGTCCTGATGGACTACATTCTTGCATTGAGCGAGGTCAATCTCCACAGGCCTTGTATCTTCCCTGAACCTGCCTTTTGTGAACCCCAGACACTTTTGACTTCAGTGAATCCCCGGATTCTTTTACTCAGATTGTGGCAGCTAGTGCCAGATCCACCCTCTGCCCTTTGCTGTCTGATATCTGTCCTATGCGTGCAGGCGCTGCGTGGCTGCTGAAGAGGGCCCAGCTGGCACGAGAACTCTTGCTGGATCTTCCCGGTGACATTGCTGAGCTGCAGGCCACCCTCACAGCTCTCATGCAGGTCCCTGCTGGCTTCACCAGCCTGACTTCCCTCGCGTTTAGGCCTCCTAAGAGATTTGAGAAAGCTCAAGAGTCCGTCATCATGGCTGTGTCGTGGCTCGTAGGACAAGCCAAGGGGCTGGAATTTCTGAGCATTGATCGAGTGAGCCTGCCGCACCTGCCATCCCTGGCACACATCCGGCACTTGCAGTTGGCTGTCTCCGTTGAAAGCTTCTCGAGATTGGCCCCTGTGTTAGCAACGCTGGTAACCCTGCAGACACTCTACCTTGATGGCTCAGAGATGCAGGAGCCAGCTGCGCCCCCGGCTCACTTGGACTTGCAGGCCCTGACTCAGCTGGAGAGTGTGATGCTGGATAGAGTTGTGCCTGCCTCGCTGCTCCTTCCTGAGGGCACTGCCCTGCATGCGATTGCATGTTGCCTTGAGGACGCTCGAGACGCATTCTGGCCTACTGTGTTTGGGGCCCTGAAATCATTTGTTCTAGAAACGGGTCAACATCTGAGAATGGAAGAGGACATTCCAGATTGGATGCTGGGGCCTGTCAAGTTGGACAGGCTGGTGCTGTCATCAAAAAGCTTTGGAATGGGGTATAATAATGACGATGGCTTTGATCATGGACTTATCCGGCTCAGAGGTGCACTTTTGCTGGCAGACGAATTCTGCCTAGAATGCAGTGAAGGCCTCTATGTGGAAGTTCCAGGAGAGCACCAGTGGAGGCTGGTGAACCTAATCTCTGACAAGCGATTGTTTGTGCGCCTTAGAAATATTGCCAGATTTGCATCATGCCCAGCATTTGTCATCAGGTATGAGTCCTTAGAGGGCATTGATTTGAGTAGGCTGGCTTCTTACTTGGCAAAGGCCGGCATAGATTTTAATCTCAGCCAGTGGGGGGAGCCTGATTGTGATTTCACAGCAGGAAGAGGAGCTGATATCCTGCATGAGGAACATGCAAGATCTTGCAAATGCGGTGCGTGCCGAATTTGTTGCCGCCTTGACAACTTCCAACTTGGAGGGGAGAGAATTAGCTCCTGCGCCGACTTTTGGGAGTACATTTGAATGCTTGTTCAGACTCGGAACAAATGCTGTCTGCCATCTATGGCATGCAGTAACTTGTAGGCAGCTGATACCCATGGGAGGGCAGAATCTCTAGCATAAATCAAGCAGACGTTCAAGGGGAGGAGTTTCAAAGAGGACTGTAGGAATGGGCGCATCCAGTTGAAGGGTGCATTCCTGCGAGTGGACAGACTCTGCTTGAGTTGCTCGCATGGCATGTGGGTGGAAGTGTCAAAAGGGCACGAATGGACACTTGTCAACATGCTTTCTGATGTTAAGCGATACGTTGGCACTGACAATGTCACCAAATTTGCATCGTGCCCAGGATTTTTCTTCAGATATGACGACCTTCAAAGCGTGGTTCTCTTATCATTTGTGTCTGAATTGACAAAGTGCGCCGTGAAGTTTATTCTGTATCAAAGGGGGCAGCCTGATTGTCAGATCTACATGGTGTTGATTGCAACTGGCTTTCAATGGGATGGCAAGGGGCAGCATACACCTTCCCATGTGTGTACTCTGTAAGAATTCAATGTCTCGTCATCAGTGCCCTCTTGATTCCATGTTTCTGAGTAAAGACAGTAGGCAATCACAAGCAACTGGTGCAGGAAAGCTTGCTTGGTACTGATGGATATCACGTGTGGGTCAAGTGTCAAAGTCTTCTTTGCTGCTATCCGCATTGGGGCAGTGAGTATTGACTTGCAAGCTGCTAATCTCATGACATTTGTTCGTATGCCAGATGCACAAGCACTGCTGCAGATCAAGAACATTGCAGTTCCACGCATGCTTTTGTCTTGCAAGTTGTGCAGTGATCATGACGCAAGGCTGTCATGGCACCTGCTACTCTGGAGATGCATGTATGGCGGATGTGATCTGCAGATTGACGTGTTGATATCTCTCTACAGAGACTACGCTCTTGACAGCGACACTCCCACATCAGTCAAAGAGATTTTTACATGACGACAATGGTCAAGACAGCTAGTCTTCTCGGGTGAATACACAGGATGGATCGACTCTCACAGGGGCTGTTGCACGCTCCATGCAGAGGCACAGATGACCACAATCGCTTGCAAACAGACAGGGAAGCAGCCATGGCCACACAGAAACGCTGTGCGGCTCAATGGGAGGGGAAACAGACAGACTCCACGGGGGTCAGAAATTGCTCAGATTAGGAGATCTTCAGGGAGCGAACTTGGTGGCGGCGGCGAAGCCGTTGTTGACTCCGGGGTCGGCCAAGTGGTCGGACAGGTTCTCGATGGGGCCCTGTGCGCAGAAGGTAACACCATTCGTCAACACCTTTCTCAATGGTTGTGTGAGTGATCATTGATACAGCAGAAAGCATAGAGAAACTGCAGCACTCGTCAGCAGCAATATCTGCACATATGGACTCGATCTGTGAGCGGTCTAGGCCACAGGAATTAGCATGTGCATGCTCGCAGGCGTAGCATTCCACTGAGTTCAAGAGACCAGAAAGGGGGGACTAGCAAGTGAGTAAGATCTCGACAGAGAGGGAAACAATTGAAGGGGAATTGCACCTTGCCGGTGACGATGGCCTGCACGAAGAATCCGAACATGGAGAACATAGCCAGACGGCCGTTCTTGATCTCCTTGACCTGCGCACACAAACAGCCCAGGGTCAGCACACCTCAACTCCATCATCAGGGCATGTAAGCCCTATGCACCATACTCTGATCTCCTGAGAGCCACAGGCAACTAGAAGTGCAGCAGCAAAAATTTTATAGCAGAAGAGGGCTGCAGGAGGCAAGACTCCAAGCTGCAGCACTTCTGCTTGCTTAGCATGAATTGCAGACAGTAAAATCAGAAGCACAAAAGGCTGTGCTTTTGTTGACCAGGAGTGCAGGCAGGAAATTTGGCTGCAGCAGCATGGCAGAAAATTATGTAGGTACATGAAGGTATTTGGATAAGGGGGTGGGGTGTTGGTGTACCTTGAGCTCGGAGAAGGTGTCCGGGTCGTCAGCAAGGCCGAGGGGGTCGAAGGGGCCACCGGGGTACAGGGAGTCCAGGCCCTCGAGGCCGGGGCCCTCACCGGCTGCGCGGTATGCCTCAGCACCGCCCATCAGGATCACCTGCACACCATGACAGCTCCCAGCTCAAGCCACTGCAGTCTTGTAGAAGCCAGCCATGATCCGCTAGGAGAACTCAATGCCATCAGTAGCAACAACATTATACTGAGTACATGGAGTTTGGCGAACAGGGCAAGTTGAGGGTACCTCAGTATGACTGATTTGATGTCATGTAGGGTTAGGGGGATGGAGCAGTCTGTCAGACAATTGCATGCTGTCAATATGGGTGCAGGCAATAGTCATTAGGTGGGCCTTTGCAGTTGCAAGTGGGCTTCACAGTGCAAAAGTAGAAATGCCATCAGGTTGAGGCTGCAAACAGTGACAGGAGTGAAGGGGTGTGTGCTGACCTGGCAGGCCAGGGTGGCGATGATGGACTGGGCGTGGACCAGGGAGGAGTTGCCCAGGTAGTTGAGGCCGTCAGAGCCGAAGATCTGAGCGCCGGCCTTGAACCAGACGGCCTCGCCGAAGGAGACGCCGTTCTTGGCGAGCAGCTCTGGGGTCACGCAGCCCAGGGCTCCGAGCATGGCCCAGCGAGCGTGGATGACCTCGATCTCGCGGTAGCTGCGCACAATTACACACAATACATCAGCTCTCATGCTTTCAAATAAAAAACCAGGCAGTCTCGCAGTGATTCCAGGTAAGTTCTGGCCCTCGGCAGACACTACTCTAATTGTCTTTCTCCTATAGTCTTGCGCTGCAGCCTGCAGCTGCGATCTATGAGCTGAAGCAAGCAGCAGGCTGTCACCCAGAAAAGCGAATTATAATAGGGTATGGGCCGGTGCATTTTTGAGGAGGTGGGCAGGCGAAGGGGGTTGGCAAGGGGGAGCTCACCGAGCGAAGGTCTCGGGGTCGGCGGAGAGGCCGGCTGTGTCCCAGCCGTAGTCACCGGGGAACTCGCCATTCAGGTATGAGGGGGTGTCAGTGAAGGGGCCCAGGAACTGCGCACATCAGGAAGGATCAGGCTGGCTGCCAGCTCGATCGCACTGGCAGGATCTTAGCCAGTGACTTCACAAGGCAGCTGCACAGCACAAGCACAACGCAGGACAATTATTATTGGATAGCAGGAGTGTCGGAAGGAGGACGGCGGGTGGCAGGATAAGGGCAGCGCTGTCGGAACTCACCGTGGCGCGGTCGGGGCCTGCACACGGCAGAAAGAGAGATCAAGATCGGTCAACGACATCCAAATCCGAGTCATGTGCCCGGCGCGCGCCAAGGATACCCTCCCAGTAGATACGGTGCAACACCCCATGGTATCTGCCTCCATGGGTCGAGCAAGAGATAACGTTTTTGGATGCAGGATAAGGCCTCACCGTAGAACTCGATGGCAGCGCGGGTGACCTGACGGTTGCCCTGCGGAGCGACATACACAAATCAGGGCCCAGTGTGTAGATAAGACTCGAGGGGCGCCACCAAATATCACCGGCATGCGTCCCGTCTTTCCTTGCATACGAAGAACCCATTCCTCCAACCCATTGACTAGTGTCACACAATTGCAGCTAAAATTACATTCACTAGCTTTCAACCAAGACATATGCCAACCACCAACAGATCGCCCGGTGGCCTTGAAGCAATCTAGGTCGACCGGAACGAAGCAAAAGGCAACTGAGTCTGGCTTTTCAGGCAATAGAGCAGGCTTCACGATTCAGTGCTCGCTGCAAGAATCCACGGCTTACAGTTTGGGTTACACTCGCGTTCTTGGCTTTGGGGAAATGGCGCACCTTGCCGGCAGTGGGCACGGCGCTCCTGAGGGAGGCACCGGCGAAGCTGTTACAGAGCAGAGCGGAGGCCATTTTGTCTGTTTTGAGGATAAAAATTTGACAGATGTTCAGATTAATGAAAGAATTGTTTAAGAGATCTGTTGGGAGAGGCCAGGATTTAATTGGGCAGCTCCACTGTGCTGTGCTGTGATTGGGCGTCCGAGATTCGACATGGCGTTCAGGGACGGGCGTTGCCTCCTCCAGATTCTGTCCATTGCGTGTCCTTCGCATGCTGTGGATTATCCTAGATCCCTCCTGAATCGACAGCGCTCCATCACCCTGTGCGCCCAGCTGACTATCTGAGCATCCACAATGGCCTCTTGTACCTTTATTATGGACGTTTGTTTGACATCAAAGTGACTTATGGACCGGCGCCGGCCGCGCCTGCCAGGGGCCTGCCGCAGTGCGCCGGGGCGCCTGCTCGGCCCGGCGTGCTTGTGAGGCTTTGGAAGGATTCCCAGTGGGACTTCTCTATCTTTTGTGTGTTTTTCTGTGAGGGTTCTGCTGTAGCAGTAGCTATATAGGCAAGGACTTCTTGATCATGAAGAACTTCTGTTGAACAATCATTGTTCTGCATGATGCTTGCCAAGCTGGCGGCCAATGCTTGCACCTGACTTGGCCCAATCTGGGGTTGAGACAGTCACTCGCAGTGCGTCATGCTATCATGCAATACACGCCATCCGATGAGTCATTGTAGTGGATGATAGCGTTTGCTGCTGACAATGAACAGCCCGAGAGTCCGGATCGGTGCAGAGATGAGCTGAATCCTTTGGCCAGCTCTGATCAGTGCCGCACATTCCGGTGGCTAGCAGTGGCAACTTGCATTGAAGTGGTCGGGCCACCCTACAGCTGGAATAGCATTTCTAAAAGATTTTTTTTTCTGGTGCTGCACCAAGACTTGCGCAGATCCAGACAGCAGGTGGTACATAACAAGCAGCGTGTCTTCACAACATCCAGTTTAGTACAGTAACACAAAGCCAGTCATGAACATTTTGCACTTCTGCCTCAATTTCTGCGAACCCACTGGCAGTGCAGTGCACTGTAATCCGATGTGGCCACAGCGAGAGTGACTAACCCCCTCATTTCAGTGCCAGTTCCCTATCAATGCTGCTCTTGGAGCACTTCAACACACAATCACTGTGCTGCCCTAAGCTGCTGGGATCCTCTGCATTATACAGGAGACTCTCCCAATTTTTGAAGCATGCCCAGTGATTATACATCATGGCTGGCTGGCACAACAACGGCAGCGCTGTCACCCTTTGGACATGCGCCCCTTGTTGCGCCCTCTCGAGGCCTGCTGTCGTGAGGGCAGCCTGTTCTGGCGCTGCTTGCCATCCCCCCCATTCAAGGCAGCGCTCGCAGGGGCGGCCCCTGATGTGTCCGCTGACTCATCCACTGCGTCGGCTGCTTCGGCCATCTCCACGTCTGGGGGCAGCATTACAGAGCGTTGCATCAGAGGGATTTTTGTATGCCTGGAGCATGTGCAAAAAATCGTGATCCTGGTGAAGGAAGCAATGTTGAGATTCAAACTGACACCATCCAGTGGCTTGTTTGCTGGAACTCATGGGGATCATAGACTTGGAAAAAGCAATCTGCTAGCCTAAGGACTGAGTCTTCAATCGTCTGGCTGTGCAAAGATGCATTTCCCAGATGAGAAGTAGCAGGCAGCAATTTGACTGACCTGGGCTGATGTCGCCTCTGGCCATGGAGGCGAAGTAGAAGTTGTTCAGCTTCTCCACCTTTTTGACATCTGCCAGCTGATCAGTCTGGTACTGCAGACACTGCATATTACACCGAGCAGGGTCAATGATCATTTGAAGGCATGAGATATATTCTACTAATTTCAGAGGACTGTGTGTCATTTTCAAAGGAATCCATCAAAGAAAGGCCACAATATTGGCACTCCATACAGGTTCGATGGATGGCAACATGGGTCTCAGCACAGTGCACTTTCAGATCCTCTAAGACAAGACAGCTCTGGCACCTCAAGTAATACAGATGATTAATATCAGATCGAATTCCCTAAGCACAAAGCTCAGGCCAGCTCACCACTCGATCATCAGTCACTTTGAGGACAACTTTTCCGGAGCTGTGGCTGTACTTCAATACGTAGCGCGTGCGCAGGGGATCAGTCCGATACAATTGTTGTGCTTGCTCATAAAAGCTGTGCCAGTCCTCAATAAACATGCCTCCAACTCACGTTGCCAAAAGAGCCGCCTCTGAGCGGCATTTATCAAGCCTGCATGGCGCTACAAATCCAGAAGAGAATACAGGAAATGTTTTGCTTCTTTAGTATTTGTTCTCTAATCACAAGCGAGGTTCAGGTGCTCAATTGACCAGTTGTGACTTCAGCAAAAAGGCCGATCTTGGACACAACGATCGACAGTCCGGATGCAAGCATGCGAAACAAGACCAAAACGTGTGTTGGGCCTTCTGCAGTTGTCTGGTACAATATTTCACCAAAGGGATCGGTTGAAGTTTTCCATCATGTGCACAACCAGCGTCTTGCAAAACAGGGTTTCAACCCTACCTTCCAGATCACATCCTTTCTGGAGATCGAGTAATATGCAGCAATTACGTTCCACAAGCAAGCTTCCAAATAGGGCCTTGTGCAGTAGTCGATCACTTCGATAAGAGTGCAGCTGTGTTGTTGACTGCAGAGGTTGGCATTTGTTGATCGTGTGATCTGGCCACAGATGCAGGCCCTACTGCAGCCAAGAGCAGAGCTTCTGCGATTCTCCGAGTCGAGATGCTCACCTTCAACAACATGCAGCACCACAAGCGCCTCTGTGTGCTGCCCACCCACTCGCAGATTATCACACGGGTACTTGCCTTCAATCCTGATGATACCTTGTAATGGGTACAATTTTCATGTAGCGTAATTGGATCCCTCTACTGCTCGCAAAATATAGTCAAGTGTAGTCACCTGCCATATTGCCTCTGCAGCTTCCTGTCATCCATTTGGTGCACGCCCATGAATGAGTCACACTTCTTGTGCATGCAGGCATTCCCAGCACAGGCTTTCAGCCGCGAAGCATGTTGTGAGGGCAGCAGCGGCAGCACCTGCCAAGGTGGACATCGACTCGTGGGTGCAGGACTCCAGAAGGTCCAGGGAACAGTGGCTCGAGGTCAGACACTCTCCTCCCCTTTCTTCTCAGCAGCATTCCCTCCCTATCCAATACGCTATTGCAAACTGTCCTTGCACGAGCAGATGACAGCATTCCCTGAGACATTCCCCACCCAACGCGAAGTGGCTTTGACACCACTCGGGTGCAGCGCAAATTAGTAAGCAATACAGTGCGATGTCAAGTAGCCATGAGAATGGTGCATGTATTAGAATCAGCCCTGTGAGCATTTGCTATGCGGCATGTTTGTCATGCCAGGCAGGGCCTGAATAGATCCTGTCACAAATGACTAATAATCAGCCCATGGGCCGCAGGAGAGCGCGCTCGGCGCACTGAAAACAGCGGTGGAGGCGTTTGAGCGGCCGGCGTTTCCATGCGCGCTGATTGCCGGTGACGTGGTCATTCTGAACCTGCTGCACCGGCTGGACTACCTGGAGTCTGGCCGCGTGCCCATCATCTTCATTGACACCTTCCACCTCTTCCCAGAGACCCACGCCTTGATGCACCGCCTTGAAGTAAGCCTCTCTGGTTTGAAGAGTAACATCTTTCCATCCTTCCATCTTGTCATCACTGCATGCAGATCTGGATTCAAGATGTCCAATCATGTCTGGGTCAAGTATGCTGGAATTGTGTAGTTTTGGGAATGCAGTAGGCGGACTGCATACCTGCTAAGCGTCTCTAACTGACAGAGCAGCATGCAGTTGAGCAGTGGTGATTGCGCAGAAGGAAAGCTCCAGGGGGCTCATTGGCTTGGGAAGATAAGTTGCTCTTCCTGTGAAAGTTGTTGGCTCACAAGGGAGTGGCATTCTCTTTGTGCAGGAGAAGTACAATTTCAAGGCCAGCGTGTTCCAGGCCGCTGGGTTCACAAACGTGGCCGAGTTCAAGAAGGCGCACGGCTCGGACCTGTTCATCCGTGACATTGAGGAGTATGACCGCATCTGCAAGGTACAGCCCCTGATGCCCTGATATTCCTGTTCTTCTGTCTTTTTTCCTGCTTTCACAGTAAGTGGTAAAGTGCTGCTGTACAGCTTACTGGTGTTCGGTTACTCGGTATTATTCACCAGATTGGCAGCAGTGCTCGGGATCAAAGAGAATAGTAGAATACTGCCAGTGTCTGGCTTCCTGCACCTTCAAGCAATTATTCCAGCATGGCAGCAATCCTTGGGGGCTGATGAGAAGATATGCTTCTCAAAACCATATTGGCTTTGCTAATACGCTCCTGTATGTATGCGAGATAAAGTCAAGTAATGTGTTGTTGATATCACATACCTGGCTCCGCTCATACATTAAACCAAAAAAGGGGTTTACTGCATTGCCAGAGCTTTCTGCAATAGCATCGTAAGCCTCACACTTCTTTCTGTCCATCAAGATCTGCGTTTGAATTCAAACTTGTACCTGTGCAGGTGGAGCCGTTCCAGCGTTCTCTTCAGGACCTGGATGTGGACGTCATGATCAACGGCCGGCGGCGCGACCACGGCTTTGAGCGCGCGCACCTCGAGGTGAATCACCCTCTGTGAGCGATTACTCATCCTGGTTGTCATACATGTTTTGCGCGGCCATGCATGCTGGACCTGCTCTTCTACATATTCCATGCAGCCATGCAGTTTGCTGATCGGAAGATCATTGGAGCTCATGAGATAGGGCTTGCAGAGTGCTAAAGTTCCAGGGATGAGAGTTGATAGGTGCTGCGGACAAGTAAGCAATCACAGATTCCTCACGAATGGGACCTGTTTTGTGGATGCGCACAGGTGTTTGAGGGAGGGTCTCCGGTGAAGGCGAATCCGCTGGCGTGGTGGGAGTTCAAGGACTGCATGGACTATTTGAAGCGCCACGGCCTTGAACGCCACCCCCTGCACGACCAGGTCGGGCTGAACTTTTTGTTTGGTGGCCAGCTGTCACTTGAAGTTCTGCAAGCCTGAGTGGAATCAAACAAGTGTGTTGCCGGCGTTGATGTCTTCTGAGGGAGCTGAATGAAATGAAGCTTGTGTAGCGGGAAGCCGTTCGTGGCAGTGCGCAGCTTTTTTGTTGCAAGTAAGGCTGCAAGTCGCTGGAGCGGCCCACCGCTGCTCAAGTCTCATGGCACCTCTCCATCGGGAGTCTCCATCAGGACTTCAATCCGTCGCCTTTATGTCCAATCCCTTGCAGAAGCGTCCCTCAAGTCTTGCTGAGCAGGTGTGTGCCATTTTGGCTGCAGGGCTATCCCAGCATAGGCGACGTCCAGTCAACCGTGCCCGTGCCAGTCGAAAAGTGGTACGAGTATGCTGGCGAGCGCTCAGGCCGCTTCCAGGTGCGTGTTTTGTGGCGCAAAAGTATGCCTATGCCCGAGCTTTGGATAATGCAGCGAAGACACAGCGTGCCGTGAACGTGAATAGTCAATATAGCTGTTAGCAGTGCTGAGTTGGCTGCTTGCGTTCGTGGTGTCCTGTGCGTTCATTCAAATGTCTTCTGTGCACTTTTCGGAGGGAATTGTCTGTGAGGGTGAGGTTGTGGGGATCTATTTGCAGGGGCTGCAGAACCCGGATGGCAGCGTCAAGACAGAGTGCGGCATCCACGTGGCAGACGATGTCAAAGGTTAGGCACTGCACATTCTCCGCACCAAAATAAATGCCAATAACCTTTCCTCTTCTGGACAAAGCCTTGTCATGCTTGCACGTGGCTGGCACCCTCCTCTCCTGTCTGCTGCACAAGACTCTGGGCATGCACTGGTGACATGCTACCCTGATAACGATACTTGCCCCACATGCTTGGGTAGAGCGCGCCTTGAGGTCTAGTCATTCAGTGGTGATGATTGTGCAGAGACCAAGATGGTACCACAATCTGAGGCTGACACTATTCTGTGCCTGTTCTGGAGGAGCGTAGGGCCACCCAGCGGTCCGCCCAGCGGCACACCCCGGCCATCCACCCATGCCACGTCATCAAACGGCAGCCAGATAACTAATGCACCCTCAACTGACCCCCGCGCGCAGCTCTTCGACGAGTGGATGCGTGCCAAGACGGCTGTGCTGCCCGGCAACCACTGGACAACATTGGACGGCTGCTATGAGTCATACGTGACTCGCGTGTGTCATGTCCACTCAGCTGTGCCCCTGTCACAGAGGGCGTTATCTGCTACGCTGCGGCGCGCACTGTCTGCTGAGGCCGCCGCCGGCCGGGTGATATTTTCCAAGGGTCCCCATAAAAGTGCCATCCGGGGTTTTTATGTCGATGGGGTCACAGTGGAGCCCGAGGCTCTGGTAGAGGAGTGGTTTCATGCAAAGGCGGCGTTTGATCCTGCTGGGAAAAAGTGGGTGCCACTGGCGACGTGCTTTGAGTCCTTCCTGGAATATTTTCTCCCCTGGTGTGATATAGACCGGGAGCGGTGGATCACTGTTTCGCGCATAGGCAAGAATGGGTTCTTTCGACTGTTCAGAGAACACTTGGCGGCTGCTGAGGCTGCTGGCAGGGTCTGCTACATGTCAAGCAGGTGTGCTGTCAAAGGGCTGATTGTGCTCTGATTATTGACATCAGCAAAATTGGCCCTTCTTGCCTGCCAGCCGTCTGCCCTTAAGTCTGCCCTTAACTAATGGTTATCCCGAATTCACTCTGCCTGCGTGGATCCAATTTTACTGCTAAATGTTGAGGCATGACAAGCAAGATGAGTGGGGTTTGTGACCAGATAAGCACATAGGATTTACTGTGTTTGAAAAAGTTGACAAGGTTGTTATGGTTGTGTCTCGTTCAAGTCAATGCCTAAGCGCACTGTAAAGCCAGGTTGCCCCACACGCCATTGCGATGAAAATGGGCCGTTGGCACCTCTCTGCTTCATTGAATGTCGTTACAACTTATGTAAGGATATACATGCTTTGACGTTCTGCCTGGATGAGCTGGGCTGTTCTTGTCATACGATACAGGACAAATTTGAAAAGGACTACGCATTGATGGCTGATAAGGTGTTGCTTGAGAGCGTTTGCTTGGGCGTACTGATCAGAAACCACTCACGTCTCGCATTCACGATCGTCTCTATATAAATTCATGTCCCTGAAGACACGCAACCCTCTTGCCACGGATGACACCAACCCCTCTTACACTAAGCATTCACACAAGATCCAAGTTAGGCTTTGCAGCCGCTAACACCCATCGACTTACAGATACTGTAAGTGGGTGCTTTACAAACAAACCTTTTCTTATCTCTGAAACCCATAATCTTCCAGGAAAGCGAGGCCCAAATCTAGCCATGCGAGTCAAAACCCCACACCTGCAAGATCCTGACTCAGTGAGGCCGTGCATGTCAAAAATGTCATGGAACGGCAAGCAAATTTCCAGGAGCAACACGTGGCACCCCAAACAAATCTCATCAAGCATGAACGGAGGCGCATAGTTGCTCTTGAGAACTCCTTTGCTGTTGAGAACACCTCACACACCTAAATTACGCCCAAGATCATGCATCACCAACCACAAGAATGCTGTCTCCGCATACGCCAGGATTTTGTCTGAAACCAAATATCATACTTTTTGAGAAGCAAAGACAACTCCACACACACTGCTCTGCAATCACAAGATTGCCTTCAAGGTCACACGTCTCCATGCAGTTTGTCAGTCGCTAAAGGGGAGTATTACTTTTTATTTGGCACAGGGTGGCCCAATTGCCACACCCTTCCAATGCTGAGGAAGTCTCGACCACCCCAGAGCTCTAGAGAAATGAAATTGGTGCTGCTGTGAGACGCAAGCATGCCAACAATGGCAGCCAGAGAGGGGTTGCACCCATCTTGCAAAGAACACTGGTCAGATCCCCACACGGCTAAGAATAATTCCTATTTGATAACAGCGTCCTGGCATGTCCCATATCCTGTCCACGTTGAGCTGAGCTCACATCTTGCCAGACAGAATCACACCATGAAAAGATGCCCCAGACACTGTCACCTCATCCCAAATAGACTAGCGTTCAAGGTCTTGCTGCGTTTAGAGAAACCAGTCTTGCGTCTGAAGAGTGCTTCATCAAAAACAGCACGCTTTCTTTTTTAGATTGGCAAGATACAGCTGCCATTTGCTGTTTTTCTGATTCTTGAGACCAATCGCTACTGGGTATCCTCACTCTAGAAAATGTACACGAGGGTCCCAAGGTTTAATCGAGCGCTGCATTTGTGTCCAGCCCTTTTGCCATCCCAGGTTGCGAGCTAAAACATCCACTGACGGCTGACTGGAATCGCCTTTCAATTGACGCAAGACTTCTGTGATAGTTACATCTTTTCAGCCTTGCTCAAGCTGCGTGTCTTTTCACCTTATCCAGCTCACGTCCGGATGTTGCTGCACCGCGGAAGAATTGCTGCTCTCACTGCACAACAGTGACCCCCTCTCGCGCAGCCTCGATCTCTCCATGGCATGTGCGCGGCGGATCCCCTTGCTGAGGATTCACCAACGCCGGATCGCCACCGTTGCTTGTGCACTTGCCCTGCATCAGCACCCAGTGTAATCAGCAAGACTTTGGGAGGTACAGTGGCTGCATATTTTGCCTCAATTCTGCATGCACCTTCCAGTTTATGCGACATTCGATATGAATATCTTGCTCAGCCTGCAAAATGCTGCATAACATTACTTCCAGCTAGATGCAGGCTGAGCCTCGACAGTTGCGCGTTGAGCAATGATTTGCTGCATCATCTGCATGGAGACACATAGTGGCGACAAGCTGAGCTGTTGGCTTGGTGCAAGGTCATCCCTGTCTTTCATGATGCAACAGGGTGCCCCACCTGTGGGAATTTCACTTTTTTAGGTTCCAGGGGAACGCTGTGTCAGGCTGCGGTGCCCACCTGCATCTGGAGGGAGTTGAGGCGCTGCGGCAGGCTGAAGCCGCCGCGCAGCTCGCCTCCGAGCGAGGGCGTCTCCGGGATGCCGAAGCTGCCGCTCTTGTGCACCGCCGCCGCCGCACTGGCCGTGAGCAGCGCGTGCGGCTTGTGCCCGTTAGGCAGCGCCAGCTGCCCGTCGTGCAGGGCCGCGTCTGCGTCAGCGCTCCCTACTGCGCTGCGGTGGATATCCGGCACCGTGCGGTCCTCATCCATCGGCGAGTCCACCGGCGACGTCACATGGCCGTTACTGCCGTTGGACAGCGCGCAGCCGGTGCCCTCGGCTGCCATGGCGGCGTAGGAGTCGGTGCCGGGGCCGGGCAGGCCGTCCTGGCTGGTGGGCAGGCCGAAGGGCGATTGCGGCCGCACCAGCGTGCTCCACAGTGCGCTCGCTGAGATCACCGCCTGACCTGCCGAGGTCGCCGCCCACTTCTCGGAGCCGCCTGCACAAATGTACAAACACCACATAAGTACCCCGTCCCTGTCTTCCTCCCCACCATATGTCCCGTCTTGCACAACCCTTCCAAGGTATGACTAATCTCAAAAATGCAGCAAGATTGAGAAGCACAGGAAGGGGCCAAAGCCAAGTGATTGTGAGCCTGAAGAGGCGCACCGGTGCCAGGTGTCGCGGAGTCAGGAGTAGCTGTTGAGGCGGGAGTGGCGTCCGGTCCAGGCAGTGACACGGCGCTCATGGGGGTGGGCGGGAAGGGTGAGGCCACTGTGTTGCCCTTACTTGCATGCTCGCTCTCAGCCGCTGAGGTGTGACCTGCAATTGATATCAGACACACATCATCATCAGGCCCCTTGGAACGCATCTATCACAAGGGACCTCGTCAAGTAGCTTTTCTCTCAACCAACCAGCTGCCTGCTGCACAAAGCAAGAACTTGTCGGAATAAATTTGCAACATGCACAAAGGAGGGTGTTACCTGCAAAGGAGCCCTGCGCCAAAAACTGCCGGCCTGCGGCAAACTGGCCAGTGGTGCCATCCTCGCTGGCCTCATGCGCCATCTGCACCACCAGACCACACATCATCAGTAAGACGCACAAATGCACACCAACAGACACAGCTCAGCTCGCTGTGCTTGGAGTCACAGAGTATAAGGCTTTTGAACCTTCAATTCAGTTTCTAGATGTATAAGCTTCTAACACTCAAACAAAAGACGAAGATGGCGCATACAAAATAAATTTTTTTTCCCACCACCCCAAGCATCTCTCAGTGAAGAAGGAACGCTGCCAACACAGAAGAGGGCGCACCGGGTACTCCTGGCTGGCCTGCTGCGCTATGCACGCTTCGGCCGTCGCCACGCGCGCCAGCACGTCCCGCAGCTCGCACGCCTTATTGCCCCCAGCGGCCGGCTTCCCCGGCGCGCCGCTTATTTCCGGGCCGTTTCCCGGCGCCGCATCGTCGGCCGCCGCCGGGGACGGCTGCGCGGCAGCTGCCGCGGGAGCATCTCTGGCGGTGTCCCCTCCGTCCTCCTCACTCAGGAAGATGTTGATGCGGGTGATGCGCAGGCGCGTGCCGTTGGGGAGGCGGACCCCCCGCTCGGCAGAGACGTCGCGCGTCAGCACCGGCTCCCGGTTCGCGCCGCGCCGCGGCACCAGGATCGGCGGGGCCAGCGCCACGAACGACTGCGGTATGACGCCGTCTGGTGTGTCCTCCGGGTACAGACACTGCAATGGGTAGACAGATACACATGTCAGCCGTGTTCCGATAAGAGCGCAGCCCGACCCCCGTGTGAGCAGTGGTTGCACAAGCAGGTGTTGTTGTGACGTTCTTATGCCCAGATCATGTTTCAATGCAAAGAGACCAATAATGCAAATATGGGAGTTGAAAGCAAGCCCACTGCAACAGGGCATGGCTCACTTCTTATGTCAGTAAGTCGGGCCCTAGGATATCTGGTCTTCACTGTGAAATGCGGAGTCTGAAGATCGATGGTGCTGAGCTGACGTCAGAGGGGAGGCAAGGGCTTACCAGCGAGCCGTGCGCAGTGGCCTTTCGCGCAAAGGTTGGGGATATTGGGGGCGTGTGGGTGGTGGGGCCAAAGCGCGTCGGCTGGTGGCAGTGCGGCCCATCGAAGCGCATGCGCCTCTCCTGCAAGCCACGGACAACCCATCAGTACCATACAACAGCATGTACCCAAACAATAGGCCAGAAAATTACAATGCTTCATGAGACACCTGAGGCATCTCTATTGTCAAAGCTGTAAAGAGCAAGATAGCAGGGAAAGCATGCCGAGTTATCCCCATGGACGCTAACAGGCGCCTCCAAAAAGGGCATGCAAGCCTAGGACTGGGGCATGAAGATTTCATTGACAACAGAACGCGGTAAGTTCTGGGCCCACATAACAATAGCTATCTTGCACGCCCCCGTGCTCCAAATGCATGCCCCTCTTGCACACGCCTGGCCTTGAAACAACGAGCAGAACCCTGCAAAAAAACCTATTCCTACAGCGCACCGAGGGCTCGTAGGAGGGCGATCGCTGCGGCCGGCGGCCGACGCGGCGTTTGCCGGGGCCGGCCCGGGCGCGGCCGCGGCGGCGGGAGGAGCGCCTGCGAGGGCGTTCCTCCTCCTCCTCCTCGCTTGAATCCTCCTCGGAGTCCTCCGAGTCCTCGTCGCTGCTGTCGGCGGTGCCGCGCACCCCCGGCGGCAGTAGCCACTTCACCTTCTCCGTCGTCAGGCTCACCATCTCCTCCTCGCCTGCGCCAATATTATCTTCAGTATCATCATCTTTCTTATGCCAAGAAGGCAAGGTGAACCTGCAGAGTGCACACTTGTACATGCATCACTTTCATTGTATACGGTATAGAGTGTCTCCTAGCCTTTGCCCTCGTGTGAGATCTCGACAGCCATAGCGAGGCGAGTGGATAAGTGCTTAGAAGCCATTTCGCAACATGCGGTGTATGGCCTGGGAGACAAGAAAAAGTTCTCGCGAGAAAATGTACCAGCAGACATGCAGACGAAGCAGAGTTGGCTTGCAAGATCTGTCAAATCAACATCCCTGCTCTGCACCAAGCTCTGTTACAACAGATCTGTGGGGCTGGAATCTGCTTTAATGGGAATAAAGGATGGCAGGCATGGCGCACCATCATCGTAGAGGACCTGGTGGCGGCCGGTGCCGGTGTCAAACCCGAGGATCTCGGCAGGGTAGAAGACGGCATCGTCACGCCAGTACACGCCGATGCGCCAGCCAATCGCGGCGCGCCCCTTAGGCAGCGCCGTGCCTGCGCCAAAACAGGTTCCCTCTCAACCCACGCCATCAGCGCATAATACTGTAAATTGAATCTGCAAGTGCTGCACGCCTTACTGCATTTAAAGGTGACACCTTCGGTCCAGGTGCACGCATGCAAAAGGCTCTACTGTCTCGGAAATGCCGCACATCAGTTCCAAACAAAGAGCGAGAAGCTTGGCCCTAGCGTACACATGCACTAGGTTCTGGCTCTCTCGAGAAGTGCTTCGCATCAGCACTGCATGGCTCTCATCCCGCACAGCCACACGTATAGGGGAGGTTCAAATGAGGCGCACCTTCAGGGAGGCCCGGGGCGGTGACAACGCCGCGGACGGGCTCCTGCCAGGAGTCCACCTTCTGCGCTGCCAGGTCGACCCACTCGTCCTCGCCATCCTCGTAGAACACCTGGTGCTGCCCGCTCTCCTCCTTGAACGCCAAGATCTCCCCGCGGTGCACCGTGCCATCGCCTGAAGGGGCAACGCGACACAGACAGTAAGTTAACTGCAGATCCAGGAGGGCCTTGCATGGTGATAATGACTGGCAAAGGGCGGCGAACAACTGCATAGATCAGGTCAGACAGCAGCGCAGGGAGAAGGCCTGGCAAGACTGTGAAAGTCCTTGAAGGCATCAATGCACATGACGACCATCAGGAACCTTAATGTATTGCAAGGACTCCAGCGACTCCATACATGTACAGCAGATTAGACTCTAATTATCAGAACACTCATTGAAGCAAAAGCTCGCAGGGCAGTCACCTGCAAACGGCAGAGACACTCGCCAGCCCACAGCCGCCGAGCCTTGCGGGCCGGCCGCGGATGCACCCGCCGCCAGGGGGCCGGCCGGCAGCGCAGCGGTAGCAGCCAGCACTGCCTGAAGAGGCGCTGGGGCCAGCGTTTGAAGAGGCGCCTGCGGAAGGATCTCCACTACAGATGGGCTGCCCACATCAGCAACCGGCGGCGCGGCCCCTGCGTTGCGGGCGCCCAAGAGGCGCATGGCGGATGCCAGCTCCGGGGTTGCACCTGCAGAAATATAAAAGGCCTTCATTCTCGTCTGAAGCCTTGGAAGAACAAGTTCCTGCTTGGATCCTAGTACCTACATCTTGCAGTGCACCAACAACTAAAAGGTTCATGCCATGACTCCAGAGTCCTCACCAACACATTCCATCAGCACCATCTGTCATGACTCAAGATGGAGCTAGGATGTACAAGACCCAATATGGCAAGGACAGAGGTGGGCCCCCACCTGCCGCAAGCGCCCGGGGAGTGAGCCAGGAGAAGAGTTCCCGCTGCAGCGCCACCCACTCCTCCTCCCCATCATCGTACAAGATCTTGTTGCGCTTGTGGTACGAGTCAAACGCCAAGATCTCTCCCTGCACGCCACCCCAAAAACATATTAAAAATCACAATATGATTAAAGGGATCATGATATTATATACAGACCCGACAGGCTGTTTCAAATATCGATTGTAGTGCGCGACAGAACCAAGGACGAGCCTTTCAAGAGGGTGTTCCTCATCAAGACATGCGCGTCCTTCACAGTCATCATGGGCTCACAGCAAGCATGCGTCTGAGCCCATGCCGCATGGTGCCACGAAGTGAACAGAAGGTGTGCACTGGGCACTGATTCACAGGTGCGCACCTTGTAGAAGGCCTCGTCCTCAGACCACCACACGCCAACCCTGGAGCCTACCACGGCTTCCAGTGCGTGCGTGATGTCCGGCTGGCCGTCCCGGGGCGTTGCCGGCCCGCCGCCGCGCCCTCGGCCGCCCCGGCCGCGCCCCCGGCCCCGGCCGCCGCGTCCTCTTCCGCGACCCCTGCCGCCGCCTCTCTGCTGCAGCTCCAACCCTTGATCTTGCGCCTGTTCCAGCCAAACTCGCCCAGTTTCAGTCTGAGCAAGAGTAAGCTGAGATATCTGCGAGACAGGCCCTGGTGGAAAAATTGGAAATTCCCTGCAGCCCTCACCGTCATCTCACAAGCGAGTGCATCTTCACAGCCTCAAGTGGAAAGGCATTTTGAAATGCTTAACTAGTGATCGAAGAGAAGGCGGATCACACACCGTGTGGAGCGGTGGCAGGTCAGGAGCGCAACTTGGCTGCACCGCAGATCCGCTGGGGCTTGGCAGCTGCGCGTTGCTTCCACCATTTCCATGCATGCCTGTGGGGCAACGACTCAACTTGTTGCGCTGCAATGGTGTCGCGCCCACAACAACAAGATTAAACCCAAGCTTCACATCACAACGGCATTCCTCAGGTCGCCACAATATGGTGTGAGGGGCAGTGGCTGCGCACCTCCATGGAAGGTGCTCTGCGCATGGGCAGGCCGGCCCACAATCTCCACCTCAGCCTCTGCTGCCGAGCTGGAGGTGGCAGGTGTTGCTCTGCCGCCATTCATCCCTGCAGAACACCAGATCCCTTATACCTCACATCACTGGCAGCAGCATTCTCCACAACCACAACAATTTTGCAGTGGTGTAGATCCAAGCAGATACCATCGCAAGAGATAATTAAAGGCTCGATATCCTGCCAGAGACGGTGTGGCAGGCACTCGATGCCACATTGGCAGCTTATTACGATGCAGCCAGCTAAGTTTATGCTGCGTGGCAACAAGTAACACTGCTCGAATCAAATTAACCCAAACCTTTGCCTCGGGCATGTTTCTCTCAATTTTCAACAGCACATGCCCTCATTGCAGAGGTACTCCGTTTTTCCTTTTCACCGCATGATGCACTGCAGGCCTGACAGATTAGGCATTAAGATGATTTGGTGGGGATTGAGGCTGACGAGTGCGCTCACCCTTCTCTGTGTGGTCTGCGGCGCTGCCAGAAGCTTGGTGACCTTCCCCAGAGCGCTGCCCACCAGTGGAAGTGAAGTGGGTGGCGGCAGGCTCCGTGCTGACAAACCCGCCCGAGGGTGAACCCGAGGGGTGGCTCTCCGGGTGCGAGGCGGCCGCCCCCCGGCCGTTGCGCGCCAAATGGTGGTTGCCACCGTTCTGCTGCGAGAAGTCCTGCGTGCGCATCACAACAAAATCATCAGCTAAGAGCGAGCAAAGAACACAAAGCTGACCTCAATTGAGCCAAGCGCAGGTGACAAGATTGCTTAGTAAGTGTTTGACATCAAGCACAACATAAGGTGCTTTCATTGAATCCTATTTTCACCGCCTGTGGGTGCCGAGTGATGGCCGTTACACTCCACTTTCAGCTGCAATCACTTGGAGAGTCGGGCAGGGGCAGCTCAAACCATCGCGTGCATGCACCACTCTGCATTGAGACAAGCAAATACCAAAATTCATACCAATACAGGAAGCATCTCTTCAGTGAGTTGCAAACCTGCGAGAGCGCGTCGGAGCAGTTGCTGTCGGCAGGCTTGGCCGGGGCGGCGCCGCCGTCCTGTCTCAAGCGGCGCGCCCTCTTGCACGCCGGCCCCTGCGGCTCCGAGGCAGCATCCCTCTTGGCGTCCGCCTTGCGCGCCCCCGTGCTGCTGCTGCCCTGCTCTGCCTCCGCCGGTCCTCTCCTCTGCCGCTCCGCTCCCGGGGATCCACCCCTCACACCCTGCAGCATTTGCCACTTTGCTTAGGATCCTTCATTCAACACAAGGGCACAGCCCAACCCATGCAAAGCCTGTGCATCTGCTCTGCTGCAACAACTTCAAAGGATCCTCTGAGTCAACATGTATCCTGTGCGCTGCGAGCTCCAAGATTTCCCTAGCCTCTGTCGGCCGGCAGCTATTTTCATGAACGCTCAAATCAGTCTAGCCTGACTGCACCATCTGGCGTGCCTGATAACAGCACTTGTACAAATAGCCGCCAGATCTAAGGAGGCCTGCAAGATATAAAGCAAAGAACCAGATGAGCGGCAGCTGCCGGGCAGGCGCACCTCCGGAGCGTCGGCTTCACCGGCCTGCCGCGCGGCCAGCCCGCGGCCGTCGAGGCCGGGCACGTCTGGCCACACAACTGCCTCGTGGCGCAGCGTCAGCTTCTGCACGTCGCCGTCCTTGTACAGGATGGTGTGCTTGGCTGAGCGGCCGTCGTAGGCCGCGACCTTGCCTGCGTACCACTTGCCCATCCCCGGCCAGAACACCTTCACCTGTGCAACACATATGGCACGCATATCAGCCTCCATTCCTGCCATAATTACACACCCGGTATACAGGCCTTCCCTCTGCAAGCACCTGTATCGGTGATTTGCCGAGAATGCTGTGCCCTCGCAGAAGGCCAACATGCATGCTTGCGCAAAAGGGCCTCAGCTGCCAGTCAAGCCTTGGAATGTGTCGGTGGTGGCCGCATGCTTTCCCTTAATCGAGGAAAATGGCAACAGCCAGCTCCAGCACATGAGGAGTAGGCATTGTGGAAAATGCTCCCAAGTAAGACATGACAGCGCAGAGCAGCGGATTCACACCTTATGGTCCACAGCATCATGCCCCGAGGGCGTCAGGCCGGGCACAAATGTGGGATTTGGGTGGCTACCCGCGGGCAGGTCTGCCTGCCAGGCAAACCTGCACTTTGACAGGCTCAGCCACTCCTCGTCCCGCGACCCGCGCTCCTCATAGCGCACCTGCATGGAACATATCTCCCGATCAGACCACATGTCCTTACCAACGACCACCAAGTTTGTGCCACGTAAGGACACGTAAGGAGTTCGTGTACATGCATGATATTTGCACGTAGTCAATATTGTCACAGATATAGCATCTGATTCGAAAGATCACAGCATCTGAGTCTCACTACCCACAGACTCACAGATAAGTTTTGGTCGACAGGTTTGGAGAGCAAATGGATAAAAGCAATGTTGTCACACTGAGGTCATACAAGGGGAAGAGCAGGTCATCACACCTTGTGCTGCCCACTGGCCATGTCAAATTCCACCAGCTTGCCATTGACCCACTCTCCCATTCTGTTCTTCCAGATGGCAAGCTTCCTGCCAACTACCTCTTTCCCTGCCATGACAAAAAAGGGTCCTGAAGAATTCCTCTGGTGCACATGCAGGCATTGCGGGCATTCATTTGCAGGGAGACGACACTCTGCACTTACAGCCAAAGAAGTATGAAGAATGCAGAAGACAGTGCCACTGAAGTAAAAGCTTTCGTGCGTCGACACAGCAAGCCGTGGCATGCAGCTGTCCCAAAAGCACCAAACAGCTTTCAGATGGGCACACCTGCTACCACTGAAGGTAGACGTTCCACTGGCCTGCTCCTTGCAGGTGAGGCAGCCGCTGAAAGCCTTTGATGGGTCTGAGCTGCACCCTCCATGGCAGGCAAGGAGGGTGCACCCGCACGGGGAGCACACACGTGAATTCGGTGCTGTAGTATCTCTTCGTAGCCTTTGCTGCCTCGGCAAAGGCTCACTGCGCTGCTATGACTCCCCAAGCCTTTTTTTTGGATGGGATCAAGCTGCTGACTGAATTCTCCGGCTTGCCTGAAACCCAGCTGGCACGACTCCAGCTGCCAGATTTCGCTGCATTTGCTAAGAAGCTGACGACTTCCGCCGTACACCGGCAGCTTTTAGCGTGCTGACCACTCCAAAACAAGCACACACACAACCAGGTCGCCTGTTTTCCTCGAGACAACGTCCTCCTGCGAAGAACACACACCATCCGTCGTAAAACCACTTCTTGAAGGCTTCTGACAAAACAGGTCTGAAAGACCAGAAGCAGGCGGCCCTAGGAAGATATCAGCACTGGCTGGCTGCTGTGATGTTTCTTTCTGGTGGAATGCGACAAGGATCAGGGCCGGAACCGGCACCAGACTTCTTGAAAAACGGCGAACCACGCCAAGCCATCGCACATATCCCTCCAATAATCTTTGAAAAATCGCTGGCCTGCAGAAGAGCACGTAAGGGAGTGTCCGCACGCAGCGAACAAACCCCAGCACCTGGAAGATGCGAAGGGATGCCGGCCAGCTCAACGTCTTCAAGCGGCCGAGATGTCCCCCGGGGCACGTCTAGAACCCAGATCAGACTTTGACTAAACCAACTAGCCCACCGCCTTCCAACAGCTCCGCTGCCCCGCTCTGACAGCCCCACAAGTGGCCTTCAACCAGCACCCAAGGCAGGATACAACCCACGAGCCTGCAGCTGAAGTTTCCAGAAGCATAATGCGCGCTTTCGCGGCCCTGGCTGTCAACAGCCAAGAAGACGGGCATTTTCCCACCTTGATGTCTCGAGATATTCGGGCACCGAGAAGCGTTTCCCGGCAGCAAATCTTGTCCCAGCAGCGCCTTGGTCCACTCCTATAACATCATAATGCTCTTGCGACGCCTTCGACGCGATTTGGAACACTGCCCAGTACACATTCAGGCATGGAGGCCTCCAGCACGCCAACATTGAAGGCAAGGTGAGCTTTTCGTTAGGGTTTTATTATATGACAAGGGATAAATCAAGGGGAATGCTATATATATCAAGGGGTTCCGTAATATAAACGTGTCCGCATGCTTTGCTCTCGGATATCATTTCACGCGCTCACTCATCATTGAGGAAAGGCATGTACTAGAAACACTCCAACGAAGAAGCTGCACCTTCAAATCTTTGCTTCGCTTGAAAGCAAGTGCATCTGGTCAGAAGTCGCAAGGATTACATGAAGCGGTCGTAGGGATCAATCTTGCGATCTTGTTGTTCTTCAACACACAGAAATTCGTCGCCCCTTATTGCTAAATCTGCTCGAGATTTATATTGTTTACCCTACACAAACTGATTACCGACGGATCAGCTTTCGTGTGAGGACCTTGCATAAGGAAAGCTGGCATTTAACTCCGTGTACTATGGATCGCGGCCACAGAGCCACATAGGTATAGGAGGCCTGTTAGCACATCGACATGGTGTTGGCCATCAACAATATAAAGGTTTCGCACGGGCACTGGAAGAGGGGGGCATCTGACCTTGATCTCTATGAAGTGCGTCTTCCCTGATCATGGGACGCTTGCCTACTTTCATATTGAGCAGCTGCGATACACTCACTACAACGGCTTTTCTGTTGAAATAAATACATTTTCGAGATTCTACGCTAACCACGTGTGTTGATACAGGCCATTCAAGAGCTTCTCGAGAATGCCATGTATGCTGAGGGCAAAGCCAACGCGACAGAGGCCCACATCTACACCTTGAAAGTCCGTCTGGGACCTGAAGACACGAAGGAAATTCTGATAATAAGGGACAATGGCACCGGCTTCTCCTCCACCTTTTTCGAAGAGGAGGCTTCCTCCCTGGGACACACAAGGGGTTACACCGCAAAGTATCTTGTTGAAAAGAAGGGGCTTGGGAGGCATGGAGGTAATCGCTGCACCCGCCGTGTTTTCTCAGATTTGTCCCAACTACGTTTGTTCTTTGCATACCTATTTGTTACTTTTACTGCTGGTGGACGACCAGCAACAAGGCAATCCGAGCATGCAAGCATGTGCAGCACCTTCTCTGTCAGCAGAGTCATGAGTGTCATTTGCATACACAGGTGGCATGAAGAACAGCTTGCCCCCCTTGGCTGATGATGTGTACACGTTTGTCTGCCACGGCCACGGCGCCCAGAGGGAGCGTTACATTGTCAGGAATGGGGAGACTCTCAACAAAGCCCTGGCACAGCATGGCAAGGAGTCCCTGCAGTGGGCATACCTGCCGGTCCACGCAGGCACGCTTTGAGCTCACTTATTGCTGAATGCACGCCAATTTCTGCCAAGATCAGGGGGTGGCTATATCACTGCAGAGAGTAATGTAACAATTACGAGACCGATGAGTGGCTGACCTCTTCTTCCTGATTGAATCTTTGCAGACTTTGTGTACAAACGGAAGCTCGATGAGCAGGAAGGCATCAGCGCCAAAATCCAGCTCCTCAATAAGACCCCAACGGAATCACAGGAGATAGTCCTGAAGGTATCTTCTGTACATCCCCGTGCTTCACTCTGAGTAGTACATCATTTGCAGCTCTGATCACCTGCACACGACTGATGTGGATGAATGTTCAATTACCTTTATGAATGCTGGCTGCGACTTAAACTTTGAGTTTGCATAATGCAGGGGACGGACATGATGCTAGCTGGGGATGACAGCACCTTCAAAGACTCCTTTGCAGCGCTGCTGGACCTGTTCAAGGAGTTTGGGGAGGGCACAGGAACAATGTTTGTGATTGCCACCCCCTGCAGCGAGCCTCCCAATCGCCTGATCCCAGCCGACATCGATGGCAGGCCGGACCTGGTTCGCGACCATGACAACAAGTGCGCTGCAACCTCTGCCAGCCTTCTTGCCAGCTCAACAAGCTCCTGCTGTCGAGAGACAGGTCAACAGTGGTTTTCCTTGCATCTGATGGTTTTTCCTATCAAATTAAGTGGCAATGTCATCTCTATGAAGAAATTAGTTGTCATTGTACCCCTGTAGGAGCACTGTGCGCAGTCATGGTGTGTCTCTACTACCTGCATGCTGAACCTGACAGATTTGCATGTGGGGACAGGTTGAGCATCAGCCAGCACATTGCACAGATCTACCTCCTTCATCCCATGTTCAGGTGTGGCCCCTCTTTGCCCAGTCCTGATCCTGTTTGCGGGGTTGAGCTCACATGTGTTTCCTTGTTCATGCGATAAGCATGCCTGCTGTTCAATTCATATGCTCTGGATGAGTGGTTTTTTCCCTATACATTCAGATATCTGCTTGTGCATGGAAGGAAGAACTACCTCCCTTCCATGTCTTTCAGCCTTCCTCTGGCTGCAGCAGGTGTCAAATAAACAAAGCACTCGGCGATCTGTACTGCGCCTGTGTTGGCGCAGGGGGTTGCATGAGGCCTTGTGGAATGAGCAGTATCCGGGGAGGGCCTTTGAGGAGCTGCCCATCAAGTTCTTCGTGCAGCGCCAGAAGGAGCCGGTGGATTTGAGCGCCAATTGCATCGTGGCTGCAGCAGAGGCGTCTGGCAGTGTCAGCCCTGTCATCCCCATCCAGCACCCCAGCGGCACCCTCGGCTGGCTGCTGCTCGCATACCAGGTAATGCCACGCCATCCCTTCAATTCAGGCCTTGAACCCTCAAGGCATGCTGACCAGTAAGAGATGATGGTCCGCTCATGGCACCTCACAAGCGGCGCGCGGTGCTCAAAGTGCTTTGCGTTCATGCAAGCAGCATGACACGGGAGGAATATGTTCTTCATACTTGGCTCTGAGCGCGCCAGCGCTATATCTTCCCTGATGTGGATCTGTGTTTTTTAGGCAGTTGAAGGTGCAGGGGATGGTGTTGTGTAGACACTGCAATGACTCGCTGTTGACACTGTTGGAATAGCGTGCGCATTCAGTGAGAGTGGGTGGTGCACAGGACAAAGATGCGACACCGCGCTTGGAAATGGCAAACGACAGAAAGTCTGGGCTTCACATGGCCATTGTGTGCCGCATGCTCGACCGAGAGCCCTCCTTCTTCTCCAAGGCGGATTCACAGGTACACTCGGAGTTTCAAGTTGCTACTCGTTTGAATCTGAGAATGCATGTGCCTCTGAGTACAAGAACTGCCAGAGGCAAGGTGCTTGTACAGACAGGCTGTATGTAAGGCTGCCATTTTCATACCCCTTATTGGTTGTTGCCAGATCAGGCAAGACCCAATCAGCTATGGGCAGGGTGCTCAGTATCAGCCGGGGCTACCTTGTCATGCTGACAAAGAGATTAGCAGAGAACCAGGCGAAAAGAGGGTTTTGTGGTGCCGTACATGAGCTTCCCTTCAGCAGTCGACAGGTCAGCTCAAGCAAGAGGGGATGTCTTACTTAAGCTTGCCATCAGCAGTTCAACTGGATTTTTTGATCCTTGGGATGCATCCTTGGTCATGCTGACACCTGGCACTGTGATGTGCAGAGCCAATTCATCATCAAAGCGGAGTACTTCAAGGCAAAGAATGCTTACAAGTATCTTGAGGAGATGGTGAGTGTGGACGAGTCTGTGCTGGAGGGTGTGCCCCAGGAGATGCACCCCAAGATGCCCTTCACCCTGCAACAGGCAGTCAGATGGAACCAGCGCGGCGGAGGCAGGTGAGCAGTGCTCTTCCCACAGACCATTAACCAAGAACGTTTCCCGATTCCTACAGATCTAGGATCCAGGTACGTCCGGCGACAAGTGTATTAGAATACAATTGAGTACAATGTACACATTGCATGCATAGACATGACTTTTTTGGGTCTTTTTGGTCTATGGAACTGCTATGTGCTGTGGAAAGTGTTTGCTCACGTTTGGGCCGGTATTCACCCTCCATATCAACAATAAGGCTGTTCTGGTCATCATCTGAGACGGTGCAGTATTGCAGGAACAACTACTGGTCCCTGGGCGGGGCAGGAGTCATAGGGGTCTTTGTTGCCAACGAGGCGATCTTCACCGTCAATGTTGACAAGGTATGCCCTGCGCATTTACAGTGCAGTACCCAATGTTCTCTCCTGGATTCCTGAGCGAGGATATACATTCCAGGGGCCTTGTCAGCCTGCTGGGCGTACCATTAATCCTTTTTCCTATCAGGTCTCAGTTCATTGAATACGTGTGCAGATATGTCTCAAATAGAAATTCATTCTAATCAAATGATTTTCAAGCACTCTTTGTGGGGCGTGCGCTGTTTCTCATGTGGTGTTGTGTTGGTGCACAGGATGGTCTGAAGGACAGCCAGCTGACGCCATTCCTGCACGCCAAGCTGATGGAACACATGATGGCCTGGGTTTACAACAACCCCCCACCAGACATGGCCGCCGCAATAGCAAAGCGCCAGGAGACGCTGGCAAAGCAGCAGGCACAGGCGGCTGCCAGGGCGGCCAAGGCAGCTGCCGCAAAGGCGGCCAGGGAGGCGCAGGGAGCCACAGTGAAGGTGGAGGAAGCTGCCCCTGCCACGCCGCGGTCCACATCGGCCAGAGCTGCTAAGGCAAAGGCGTCAAATCGCATCACAAGCAAGCTCGCCCTGGAGGGTGCGACCCCTATCAGGCTGTTTCAAGGGACATTCTTATGAACCTGCACAGTGGACGACTACCTTAATGTTTGGATTTTATGTGCACTCTGTCGATATACCTTGCACTCCAGGAGACAGGCTGTTCATACCTGATATAGTAGTCAGCATTATCACCTGGCTCATCCTATGGCCTCTTTGGAGGTTAACTTGAGACAGAACAACAGCATGTGTTGTTACGCCTGCTGTTTCTTCAGACCCCTGCAACGGATCTTTGAACTTGCTGGGCGCACCAGAGAGATTTTTGTTGGTCTTAGAGCTCTTCACAGCAGCCAATGCCGAGCCTGCCTTCAACTTGAACCATCACCCAATCTTCAAGCCCTGGGTGCGCCTCAGGGCAGCCATGCAAAAGACTCTCTTGACATCCTCCCATGTTAGGATAGCTCGCGCTTCGCTGGCCTTGCAAGGGGACCGTGTCTTGCAAGGCCAACGAGGGGTGTTTCTTCGGATGGCCGGCATACCTGCAAGGTTATCGGGGCTCGAATCCTCCCTGGCCCGCAAGAGCTGCGTTTGATCGAGGTTGAGACAAACGCAAACTTTGAACTGCAGAGCATTGCCAAATTTAGTGCAAATGTACTAAGAAGCTCGTGTGGCTGTGCAGGGGCTCCGGAGCATGTGGCGCTGGGGGCGCGATTGCGCAAGATGTCGCCAGCTGGCACGAAAAAGAAGTCTGCCAAGCGGAACCTGCATCCGGCAGACAGCGAGGATGTGGCTGCCCCCAAGACACCAGGTGGGCGCCATTCTCCTCTCCCCAGCATTGTTGAGTTCAGCAATGGACGAGGACGATCCTGGCAATGGCATGTGGCATGAGCACAGCGGTGCAGCCATAGCTTGCATCTGGTCTGAATGTGAAGGCTTTCCAGCGAAAGGAGCTAGGAACAGTGTCATGCCTGCATGTGGGGCCAACTGCTGGTCTGTCTGGGCATCCTTCTGGACACATTTTTGCAAACCTACTGGTGTCCGGGTAGATTTTCATAATATAAGCAGAAGCATGTTCCTGTTCTCTTGCTTCTTTCATTCGTTGCAAACCTGCCAAAGCCGTTACAAAGCTCGACAAGGATTCCCTGTGTACCGTTGAGATGATGCAGCTGTATTAGCCTCCAACAAGCTACTACACGACCCATCTGGAGCTGGAGCATGGTCATCACAGAAGAGTGTTGTCGCAGTCAGTCAGTCATGCAACTTACATTATTTCCAGCCACCTAGGCTGATCTGATGCCTGACTTTGATTATTAGAGTCAGCGCCCAGCATGACATCTAAAGATTCAGATGAGAAATTAGCAATACCAAGCATGTCATCCTGCCGTACTTGCAGGCCAGAAGGGCAAGCGGCCGCGCCAGGCCGACTCCTCCGACGGCGCCATCGGTGACGGTGACGTGGATCTGGAGTGGGAGGCGTTCCTGGGCGACCCGGGGAAGCGAAGGGGCGCCGAAGCGACCACCAACATGGCAATCCTGCTCGGCCGCAAACTGATGGCGGTGGTTGCAGATCCGCCGAGCGCCGAGCAGCTGGAGCGGGTGGACGCAATTTTCAAATCGCTCGGCAAGATGCCCGTCGCATAGCCTGTGCGCAACTTTGTTGTTCTCGATATCGACTTCCGATCGGCGAGCTGAGAGAAAGGACTCATGCTGCTGCCACAGATGTGTTGGTCGCCCGCCATGCTGTGGGATGTTTTAAGAGCGAGCTGAGCACAGAGCAGCGAACCGGATGCTGACTGGAGAATGCAGGGTGTTGAATTGTCGAGGTTTCTTGGCGTGCTGGGGCTGCTTTGGTTCTCAGCCTTGTGATTGGCAGCACGGGCCTTCTATGGCAGGCATTGAGTGTTCTGATGCTGGTGTTGAAGATATGCAGCGCATGCGTCACGGGATTGACTTTCCTGCAGCTTTTGTTCATACAGATGCCAAACTGTTGATGCATTGTTTGTCTGGGCGGTGTCCTCTGCACTTTTGTTGAAGCACCTGAATGGTGCTGTGCAGCTAATAGATGCTGTTCTGGCATTCCGATGGCATCTGATCCATCAGCAAAGCAAGATTTACCATGAGCGCTGGAAGCTAGGAATGAATATGCATGCACCTTTCTGCGTCCCACCTGGTGTGGAGATGTTGCTGTAGATTTCTTTCTGTCCCTTTTATAGAGGGGTTGTTCAGTTCATGGCTGGCGAAGTGGTGAGGGGAAGATGCGGATACTTAGTAGCATCGGCGTGTCATTAATTGACGTTGAACTGCCTATCACTTCAGTGAAGTTGATCAAGTGCGTGGAGTTGTTTGGAGCTGCATGCGTGTGAGGCTTGCGCAGGGGTTGTACAATCAGCACTGTTATCATGTTCCATGAGTCCGAGTAATGCATCCTTGTGGCAATTGATCCACTAAGTCTTACTGGCACTCACCATGGGAGATATGACAGCTGGTCTCTGGCATGAGTCATCTAGCATCCTGCCAACTTGGCTGCCGGACGGTCGTTCCGACGTTGCTACCATGCAGGCGAAATTTCCGGCATTGAATGCATTTTCCTTCCTTCCATCCTGCCAATGCATATGCACTTGCCACGTGGCTGTGCTCACTGGAGTGCCTCCTTGTGCACATGCATATGCCTGCCAGGTATGGTACACAGTGTGACTGAACACCTCCGGCATATTTTCTACGTCTGCAGCCACCCCCCAACTATCTCATTATATAGCAAGGTGTTCATAGGTTTCTTTGGGCATCGATGCATGGATGCTGTAACCAATTGATTACAGAAAGATTGCGGACTCCGGATGCTTCATCACTTGCTTGAAACTTGATGACTTGCTTGCTCCAGAGAATGGGTCACCCCCCTTTGGGACTAAGATGTTGCATAGCAGTGGTATGTGATATAAAATCTTATCTCAAAATAGCTTTTGCCCTCAGCTTCCATCATGCAGCCTTGCATGCGGCAAAAATTTACGCAGTGGCTTTTCAACCTTGTCCATATTTTGCATTGGAATTCTGACTACGGATTGCTTCAAATGATGCATCTGAAGATTTTCCATCCCCGAGGTCATCTGCAGAGGTCTTCCCTTGTTTGCAAGCTACACCTTTCAAAAAAATCCGTGAAAGATGACAGTCGAGGCCTGGCAAACAACTGTGCCCCACAGCCTGGGCCGGCCCGCCACTGTTCTGCAGGCTGCAGAGCAACTCAGGAAACTATCGCGCAAGCAACGCCACACACTCCTGGCTAACGAGCATGTTGCATGTCACCCTCCATCAAATCTCCGTTACTGATTGGAAAGTCAGTCCAAACCGCCGCCCCCATCACGCAGCGCTGAGAGCCGTTGCCGGACTTCGTCCGGCAGGTCATCATCTTCTGCCGCTGGCTCCTCTGGCGCAGCCCGCTTCCTTGAGGGGCCCCCGCCGCCTCCCTGCGCAAAATAGCTTCAAAGGCCTGTGATGGGATGTATTCTTCTAATTCTTGGCCCTGAACAGGGGCACTGCCAAGAGCTTTGCGCCCATTTCCCAGTCACCTGATGTCAAGATGAATGCAGTACACATAGTCTCCGTAAGGACTCACATTTTGAGTTGAACTTCAGCATGTGAATCAAAGATTTGACTGCATGTTCAATCAAGATTGACAAGGGTACATTACTCACCTCCTGGCCCCACTGCGCCCGGTGCTGCTCGGCCGCGTCGGGGACGTCGTCCTCGTCTAGGGGGGTGTTCCACCAGACCGGCTGGCCAAATTTGCCGTCCCCGCTGGCACATGAGATGCATCCAATCTGCACGTCCGGCGTTATGCGCTGCTGCGCGCCCCGCAGCGCCATCGGCACCCTGCACAGCGAGGCAGCCCTTCCTTCTTAAATTGGCATATCTTCCGCCTTAAAGTGTGCATATCTCTTTCTTCAAATCGCAGCGCGCCCCCGGTGAGTAAGGGTCTGCGGCCTAGGGCTGCTGGGCTGCACAGCGGGGCAGCCCTTTCTCCTTACTCTCACTCTGCCTTACTGTCTGCACACCTCTTACTTTGAATTTCATCGGGACCCAACCAATAAGGATCTGTTCCCTAGGGCATCTGGACAGGAATAGCTGGCCTGTCTACAGGGATGAACTCATGCTGCAGGATGCTATAAGATTCCCCTCCGGAGCAACAGAACAAGAGGAATACCGATGCAGCATTCAAACTGAGGTATATTCCCACTGGCACATGACCCAGATAGGGGCCTCTGCTTTGCATGCAATGAGCTTGCAAGACAGCACACGATCACGGCAGGCCCGGAACACTGAAAGGTTTTTAGATGTGGGCTCGTGCCTGCAATGAGATGTGGTGCCGAAGTTGTGGTTGCCCTTCTGGATGGCCAGCATGGAACACAAGATCTCGTAGCCAGGCTTGCGCCACTTGGAGATGAGCGCGCCGTCTGCTATCTTCTCACGGACCAGCCAATCGTACTGCGCAATAGAAAGACACCTTGCTGATGTGTCGTTGCCATAGCATGCATATGTTGAAGGCTTTCAAGACCTTCGACAAACATGTCAAGCACTTTTCTCTGTCGTCAGTCACTCAGCCAAAATTTGAGCAGGATCAGTTGTTGAAAAGATTCCAGGACGCACCAAGTCTCGTTGCATGGCTTTACGGACGTACATCACGTCATAGATGAACCGATTCTTTTCCCAGTGGATGCGGTTGATCTTCCATGTCAGCTCATTCTTCCGCCTGCCCTCATGCTCCTCGTTGACTGCCTCCTTCAGCTGGGCCTCAAAATCCTCAATGACTTCCTCAATCAGTTCCCAGCCTGCTGGAGGTTTCTTGTTCTTCAAGCGACGCCTGTAAGCCATCCTCCTTCTGGTTAAACGTCCCTTGAAGGTTGCTATAAAACCCCGGGACCTCGACGAATGCTATGCAGGTAATAGTACGGCAATGAAATGTATTGTCTCTTTCAGATCTCGCCACACTCTAGACACTCTTTCCTTTGCAATCTCTGGAACAAACTGTAGTAGTTCAGGAGGCAGGCACTGCGTGGATGATTATCAAATATAGCTGCAGCGAACAGATGCGAATTCGTTACAGTCAGAGAGCGAGCTTTCACAGCATTAAAGCTTGGAAGTGCGGGCACGTCCATCGGGATCGGGTTCTGGCGTTCCTGTCGTGGTCAAATTAGGTGGGACATGCTCCATGCCATTCCCAGTCGCACGAGATTTTGCTGCCATTTTTTTTCCAGGACAAAACTGCCACGCTGAAGCTCAAGGCTTGAATTACGCATGCCAACGATGTCTCTAAATATTGACTTTCGAGATGGTTCACTTGCATTGCCAAGCAATGCAGATGCACGTGCACTCGCCGGCCGGGCGGTCATGACCATGATCATGACCGTGATCACCGCCGTAGCACATTACTACCGTGGGAGTTCGCTGGAGCTGCAGGGCTCCTAGTCCTAAATCATCTGCTGAAATGCGCTTACGCAGCGGTGTGTAGTCTCACTCGCAGTAGTGCAACTTGCATGAAACAACCTTACAACAGATTCCATAAGCCGACATTAATGCCTTCTTTAGCCGATATGAATATTCATGTCGACTCTTTGCCAATATAAGATGACCTCAAAAAGGGCTTCAACGGTTCCCTGGCAGCATGCTTGCAAACCCGCAAGGCATCTGCAGCACCCCATACCAAATACAAATCGCACAATCAAATGCAATTCTGACACTATTGTACACCACAAAACAGACCCAAGTAGAAGATGAGATTGCACATCCGAGCAGATTTCAGAGTGCATGCTAAGAACCGGGCATTCCTGACCATGCAGTGCCAACACATGCCTGGCGGACACTTGCCTTATGCAAACAAATATAATGCAATGCAATTCCATACTATCTCAATGCACGTATCAAATACACGAAGCACAGTGAACCCTGCCATGCCAGCATCACATTTCTGACAACACAATTCACAACATGATGACAAGAAGCATTAATTTCTCTGACGCATTGGTCATCCCAGGCAACAAGTGAATGGCTGGGGCGAGTCTAGGCTGAGCTAAGGCCGTCTTTGCACCCCAGCCTTCCTTGTCAGGTGCGCATATATATTAGCAGAATTGCAGGTCTAGACCATGCTGTTACCCCTTGCAAATCTTGTGGACTACAATTAGATTGTGGTGCGCAGGGCCTTGACCAGTTCTTGCGTGCTGCCGCTGATGGACAGCCATATCAGCATCAGCCACAACATCCAATCCTCCAAATTCTGCACTGCTGATGCCATCACCTTCTTGCATGGAACGTCAGGCACAATCTGCAAGCACAATAGCCCATTTCCTATATTTTTCATTTTTGACGAAATACCCAATCACCCGGGGCCAAGCCTCAAGGAGGACCTTAATTTCCTGCAATAAGATAATGTAACAATATGGCAAACTTCCCTTGTGCTTGCTCTGCAACTTATGATCATTGAGCCAGCTGTCATTGTAAGACATCTGGACAAGCAGGTACAGTCAACCGAGCTCAGACTGACCAGTTGATTGCAACCAATTGCAGACAATTGTTAGAGCCCGCCTTGTGCCAGAGTTCTCCTTGATGCATGCGCGCGAAACTCCCATTGAATATTGCTGCAATTCCATAAACGAACGGCAAAGTGAAGGACATCTTAGGGGGCAACAGGGTGGACTCACGTGGTGGGGCGCGAGGGTGAGGGTGTGCAGGAAGGGCATGCGCGCCCGGAAGGCGGCGATGCTCGCTTTGCTCACCCTTGGAGGGTCACGGCAGGGTTCCGCATGGCAGACGCTGTAAGCGCTGCCCAAGCAGAGCATGCGCAGCGCGGTGCAGCCCTGCGCCAGATCAGGACATCATTATAATAATATATATTATTGTACGCTTTTCCTGCCAGAGGCAAGGTGCGCCTGCAGACAAGCTGCATGTAAAAGCTGCCAGACGTCCTATTCCTTGATGGACTCTCTGGATCCAAGCAAGACCCAATCCACCAATCCAAGACACCAGTGGGCACGGTGCTCAGTCATCAAACGCCCCCCGCCAGCCGGGGCAAAGTAGGCAAGGACGTCATTAGGGGCGACAAATAGAAACTCAGGTGCACGGCAGGCTAAGACCACAGAGTTGGCCTTGCACCTGCCTCTTCAGGTCACGAGTCACGTGCACGAGCAGGGGTGAATGTGGAAGTGCTGTGCTAGCTCTAGGACTTCATTGGAAGAGCGCCGGGCATTTCTGGCTGGGATGCCCTTTTTTGCAAGATGAGGATGCTTAATTGGCTCAGCAAGCCATCGGCAAGTGCTGTGATGAGTATAATATCATAGAGTGCTGCTGTTGCGGGAGACCGTGCTACAGGCAAGGGACAATACAGTCATGGGCTGGTAGGGCAAGGTGTGCATGAAGGGTCCAAGACAGGATGCTGCTTTAGTTAGTAAGCCATCAGCTCACCTGGAGGCTGTTCAGAGCGCGCTTGGGGTTGATGGCGGAGCAGTCGCTGACGTCCAGGTCAGACAGTCCAGTCAGCGCTGACAGGTGCTTCAGCCCTGCGAATGCACCAGCTCAGATCAGCAGGCACAACTTGCAGCAGCTCTGCCCACAAGCATATTTAGAAGTATCTCCGCATTTTCTAGCAGCCACTGCAAGTTTGCTCATCTATAAGAAGCTGAAATTTTAGGCTGTGCTGTCCCCACAGTGAGCTGCAGAAGCGCATGTTCGGGGTTGTTTAAAGCAGTGGCCGACATGCACAAGCGTCAATAATGTTGCTGCAGAGGTGGGAAATTGGCATGTGAAGAAGCAAGACCTGCAGCCGTGATGCACTGGTTGCCCTTAACTTCCAGGCAGCGCAGCGCGCTGACGCGGCTGACCTCAGCGAGCCCGGCATCGCTGATGTCATCCAGCGCCGGCTGGTTGTTAATGCGCAGGCTTTGCAGCCGCGGCAGCTTAGTTAGGTGCGCCAGATCAGCGTCCTCCACTGCACTCCCTGATAGGTCCAGGTGCAACAATTCCTGCATGCATGCACTGAAGCTTCTGGCTGCTGTTCTGCGGGCTGCTTCAACTTGCAGTTCTCCCATTCGCGAGTCATAGGAGTCCTGGCATGTAAATTGTGTGTGACATGGCAGTCATGGACCCAAGGAACATTGATGTTTTCAGGGATATTAATGCAGCAAAAGATCGACAATAAAGTCTGAAGCAGAACAGCTCGAGACATGCGAGAATTGACTGTGCACACAGGTATGAATAAAGGTGAAACAGCACGCTGCCTGAGCCACGGAGTCAAGCTTCCAGGAGGTATTATGGTTAGTCACCCGAAGGCCGCTGCATATGCCGCGGAGGCCCTCCTCGTCGACAGCTGTGCAGGCGAGATTCAGCCGCTGCAGTCTGCTCAGCCCCGCCAATTGCGCAAGCCCCAGGTTGAAGACACATGCAATGGAGGGGTGCGATGCCACATCACAGCCCGCCGCTGAGATGTCCAGCTCTGTTAGGGCCGTCAGTGCGGCGATATCGCCGAGTTCTTTGCCCAACAAGTGGCCTCTGAGGTCCAGCCTGCGGCGCCACAAATGCCTGACCACTCTGTTCTTATCAATGGCAACGTTTGTCAAGTGCTTGTTGCTGCTACCTGGCATGCATTGCACAGCTGGCTGCTGCCATGACTGCAACAGGTGATAAACTCTGTGCAAGCATGGCTGGTCCGCCCGATTAGACTTGTTCCTCCTCATGCATTGTCTAAATTAACTCCGAAAGAGCTGGTCTCAGCACGTCATGAACACTCGTTTGGAAAAAGCCAGAAGCGGAGGTACCTTTGCAAGTCTTTGCGCGCTATGGCATTTTCCAGGAGGCCTGCAATGTTGTGGTCGCTGGACATCGGCAGAGCATCCTTGTGGGCAGCGCAGCTGAACTGAGTCAGCCGCGTGAGGTGCTGCAGGAAGCTCCAGTTGGATGACAAGGGGTGGCTGTGATCCAGTGTCAGACTCTCCAGCCTGGAAAGGCCTGCAGCATGATTCACAGCTGTAGAGATCCCACGCTGTTGAAGTGCGAATGCAAAAATTGGCGACATGAGTGCTTCATTCAGCACTGCCTTCATCATGCAACATACAGGTCACCATGCAAACTTCAAGAAGGGGGCGCTCAAGAACGCTCTAGCAGTTTGAGTGAAGCGATATTTCAGCTTTTGAGTGCTAGGGTGGTGTGCATGCCACACAAGTCCCACGTAGTCATCTAACGTGTACATGTTGAATTCTAAAGGGTCAGCAACTCATGCATGCCGATCCTCCGAGGCAAAGGCAGATCGGTAGCAAGGTAGAAAATCCACCTGACATGTGATGGAGGTCCAACCCGTACACCGGTGAGCACTGCGTGACGCTGAGCGCCCTCAGTGTGGTGGCTTGTGAAATGAGCGGGAATACATCTATGCCAATGTTGCACTGATTCAGCTCCAGCCTGATAAGGCTCTGGATTGGCATGCAGCGGAGAAATGTGGCCACACCACCGGGAGACCTGCACATCAAAATACAGAACTCTTGAGATATCATTCTTGCGGTCCATTTCAAGGCCTTCCTGCATGGGCTTTCCAGTTGAGGTTTCATACGGAGCCATGCTTCTGCATGAAGCTTTGGGATCACCTGAACGATCGACACGTTGGAGATGCAGGATGTCCAGCTCACCTTGAATTAGTGACTTGGCTGAGGCCAAGGTGGGTCAAGGTGGAGAGACAGTGGAGGCTGGGCAGGTCTTCAGTTCGGCTGGTGTCAAACCCAGCGAGCTGCAGGCTCACCAGATTTGGCAGCGTTGCCAATTGCGCAAGAACCTCTGCATGCACGCACAAGCCTATAAGCCACTACACGACAGACCTGCCCTTGACATTCCTGACAACACTGCCATCCCAAAATGAGTGCGACATGAAAATTGCAGGGCATGCTGTAAGATCCACTATCGGGCTCTGATGGGAGCAGTCAAATGGCGCTTGTGTCGTGCAGGTTGTGCTTCTGTCAGGAACGCTACAGCGCCATGAATGGACAGCAATACTAGATATGCAGGACAGGCGAGGCTCAAGAGTATGACTTCTGCCACCTTTTTACCTGCTGGAAGACTTGTGCATGTTCTGCCCTTCTCCCCGAAGCAGATATCCAACTCAGTCAGCTGCGTGTGGCAGGCTATGGACTGGAAGCTGGAGTCAAGGAGACCAGCACAGGGGCCCAAGCGCAGCGTTCTGAGGCGTTCCAGACCTGCCAGCCTGTCTAGGCCGCGTCCAGTTATGGGTGAGGGCTGCCGCAGGTCCAAATGGGTCAATCCACGCATTCGCCCCAGTGCCTCACACAGCTCGTCATCCACCTGCTGGTTACACGTGTGAGAAATCAACAAGATTAAGGAAATGTAGCACGGCCAGTTGTGAGCATGATCTGCTCTAAAGTGACCCTGCCTCCGTGTAAAGCAAAGTCAATGGGGCGGGAAGGTGCCGAGAATATGGTCCCACCTGGAAGCATGCATCATATTTGGGCAACTGTTGCGCAATCGCCAGATGCTCCAGCTGAGTGAGGTTCCACAGCAGATCCAGTAAAGTTCCAGCAGGCATGGTCAAATCACACCCGCTCAAGTCCAGCTTGCGCAGGGTGGTGCCCCTCCTGAGCTCCAGGAGTGCTTCCCTGAGTTTTTTAGAAGATCTGCACGCAAAGACGAATCCTCTGCATCTCCATCTAACAACGTCTGAACCTGTCTACCAAGTCTCAAAGTAGGACAATTTTGAGCATGCAGGGGAATTTTGGCGGATGAAGCATACCCAGAAAGCTCCAATGATGTCAGAGCCAGGCCTGGCAGCTCTCTGAGCAGGTCCACAGCATCTGTGGTGTCAGAGAGCTGCAACGACAGGGCGTTCAAACCATGCAGTTGCTTGAGCGAGTGTAGCTGCCAGGGTTGGTATGAGCAGGTTCGCAGATCGAGGCTATGCAGATTGGGAAAGGCGCTTGCAAGCTGGTGATGCAGAACCTTTGGCTTCAGAGTGTCCTGCCTCAGCCGAACTCCGTCTCGCCAGGCCCTGCAGTGACTTCCTGCTATCAGAAATACATCTCCAGAGATGCAGAAAAGCGATGCCCACTGTAACCGCATTACGAGAGGCCATCCCGGTCGCTCACGATTCTCCCATCCTATATTTACATTGGTGAGTACACCAGCAGGCAAAGGCTGCACTGATCGAGCTACGTCTTTCGAATGGGAGTCCAGAGAAATGACGCCCGATCTACTTTGTTGGGACTGCATTACATCATGCAGGTACTGCATTGGTTGTTTACCCATGACAAAGGCAATGGGCAGGTGTTCTGCACAGATGAAGGGCTCAATTGTGCAGGCACTGGACTCCGAATCATGTAGATAGCTGTTTGTAACGCACCTGCAGGTTTGGCAGACGCTGCCAAGGCTCAGAGCGTCGCTTTCAGGGAACTTCCGCAGTACCTCCGCCAGGAGGTCGGCAGGGAAGGCATCCCAACAAGCGCTCTCCCCTCGCACGCCAGCGGCCATTCGCACGATCGATGTAAAGCTGCTCCTTTCTTTTCGACGATTGTATGGATCTCACCTGCCGGGATGTTTTAAGTCAATCCCGATCTGGTCAAAGGTTCTGGCGTGCAGCCGTTCAAACAAATGACGATGGACCTAGATAGGCTCCACGCGTGAAGCGAGCATGAGGGAATGGGGTAAAACGAGCCTCACAAGTCCAGTAGGAAGTTGCCTCTTGGAACTTGCCAGACTGTTCTCTTCAATTGGGAAGGTGAAGTGATTGGAGAGCGACTAGAAAGTATTTTTGATCGTGAAGTAGGTGCGAGGGTCACAGCGGTTGGGCCTGCCATGGGATCCTTAGTCAGGGGCCTGGTGTTGCTGTCCCTCCTAGCTGCAGCCTCCGCAGCTTCGGTGGAATGGCATGCTGTGAAGGAGCCAGAGCACCATGTCGCTGCTGTGAAGCTCGCAAAGGTGCCTCCCAGACCCCTGCTATCCTGCTACATAGCTGTGAAGTGGCGCCAAGTCTTCTGCGATCAAACAACAAGGATGTGCTATTTTATGACCAGATCTCTGTGACGAGGCCATCAAAGTATATGCTGATGCGAACAGGGAAATCCTAGGGCTGCATTTTCGGATTGGGTGGAGCATCTTCAGAAGGCGTACAAGGACAACGTGGAGGTACGTGATTTAGAATGCACTCTTCCAAGTACTTTGGGTTTCTCGTCTTGCCCTCTTCTCAACTTGTCGTGCTCTTAACACAATATTGGTGTATGTGGTGATGAGTTTCCGATTGTGCATGCAGGAGTATGAGCGGAAGTTCTCCGTTTGGCTGGACAACCTGGAGTTTGTCCACTCTCACAATGAGAAGGACAGCACCTTCAAGGTGCGGCGCGTTATCTGCATAGTCCTCATCAAGACATCATGTACATGTTTGGGCGGTTCGACCGGTGTGCTAGCATCAGGTTGCTTGTTGTCGTTGGATGCTGAGTAGATGCACGTGCCGTTCCTATCTGGTTTTGGGACCTCTTCTCATGTTTCTGTTGGGTGCAGTTGGGCTTGACAAACTTCGCCGACTTGACGCATGACGAGTACAGGCAGCACGCTCTGGGCTACAGGTCTGTTTCCTTGACACTACGCTGAGCGTTCCTTCTCTTGTCCTTGTGCGCTTCCTGCATTATTTTCGGGATTAGGTCGTGCAGTGATTAAACAGCATGCGATTACGAAACTGTACTGCTGCAGGCCGGAGCTGAAGGGAACGGGCTTGGGCACCGGCAAGTCGACGGGTTTCCAGTACGCCGATTACGAGGCACCTCCCAGCATCGATTGGCGCAAGAAGGGCGCCGTGACGGATGTCAAGAACCAGCAGCAGGTAAGCATCATCCGTCCTCATGTCATGCGACGTTGATGTCGATAGTCTCCTGCCGAGATTTCGTGGTGACAGCAACTTCTTGATCTGCATAAGTATTCTGCTCCACTTACCAACTACTGGAAGTATCATGTTGGTCAATCATTGTGCAGTGCGGTTCTTGCTGGGCGTTCTCAACGACGGGATCGGTGGAGGGCGCGAATGCCATTTACTCTGGAGAGCTGGTGTCCCTGAGCGAGCAGGAGCTGGTGGACTGTGATGTCACCCAGGACCACGGCTGCCATGGTGGCCTCATGGACTTCGCCTTCTCTTTCATCATCAGGTGGGGCCGCCATCTTCACCTGCCCCACATGCCCTGCCCTTTCTCTCTTTGCACCAGTTCCCAAGTTGGGCTCCGTCATGCATGTCATTGTTCTCTTGCTAAGGTGCATGCAAATGTGTGGGGCAGGGCTGCATGGCTCTGTAGCTTGGAGGCTGCACAGAGAACACACTGGTCCATTCTTTGCCTTATTTGGAAAAACAGCAATGCTCGGCGACTTTGCCATATTGGTTGCATGGCTGAGGCTGACAATTTGTGTGGCAGGAACGGGGGCATTGACACGGAGAAGGACTACAAGTACAAGGCGCAGGACGGCGTGTGCAACATCGCCAAGGAGAAGCGTCACGTGGTCACCATCGACTCCTACGAGGATGTGCCCCCCAATGATGAGTCCGCCCTCAAGAAGGTGATCTCCCTCCACCCCATCACAATTTTTAACCCGCCCGCAACGGGCTGGGCTCTGTTGACACATGGCAGTGCCCGCCCTGACAAGATGCCATGCACTTGTATCGTCTTCACATCGCATCATGCTGGTGGTAGTGCTGTCTGCATTTTTTGGTGCTCTTAAAACCCTGCTCACTGTGCATCGTCATGCATGCTTGCATGCCTGAGCGAGAGGCTTGCATCAGATGTTTTCCATCGCATGCAACCTGACACATGCTGAGGTTCGTGCATCATGTGCCGTGGCGCATGCATGTCAGGCTTGCATCATTCTGTTTTGCATGAAATCTGGCACATCTGGAGGTGCACGCATCACTTTGGCACGCTACCAGGGCATGGCAAGCTATCAGGGCATGCATGCCTTTGAGGCCTTTAATCAAGAAATTCTTCGCTGCATCCCGTCAGGCATTTGCTGATGTGTGCATGTCATGTGCTGGCAGGCAGCGGCGAACCAGCCGATCAGCGTGGCAATTGAGGCGGACCAGCGCGAATTCCAGCTGTACGCGGGGGGCGTCTTTGACGCGCCCTGCGGAACTGCATTGGACCACGGAGTGCTGGTGGTGGGCTACGGCAGCGACAACGGCACCGACTACTGGATCGTGAAGAACAGCTGGGGCGACTTCTGGGGCGACTCTGGCTACATCCGCCTTGCTCGCGGCATCTCCAACTCTGCCGGCCAGTGCGGTATCGCCATGCAGGTGCGCGCTCCCGGACTTTCTCAGTCTGCCCTATTCACCTCGCATTGGCTGCGCCCTTCTGTCATGATCTCTCTTGGCGCCCTCTTTCTGCGCCGCATGCCCCTTTGCAAGGATGATGAGATGAGAGGAGGAGCACATCTAAGGCTCCTTGGAGGTCGCTTGTCAGAGAACATGCTTCTTCCCTTTGTAATTTAACTGCTTCCATTCAAGCCAGAATGTGTGCGGGAGCCACTCTGTGGATTGGCCATGTTGAATGCAAGAAAATCTGACCTCATTATTCTGTGTGCATGGGGATACCTTCACGCATGCAATGTACTGCATGAAGAGGTACAAAGAATCACACTCATGGCAGTGCATGATCATGATTTTGGCGCGTGCAGGCGTCTTACCCCATCAAGAAGACGCCCAACCCGCCCACTCCTCCGCCGGTGCCGCCCCCGACCCCGGGCCCGCCGTCGCCGCCCAGCCCCAAGCCGGAGGTGTGCGACACTGCCACCAGCTGCCCGCCGGCCTCCACCTGCTGCTGCATGCGCGAGTTCTTCGGCTACTGCTTCACCTGGGCCTGCTGCCCCCTCAAGGTGCGCCTGCCTTCCCACAACCTACCGCTTTCGCAAGTAGGGTGTATATCCTTATAAGGTCGTCGTTGCATTGGCGGTGGAATTGCCACGACCGTACAGGATAGACAAGTCTGATGCATGTTTTGCTGGATGTATGTAGATCCTATGTCTAAGAATTGGAAAATGTGGAATTGTCAAGATAATATCTGTAGTGTGCCATGCGCTTGGCGTTGCAAGGGTGGGCTGGGCTGTTGATCACCTGTTTGCTAGAATGCTTTCAGAAGCCACGTGCCTGGCATTTTGAGTGGTAAAGGCTGGGCCAAGTGTTTTCCCTGTTGAACAGCGTTGATTCAACATCATGGCTTTGTGCCTGGGCGAGTGTCTGCAAGTTCTGAAGGTTTGTGGATTTGAAAGATTGATTGCTATGTGCCTGCAGGAGGCGACATGCTGCGATGACCACGAGCACTGCTGCCCGTCCAACCTGCCCGTGTGCGACACTGTCGCCGGGCGGTGCCTCTCTGGCAACGAGGATGACTGGGAGAGCTCCGTGCCCTGGGTCTCCAAGGTATCATTTCAACTTCCACGAGTCTCCCATCAGCAGGCATAGGACTGCCCAAACGACAATGTCTTCTTCCTTTTGGGCTGTTGAGCCTGAGAAAGGCGAGAAGATGTTGTCGTCTGTGTGTGCGCTGTGGCTGCCGCCTCCCATGCTTTTGCTTGTCACAAGGAACTCTCTGCCTTATGATTCCATCATATCCTGCAGGCAGATTCCTTTCAGAGGATGGGTGTGCTGCTTGATTTCAATTACTGATTTGTATTCATCCTCCCATGCAGGTCGCTGCCAAGAGGACCCCCGGCCGCAGCTGGATCCCACATGTGCCCTTCTGGCGCGAGGCGGAGTATGCCCACAACTGAGCGCCGCCTCAGCTCACCAGCGCACACAGCATCCGTTGATCTTGCGCTGTCTCCAACTTGAGGCACCCGTCTGCAGTTTTGGGGTGGGATGCTGCATGGTGGGCTTGCCAGGCTCTGACCCGGGGGGCTGTGCGTCTGACAAGGGATCTTTAATTTGCAAGCCAGTTGCCTGTCACTTATGAGAGTGTCCAGGCTGGGTGGGCAGTTGGTGGGTGACAGTGGCATAACATTTTTTGATGGCATCTTTAACCAGAGACTGCATCACTGGGCGCCACAGAAATGCCTCAAGAACAGGGTCGGGCTGCACTCCGTTCTGAGTGGCCATGGTTTGCGAGTAGCGAATTTCATGCTGGAGCATCAAGAGCAGGGCGTAGGACGCAGCGCTGCAGCATTGTACATTTGCGTTGTACCAGAGTCTCAGACCACAGTAGGAATTGCCTTTATTGTAGTGTATCTACCCATTGTACAAATTACTGTCCGACCTGCTCGCATGCGTGCGCTGTTGCAGCCATGTGCATTTTGGTTTGTCGCAAGGGCAGTGCCGCGACGCGCCGTAATTTTGTCGGGTCTGGTATTTATGGGTAATCTGCCTGTACACTATGCCGATGGACATGACCTGCACTGACAGGGGCCAGAATTGCTTTCCCGCAGAAATGATTTTCTGGCATGATGGCACGCATGTTTGTAAAGGGACTTGCATTGTATGCTGTACCGCCAATTTTGCATGCAGCCTGATGCTGCAGGAGGCTGTGAAATATTCACAAGACTGCCTAGTAGGCAGGCCTGCATGCTAATAGTAATTCAGCGCGCTACATTTCTTCTGCTTGGTAAGTGCACACAGTCTGATTGAGAATCGGCAATGCTGCCATGCTCTGGCCCTATGTAGGGCCAGATGCAGCGCTGCATTAATGCAATATTGCTGCCGTATGCTAATGTACGAAGATTCTGGTTACATCACCATCTGGGATGAAGCATTTGAACCTGGACGCGCGGTGAAGGTGAAACGCGCGAAAGGGCATGAGCAAGGCGACGCTCCAATCGGTGCACTGCTTTGTCTTCAAATTTATCGAATTCAAGGGGCGTTAACGGGGGAAACGCCTCAGGAATTTGAAAAGCTTCATGTATGCGTAAGGCTGTACATGTGGATCTTTGGAGCTCCCTGGAATTTCTGCACTTACCAAAGACCACTTTCAAGCCGGAGTGATATTACACAGCCCTGCGAAACTGCCTTTGGGTGTGTCTGCCAAAGATGAGGAGATAGCATTTACAGTGCTCTAAAGGAGCCAATCAGGTATGGATGGGACGCTTGTGACCAGTGCCCAGGATTACCAGGGGCAGAAGACAAGTTTTTACGTTTCTACTAGCAAGGCAGCGGTGGTGTCAATCGCCATGAATCAAGCTCAGGGTTTTGACCTCATAGGATGGTGTGACGCTGAAGGGGCGGTGCTCTGGGGCTCTTCCTTAGGAAAGAATTCAAGGCAGTGCTTAGGCTATAGGCTCCCTTTTGGACTTCCACTGCGTCCCGCGAAGGACATTGAGTTCGCCATGTTTTATGCTACGGGTTCCAGAGGTTGTTGAGCAATCACTCAGGCTTCAACCGTTCAGAAGAGAGGGAGAGACGCCCGCAACGCGCACGACCATATTAGAACTCCGCTTGAGGTGTTGGAGTGGCTTAGTTGCATAGTAGCCATCGTGATCGATATCAGCAGGGCATACGCTGTATTCAAACCGTCTCCGGTACTTCGCTTCAAAAACAATTTTATAATTTCTGACTGCTATGCAGGCTTCCGAGGCGTCTGCATCGGACGACCAATTGCGCGACATGCTCAACCAGTCGGAGGGCCTAGGCATGCATGTCGACGCTCACTGCGTGGCTACCTTGGCGCCGCAGCAGGTACTTGATGATGCGAATTGTCTCTGAATTCTCTGACCAAGCTGAGTGCCCAATTGTGCTGACAATGCCACAATGAGTTCGGAATATATACCATGCGATAGACTTCTAAGAATGCGAACGCCAGTTTCGCCAATAGTGTCAGTTCCAGAGGCTCCATCACCACTTCATGATACTCCTGCCCTGTTCTGAGGACAAAGTTTGTGCTGTGGCAGGGCGCTAAGAGCGATGCAGCTGTCATCTCATCGCGGCCAGTCACGCCAGCCATGCATAGCCGGGGTGGTGAGCAGCCAGGCAGCTCTGGTGCAGAGGCGGCACCTGTGGACAACGGCGAGGAGGATGTGGAAGGCTTCATGCCCATGTTTGTCAAGGCAATACAGACCCACCCCTCATTCATGAAGATGATCCAGCAGAGCCTGAGGACCCTGCCCAGGGAAACACTGGCAGCAGCGCTGCAAGGCAGGGACCCAGAACCTCAGGATCCTCCGCCACAGGCCAGCCCACCTCCACCAGCAAACACAACACTGCAGGCCAGCCCTGCGCCTACCAGCGAGGTTGCGCAACCGCAGGAAAGGCCAGCCAGCTCGCAGACATTCACCCAGCAGCTGCTCGGAGAGGAATCCCCGCTGTTGTCATCCCCCGCACCCGCGGCCGGCCCTGACTCCGCTGGCATGCTGGGGAGCCTGCAGCAGGCAGGCCCCAGGCTGCAGATGCCAGTGCTGCCGGCCCCGCAACAGCACATGCAGCTGCCACCGCAGCAGCCGCAACAGCGGCAGATGCTGCCTCCACCGCAGCAGCAGCAGATGCAGCAGGTACCGCAGCGGCTGACGCCCATAATGCAGGGGCAACCCCAGGGGAGCACTGGAATGCCTTTCATTCCCGGGCAGCCGCAGCAGCAGCGCTGGCAGCTCAACGTCGCCATGCATCCGCGGTCGATGCCCACTGCACCGATCATGAGCCGCCCTGTCGGGGCCGGCCCGCCCGCGCAGCCGTCCATGCAGGCCGCCGGAGGCAACCCGCACCTGCCGCCCGCCCAGCTGGCGGCGCTCGCCTTCGCTCCCCAGCGCATCCACGGGAGGTACGGGACAGCGCCGCAGCCGCAGCCGTACGCGCGCCCGGGCCAGCCGCCGGCCTCGGCGCCGGCGGCGTTGGCTGGGCCGCCGATGATGCGGCAGGTGCCGTTCATCCTGCCGCGCGACGTGCCGCCGCCGCCGCCGCGGCCGCCGGCTGGGCCGCCGATGTCCCACCGGGCCTTCCAGGAGCAGGAGCGCGAGTTTGAGGAGCGCGAGTTTAACGAGAGGATCAGCGAGGAGCGTGCGGCGCGGCAGATGGCTCCTGTCGAGCGGCGGCGTGCCCCAACCCCGACCCCGGAGCGGCCTGAGAGCGCGCGCATGCTGGTGACCGCGCTGGCCGACGTGGCCGTCGCCGGGGGGTCTGCCCCCGGGGCCCCCGAGCAGGAGGGGGATGACCCAGGCGCCACCATTGGCGAGGCGGCCGCCTCCTCGGAAGTGAAGCCCTGCAAGTGCAAGAAGTCGCGCTGCCTGAAACTCTACTGCGATTGCTTCGCCACTGGTGCGCCATTCTATGCGCTCATGATGTTCACTGCGTTTCAAGCTCACCTGCTTGGCATGATTGTGTCAGGCCTGCATGTTTCCCTCATGACGACTGCTTGCAAGTTTTGAAAGTGAACAGTGCATCCCACCTCTTTATCTGATGATATTGCATTGTTGCCTGTTTCCATGCTGTCACGGTTGTGCCCATGTCAGACTTGGTTCATAGGAGAGGGCCTGCGCTGATTGCTCGGTTCTATCTGCTGGCGCAGGGCTGTTCTGCAACGACGCGTGCATGTGCAAAGACTGCGAGAACCGCACCGACACGCTCAACGCAGTGTTCAAGGCGCGCAAGTTCATCATGGTCAAGGACCCCACCGCCTTCAAGCCGAAGGTCACTCGGGTAAGGAACTTCCCCCAACTCGTCTTTTCTCTCCATCTGAATCTTAATATCAGCCTACATATAGCCTCTCTGCGGGGATGTGAAGCTCTCATTGATAGACCCTCCGCTTGTAATGCCTCTTCTGCGGGATTGATAGCTCTGAAAGGTTGCGTTCCATGTTGAAGCATGTTTTGTGGGATACATAAATTAGTAATGCTGCAACCAACAGGTGCTGGACGCCAGCGGGGGCCATGTCAAGGGCTGCGCCTGCCGCAAGTCGCGCTGCCTCAAGAAGTACTGCGAGTGCTTCCTCGTCGGCGTGCGCTGCACCGACTCGTGCAGGTGCGCGCACTCTCCCACATACCATTACTCAATCGTGCAATTGTTCAAAGATTGGTATAAATTGAGTCATCTGAGTATGGTTCCTGCCTGCCCAAAGTAGCCTGGAAGGAACACCCCTCCTTTGCATGCATGGCTGTGCTGCACCCAATGCTTTCGGAGAGTGCCAGGATATGCAGTGGTCCTCCCGCTCTTAGAGACAGTTGCTCTACCTTGTAGTGAGCTCTTTACTGAAGATGGCTTGCCAGCTCCTGAGAAGTCAGCAAGGGACTGCCCAGCGGTTTCCTGACAGCTGCATGTGGCTATCCCTTATTGACAAGGACAAGTGTTTGCAGGTGCGTGGCCTGCCTCAACAATGGCACGGACTCATCAGACATGGGGGGGACAGGTGGTGGCGAGCAGGTGCCGGTCTCAAGCTCCGTGCATTCCCATGCACAGCACGCCTCGCAATCTGCTCCATCACAGCACCCTCAGGTGGGCACCTGCCCTGTCACTCCCCTTTATCCAGTTTGCTTGCTGTGTGCATTCACCGTCCTTGTGGGTCTTGCCTGTCTTGAGAGGGCCTTGAATGTCAGGCACTGACATGACTCATACATGTACGGTGGATGTGCTGCGTGTCATGGCATGGCACCAGCACAGCTATGTGTAGCTTTGCATTTTGGAAAACAAGCGTTCACACAGAGGTGATGTTGAATGGATGAATTAAGTTATGTTCAATGTGATTCAATGTGTGCATTCAGAGCACACCTGCCGGGGCCTCGGGGCAGCCAGTGCAGTCGCGCCAGAGCGCGCCTTCCGGAGCGGGCTTCAGCCGCGAATTCACCCTGCAAGCCACAGACTCCGCCCACCTGCCAGTGACCGATGATCCCATGGTCCGCACCTGATCAGGCATACATGACAGTTGCTACAAAACCCTGCATGTAGCAGCCTCATGTCAATCTGTCTTCTCGGTCATGAGGTGTAGCTTCAGGTCCACTGGATACCAATGTGTAGAGATGTCAAGCCTTGGTGCCTTCTGCACTGAAATGGTCCAGAGATATTAACTCTCAGTGTCTCCTGCACATACTCAAGCCTCTAGAGCTTAGATCAGGGTCCTGTCAAGAGTGCCAGGGTTGTTTTCTGCTTGCCCCGCTGTGTGTCCCCCTGCAGGGCACAGGGTGAAGGTTCACAGAGAGCGCGGTTTCATGGTCTGAGAGGAGGAATTGTGTTGTGCAGGGTGGGTGGGGCATTCCGCGCCAGGGCAGGTTTGCAGATGAGGACAGCTTGGCATCAGCGCTGCCGTCTCGGGCGTCCATGGCCATGAAGCGCCCTGGACTGCCCATCTGGAACTCTGTTGGCCAGCAGCTATCCACTGGTGTGCAGAACCTCACCATGCTCCATACTTACTCACCTGCTCTTATCATTCATCTTGATGCTCACATCCTGTTGCCAAATCAAGAGTGACAGGGCGCAGTGTCACAGTAGAGTGCCCTTGCAACTGTTGACTGTTGTGCTATTTCAGAACAAGGAGATTGCCGTGCACTAGTGATGAAGAGCCACAGTGCCCGATTGGCCTCCAAATCAGGTGCCAAGTGGGCCGATCGGGAGTACCTTCATGCATCACAGCAGGCGTGCACCAGCGTTCAGCTGAAGAGCTGAAGTAAACGGATGTGTCCTGCGCAGGCCGGCCGACAATAGCGGGGGCGCTGCTGCAGCAGAACATGTCGGCGCTGATGACCGAGGTGAAGGGACAGGCAGCGCAGGCGGCTGTCGGCCGGTCCGAGGCGGACGGCGCCGAAGAGCCCGATGCGTACCTGGAATTTGCCGAAGACGACGAAGCAGCTCCCCTGGATCAGGGGATGGAAACCGAGGAAGAGGAGCCCCTGGACGAGGAGGATCTGATGGCGGACATGGACATTGGTGAGAGGTGCTCGGCGTGCGAGCTGCCGCCGGCCGACTCGGCGGAGGCGAACGAGGCCGACGAGCCGGTTCTCCTTGATGACGACCCTGATGCAGCCGATGACGCAGGTGCGCGCAATTGTTGATGTTCCTCTCACCAGCCCAACAGGCTGGTTAACAACACCAGCTTTGTTGTTGTGCCCGCAAGCATGATTGCTGAACATGTTTTGGAGACGCCGTCATGTGACAAGACATTCGGCTCTGCACCCCGACGCCGCACTGCAGGTCCCTCCTCATACCTAGTATGAAGGATATAAGCGGGGGTTGTGCAGGGCGCGAGCAATCCTTCAAACAACGGCTGACGTGGACGGCTGCGGTGATGCAGGTGATGTGGAGCCGCACGCGCAGGGCAAGTCACCGCCGGCGTCAATCACGCACCCGTCCCAGCTGGTGCTGCCGGAGGACATGGATATGGCTGACCTGGCGCCAGCTGGGGGCCGTTGCGCGACGCGGCGCTCGGAACCCGGCAAGCGCGCGGCCACACCAGAGCGGCCGCAGCGGCGCAGCCGCCGCGCCGCCAAGCGCGAGCGCGCATCCGACTCGGACTCCACCGGCTACTCTGGAGGGCGCAGCACCGACGTGCGCACCCTTCTGTTCTTGCCTTTTTTCCCTGAGGTGCCTGCTGATTGCATGATTGCTGATTCAAGCTGGATATGGTCCTTGCCTTGCGGGCAGCTGTCCAGGATGGCTTGACCGAAGGATGTTGGCGACCTCTTTGCTGTATTTGGGGACCTTGAGACTTTCTCAGGCATCCCCCTTGTGAAAATGTATGTAAAGGGATATTTGCTGGCATCTGGAGGCTCTCAAACAGGGAGCACACAGGACTGCAGCATGTGCGCTGTTTCAAGCTGACCGGGCGTTTCTTGTCACTGCAGGACGTGTCGACGGAGCCCATAATCCGCACACGCAGGGCGGCCGCGCGAATGGAGCAGGAGGTGGAAGAAGAACAGGCGCTTCACTGGGGCGTGCGCAGGAAAGTGGTCATCAAGTGAGCACCCTCCCAATCGTCCTCCATGGAAGGCCCATGTGCTCCGCAATCTCAGCATTTCAGTAGGAAGGCAATGTGTAAAAGTGCCGGCCAGATATACTGTTTCCCAACCTGAGGCAAGAACTAGGCACTCCTTGATATGAAGCAGAGATACCGCCCATGTCGTTTGCACTCCATGCAGCCTCTGTTTCCATGCAGTGCTGCAATTCTGCATTACTCGGCAAGCCATCTTGCGGGCCCGGCTGCCGCCAACACAACTGCATGCACCATTGCCTCCTTTGTAGTCAGCATCCCACTGGACACCTTCTGAAAGTCGAATCTGAAGTTTGTTTTGCGTGCGCCGCAGCCGTCTGCCGGAGGCGTGGAGGGACCCGCCCCCACAGCAGTGCGTCCTGGAGCCTGCACCATCGGCATCCAGGCCTATTGAGCACTCGCCCTCCCTGCCTGGCTGCGAAAGGGTCCTCACCGAGGTACGGCCTGCCGACACCTGCCAGCATGTGCCTTGGATTGAACATAGGGGTAATCAAGGAGTTGCTCTTTGATTACTCCTAGTGAACAGGTTGAGCCCTGTTCACTGTGTGCGGCGCTGGTCAGCGCCAAAGACACACTGAGCTTTGCCGTTGGGCACCAAGTGCATTTCCTTTCGCTCTGGCCTTTACGGGCCTTCACAGAGGCGTGGCGCCATTCCTAATGCTGACCTGTGAAGCAGTGACAATGCCATGGTTGCAAGTCATGCTGGCTCTGGTACAGTCTAGAAAGGTCAGGCTTGTCTTCCAATTCCCTGTCTTGATGGCATCTTACTGGATGACGATAGGACTCATCAGGATAAAACCTTGTTCAATATCTGGGGTAGTGCTGAATATGGGAGATCTGCCTGCCGCAGATGCAGGTGACCCGCAACGCTCACAAGCGCGCATTGGCGCCTGCCGGGAAGCCGGTAGAGGGCATGCCACGGGCCGGGGCCTCGCCGCCAAAACTGGCGCGCTGGGCGGCAGCCGCCCCGCAGCTGGACGTGAAGCTGGAGGAAACTGAGTCGGACGCCGCCGAAGTGCTGCTGTCGTTTGTCTGATGCGTGCTTGTGCAGCGCTGATCAGATGCTTTGCATGCACCTGCAAGCAGAAGACAGGAAAACAGCACACAACCCTTGCGGCCTCAATTGCATGCTCGGATGAGCATGCTAGACAATGTGCTAGGGCGGGCCATTTGTGCAGGCGTAGGGTGCACAGCACAGTGAAAAGGAAGGCTGGCAGGTCACCTGTAGGGCACCTGTACAGGAAGGGCCATCACAGGGATAAAAAGATCTGCATAGAATCAGAAAAGAATCGCCGCTGGGACTCTGATCTGCACTCCTCTCTGCAGTGCACTTGGTGGCGTGCCACTCCGGCCCTTTGCTTGTGAGGGCGGCCGTGCACCAACATTAGAATCTGATCACCAGTTTGGTTGGCACCAGGTCAGGTGGAAAATTCGTTGCAAGGAAGAAAACATTCTGCCGCAAGGACCTTGTAGCAGGCATTGTGGGGCATGCAAAGTGGGACCCACCCAGGAGGTTTGAATCCTCCCAAGAGTCGCAGCTTTTCGCCTTTTTAGAGCGATAGAGAAGGAGGAAGAGATCACTTCTATTGCTTGGACGGGTACATGGTCTGGCGAGGCCCAAAGGGCCTGCCAGGGAGATCTCATGCGTCAGCAGACAGCTTATTCACTTTCACTTGGGTGTCTGTGGACAAGGAAAGGATGAAGGGGGCATTCACATGTCAAGTTTTCATCAATAGGAGCCAGCCGATGAAATGAGGCGCAGCTCACTGCACGGATCCGGTGTGTCTTTGGGGCCCGAGATTCTCTCACCAACCCATTGCAAGGTGAGGGGTTGTGACATTAGAAAGTCAGCACACCACACTTAGGCTGCTTTTTTCCATTACCCGGTGGAGCAGGATGCTTGACATCCATGCCGAGCCGGGAGCAAATGCCGCGCATAGATTTTCCCAGTTTGTCAGGGCTTTTTGCAGCTGCCAGCAGTTTTCTAGATTGATGACTACGGTCAGCCCAGAAGCACATCAGCCCTTTTATGCAAGCTGTGTGTCAGCTTCGCGTGCAAAATGTTCCAGACCAATCTCCGGGTCAGAAACAGGCGCAGGGAACAGTCCCGTATGCATGCATGCGCAGAGACACATTGTTTTTAGATGTGAATAATGCCTGCTCGTTAGAAAATTTCGTTTGCAGGCTTTTCCAGAGTCACTATGGGTGTGTCCATGGCTTCCTCCTGCAATTGGCCCAGTGTTTCTTGTGCATGCATGCTAGCAAGTGGCCTCAGAAGAGCAACTGCCAAACTGTGGCTGCCAAGAATGCTGAAGGTCAAAGGGCGGAGTTGAGTTGCAAAAGCGATAGGCAGGCCACTGTTGCTGACTTCACCTAGATGTCTTGTCGTTCTAGCCTGAAATGCACATATGCTGGGAAAAGTATCAGTGCAAGACAGATCAGGTCCACACTGATGCTATAGCTAGTAGATGTTGTGCAGATTGGATGGGCACAGTCAGCGCCAGCTGCAAAGTGTGCAGCTGCGTACAAACTGTGCAAAGCTGCTGCGACGTTGTAAATAATCTTTGTGAAATTGCATATACACGGCACTGGCATGACAGAGCACATGATCCCAGCAAGGCTGTGTATTTGCAGTCGCGTGACTGGAATAATCCTGCAAGCAGGAATGTCAGAATCCAAGGCAGTGTAGATCTCACAATGCAAAGGGATTAAAGTCTTTTTGGGCGCATGGTTCTCTCAGTCCAGATTTTTACAAGGTTACGGATATTGCACCGACACCACACTGTTCTGCTAGGAAGGACGACTCACTGATTCAAAAATATGCTTGCAACACTTATCAGATGCAGCAATTGAATGCGCCCACTGCTGACATGCTAAGGAATTCAGACTTTGTTTTGGGGGTTCAACTTTTCTTCCCACTCACATTTTTCATGCATGCTCTGCGCGTCTTTTTGCAAGGATACTATCGGCTGGGCCTTCATGCATACTGGCAAAATCGGACAGCACAAGCATCTGCTGGTCAGTCAGACATCAGATTCAATTGGGTGCATATCACACAGTGTGTAAAATTGCTCCGTGTTCTCTACATGTTTGTCATAGTCACAGCTGTATTTGATCAAACTTTGAAGGCGGTTGAATTTGAATTTGAATTTGAATGTGTGCTGTCAGGACTTGGGGGCCTGCTGCGCTGGAGCGCTGTCCCATCCGTTGGCCTTTCCCCAGCGGTACATCTCCAGCAGCTTCTCCTGAAACTTCCCCGCCGCATTCAGCTCCTCATACACCTGTGCACAGAACAACGATCAGTTACAGGATGACTCTTATTTGCTTTGCAATTTGGCAGTGTGACTCTGCACTCGAGAACCATGTTTCTGCCGGCATAGCTGGCCAGTCTTCGTCTCCACGAAGGAAACATGTGCCAGTGCTGTTGCGGCTCTGCATGTAAACTGTCATTATGCTCGATTTTGCCAAGCTTTGTGGGTTGCAGCAGGCCCGACGTCTGGCACGCAGTCACTGTGTGCTGGAATGGAGAGAGCGGAGGTAGCGCTGATCATATGTGCCTGGAAGAGGGACAAATGAAAATGTGTTCACAAAGGAGGGGTGTCTTGCGGTCCCGCCTGGAACAAGGACATGCAACAATGTGTTCAAGAGGGGCCAGAAGCGTGGCAGTCGTGCCTGGAAGAGGGAGAGCGCGGTCCGGCTACATTTACAACGCCTACATTTAAAACACTCAGCCCTAATTTCAGGTCTTCACATAATCCTGTTATTATCAAGGGAGCAGCGATTGCGTGCCTGGAAGAGGGAGAGGGCGGTGCGCGCATCGACGACAGAGTCGTGGGTGTCCTGCTGGATGGATGCGCGCAGCAGGTAGCCCGCCAGGAAGCGCAGGCTCAGCTTGCGCTGGCGCTTGAAGTGGAACAGTTCCACCGTGTCAACCACCTGGGAGACAGCACAGGGTCCACGGGTTTTACAAGTCTGCGCAAAGGTGCAATCACATAATATGTGCCTCTGTGACTGGTGGGCATCCCCAGTGATTACACACCAGCTGGGGGACAGCTGCAGATGTGCTCTCTGAACCTTTTGCAGAGAAATCATGCAGGGCGAATTTGCTGTAAAGCGCTTCTGGTCTGTCAATCTGCTTATGCGCATGGCTGCTTCCTGGGCTCCAAAAAGGAGCATCCCAGTGTCTTTTGCTCATCGTGCATGCTATGTACGAAGAGCAGCCCAGAGCAGAGCAGAGCGGGGTCATATCTGCGTTGGTATGGGAGCCAAGAGGCAGATGACTGGAGAGCAAGTGCTGCCAAAATCTTCCTGAGAGAGCAGATTGAGCAAAAGTTAGCCACCTTTGCTCGACCAAATCACCTCAGGAACTTTAAGCATCAGCTGACGTCCTTTCACCAGCTGATCATGCACACCATATTTGCCTTCCTATTCGCTGCTGCCATGAGTCACTGCTATCCTGCAGACTTTTGTAAGGCCCAAAATGTGGCTGCAGACGCCCTGTGTGTATGCCATATGTCCTCTGGCTTTGAATTTACCGAACTGCACAATAAACATGGCCCCGGCTGGCGGGGGGCGGTACAAATACCGAGCACCGTGCCCACGGTTGATTGGGTCTTGCTTGGATCTGGCGAGTCCATCAAGGGGTAGGAATATGGCAGCCTTTAACTGCAGCTTGTCTGCAGGACGCACCTTGCCTCTTGGCAGGGAAATCGTGTAATAAAATAATAATAATAATTTTTATTATGACAAGGGGGGCAGAGAAGGCGCACCTGTGCGGGGGGCACGAGGATGTTGAGCATGCGGAAGTCCTTCTTGAGGCCGTGGCCAACGAAGATGGCGCCCGCGTCGATCAGGTAGCGCAGTTTGAGGTAGGCCGCCTTGTGGGTGGTCAGGTGGTGGCGCGACTGCGCCGGGTCCAGGTCACCTGGCACCTGCCATGTCAGCTGTATGACTCAGCACTGACTCAAAATTTTCTTTTGTCATCATTGCAACTGTCTTATTGTTGCCGCATAATGTTCATGTGCCGCAGTTGCCTCTGGCGCTTGCTCTGCCTTGATGCCTGCATCTCTCCTTCTCTAAAGTGATTGGTTCTCTATTGCCCAGGTCAGAGCTCTGGAACATGGAGCAGACCTCTGAAGAGAAACCTCACAACCAGGGGACCGCCTATCAGCCACTGTTCGAAATTGCAAAGTCGGCGGGCAACAGTGACCACAAATGACAACTTCGAAGGCGCACAGCAGTGACAAACGAGAGCCAAGCCAGAGGATGACATCATCATGACATCATGAGTTCAAGAAGCAAGAACAAGCGCTCACCAGGCCGCTCCACTTGGTAAGGTAGTCGAAGATGGGCTCGGTGGCGCGGATGTAGTCGTCGATGCATGCGCGGCCGGAGAGGGGCCCCTGCCCTCGCACCACACTCACCCGCCCCAAGCCCAGCCGCGACGGCCGCGTCTCCACCTCAATCCCCCTGCACAATTATTTAGATTCCCTGGAGGGGATTCTCTGTGGTGCATGTGAGACTAACATGACCCACCCAAAGTGAGCAATCTATTGCATGACATGCAAAGCAGGGAATATAGAATCTATTCCTGGCTCGGGTCACTTTCTGTTCATTATGATCAAAGGGCCGGGGCGTGTTGCACGGGTGCATATAGACTCTATGGCAAGGCAGCCCTGTCTCCTTCCGCGGCATTCGCAATGACTAAGCCTGATACCTCTCTGCTTGAACCCCCCAGCCCCGCAGGGCTTTGGCACCAATCTGTCGGGTGCTGGCCCGTCTTATTTCTAGGTGTCTCCAAGCTGAACACATTCCCTAGGAAAACTTGATCAGCACGATCATCCTAAAACACCAGCAGATTCTCAGTGTTGAAGGAGTCTCCGGTGAATCTGGATGCTGGTTTGCAATATAGTACGCACCATCAAGGACACTTGTTCTTTGATTCAGGATGAAAAGAAGGTCCACATAGCATGAGATGGGCTCTTGGACTTGATTTGCCCCCATGCGGTGTACACCTCCCTGACCCCCTGGTTGAGAACCCACGCAATCTTGATGGTGCGCACTGAAGATTTGTGATATAATTAATTGTTCACCTACCCTCGCATGACCTTGTCCGGGGGCGAGTGCGCGACGAATTCCGTGTCGATGCCCAGCAGCGTCCCCGGCTTGACCTCCTCATCCGCTCCTAGCGGCTTGAATATCGGCGACTTGAGCCGCGCCGCCGCCGGGGACTGCAATTAAAGCAACAGATTTTCAATCAGATCTAAGTGCATCATTGCGCCACTCATACATAAAGTGGTGCATTCATTCTGCAAACATAACGTCCCACTGTGAGGAATACCCAATAGGGAGTCTTAGGCCGGAACAAAAAGAAGCCTGTCCTCCCCAAAGTGGCAAGAGGGTGTTTGGATGCCAGCATTGCAGAATTGGACCACATGATTGATCCAAGGATGCAAGAGAGATGCCAGATGGAAAGGGCGACCAGGTCAAAAGCCAAGCACGGAAAAGGGCGATGGACAGAAAGATACCCATATTTTCCTGTGCATTGTCTCCTTCAGCATGTGGCATTTGCGTTGGTTTCCCAGTCCATCTGGCAACTGGGCCGCCAGAAAGTGCTGGACGAAAGGCCCATTGGGGCGCCGACAACCATGACAGTTGTAATTTTGCATCCCTCAGACATGTCTGTACGCCACATGACTCACCTGCAGAGGGGGCGCGTTGCAGAGCTGGCAGAAGGATTCGAATGACAGCACCGGCGCCTGCTCTGGCATCATTGGCAGCTGAGCAGCCGCCTGGATGCTGTTCACCTGCATGCAACAAAAAGTGTATCTTCTCACTGAATGCTGTGTTCACCAATCCATGGAATTATTCAACTGTGAAACACAAAAACAGCGCGCACCATGTATGCAGTCTCACACACGCTGCAATATCCCGCGATTCCTTGCTAGATGCATTGCAGGGCCGGGCCTCGCCTTCGAGAAGTAATGCTGTAAACAGAAGTTATAGACAAGTCGGAAAAAATTGAGAGGGGCGTGCCTGCTTGTAGTAGAGGAGGCAGGGAACCTTCTGCAGACCGTACAGCTGAGTCACCTCCGCAGCGTTCGTGGGTGTCACGCAGAAGTCGTTGAACAGCAGCCAGTTCGCGCGGCTCTGGGGCGCCACTCCCGCGGCGTTGCCTTTTCCCAGCGCTATTAGCGGCAGCGGTGGACTCCCCTGCAACTCCAGCGGCCCGCTCGCATCCCCCTGTGCAGCAGCGCAGATGGGGAACTTGTTGCTACTGCTTTGCTGCTTCATCCCTGATAATGCATAAATTTTCCACAGCTCGGACTCCAAACATGAGAGGATGACAGGTGCAAGCAGCCCCCCCCACTCATGCAAGACATCTCTCCAGACAACCCTGGCAGCTCAGAACGGGTCATCCGCTGAGAGCTGTCACAGCAAATAATTTACAGGGATGACTCATACCTGATTCGATGCCTCTTGGCTTGCCGCTAACGGCTCCGCCGCAGGGTTGGCCGCAGCGGCGGCGTCGTCGCTGCCCGGCCGGGCAGCTCCAGGCAGCGAGCCGCTTCGCGCGGCCGCGATCGCCGCCGGCTCCGAGCTGCGATCGAGCTCCAACCCCTGTATCTTCACTGTGACCCCGGCGTCTCCGTCTGCTGTGCTCGCCTCCGCTGCATTGCCAACATCGGCTGCCTTGCTGCTCTGCTCTGGAGAGAACTTCTCCCCGTCAGCGATATCGATGTCTGCTTTCGTGCCGTTCAGCTCTGCAATTTCTGAAAGCTCTGACGCAACCGCCGCGTCGGATGACAGACTGAGCACTGGTGCTTCAGCTGAGCTGGGACCATCTGTCGTCTCACGCGCCGGGCTTGCAGCTCCTTGATTAAGCAACGACTCTGACTCCTTTCCTGCAGCCCCAGTGTTGTTTGACTGTGCGGCAGAGCCTGCATCCTCGGCTGCGGCTGCAGGCATGTCAGGCTCCACGGTGGAGGCGTCGAGTCTCCCGTCTGTTTTGACCGGGGAGGCAAATATCACACGGTCTGCGGCGCTGTTCTGCGGGGGCGAGAGGCTCAGCCGTGAGGCTGGCGCCGGGCGCGCGCGGCCGAAGCCGATCGGCAGTGGGGACGCCCCCGGAGACGAGACGTCGGCCACGTCTGGCAAAAAGCCCCGGCCAGGCTGCACATACGGCGGCAGCACCTGCGCCAGAACAGGCCCTGTTTCATTTAAATTCATAATCAAATCCATTTTCAAAGCACAATCTCACCGCTGCAAATTTCAGAGGGATCTGCTATTTAAGGACCCCAAAACTGCCAAAAGGACCAGGGTCATACCGTCAGCCCTTCAGAGGTAATGCCACACTTGTCGATACTTAGTTACCATGTGATGCCAGAGGGTTGCACTTTCTTTTGAGATTTTCCTCTTGTCATGTATGTATATAGGCCGGACCTTGATGTGCGCAACAATGTGCCCCTCGTCCTCGATGGGTTCCTTTTTCCCCTTCCCCTTCTCCTTCGCTCCCCCGTCCTCCAGCACGTGCGCCACCAGCGCCGTCAGCTCGTACACCGCTCGGGCGCTGCCGCTGCCGGAGGGCGGCGTTCCCTTTTCTGCAGTTGTTGCCTGTTCTGGCAATGCTGACTCATCTGGTGAGTCATCCGCTGGGGTCGCCAGGTCCGCGGCGTTGTCAGCCTCCCTCACAGTCACCTGCGCCCGCATGGCAGGAAAGAACCTCAGCCAGAAAGACGATAACAATCTGGGCGCTATGGATGCCTATCACGGCAGATCAATGCCAGTGGACACGATAAACAGGTTTTTACCGGAGCTCAGGTACTGTAATGCCCTCGCAGTGTCTCAATTTCAGTGTACAGCTTGATAGGAGGGCTGCAAAGACAGGCTTGCTCGGAGCAATGCAAGACATAAGAAAGTCCACGACCGGAGCATTCATTTTCTAGCACAACAGACATATCACACAAGAGATTCTGGGATGGCAGGGCAGTACCTCGGAGGTGAGGCAGTTGGAGGTGACTTCGATGGCCCAGGGGAGCCAGGCAGAGGAGCGGCGCCTAGGGGATTTACTGCCGCTGTAGGGCTGCCACCAGACCAGGTCAGCTGTGTCCAGCAGGCCCGAGCTCACCACCAGCACCTGTCAGGGGGCGTGCCCGTCAGTTTGGGGAATCTGGAGAAGTCATGCCATCTATTTTGAGTCATGGCAAGGCGGGATCTCGGAACACGCAGTATTCTCGCCCATCTGCCAAGAGGAACAGCACATGGTGAGCGACAAGGGGAGCCTGCATTGGAGCACGAGTAAACCAATGAAATTGCATATTTTAAAAACAAGAAGTCCACAGCTTGACCTTTAGATCCTTGCAAATATGTCAAGGGCGTGGGCTAGAGATAAATGTGATAGGGTAGGCAGAGATCCGCAGCAGCTCACAAATGTTGCTATATAATATTATAAATAAAATAGATAAAATATTATCTGCATGGAATCATCTGCATGAGCAGCAAAGCAGCTCAATAGCAGTTGCAAGGAGGGTGGGCAGGCGAGCACGCACCGTGGGCAGCTTTTTGGGCAGGCGCTGCTGCTGCACATGCTGGTACTTGAGCCGGTCGTCAAACCACGCGCGCATGTCAGCCGTCGGCTTCAGTGAAGCTGCCAGCAGCTCCGAGAAGCTGGGCCGCACCTGCACGCAGAGGAAATCCAGTTTCATTTGTCACCATTTGTCATCACGGCCATTGTAAGGCCTACTCATCAACCCATTCCCGCCTGCCAGCTGGGTAACACGCTAGCACCACGTGGCCCTAAATCAGGACTCCCAAGCTGACTGCAGGCATCCACATTACGCCGTCCAGTAAAAATTTCAGTTATGTTGATAATGTTAGTCATCGACAGACACATGCAGGATTCCTTTCGGCTCTGGCATGCCCCTGAAAATCCTCACAGTTACAGATCTGCACGAATATCAGACGCCTCCACTGATAGAAATTAGTAGTCTAGCATCGGTGAAGGTTGTCAGAGACGTAATCAGAGCTTCTAGAACCTCATATGTACCGGCCGAATGCTTTCATTAGCGGAATCTACACACCAAATAAAAAGTGTACAATACCTGATCGGGCGCCCACAGCGGCATTGCGGCGGCCTTTGGCGCATCGCCGGGCCGGAAGGATAGCGGCTGCAGCGCGGTGGTGCCGCCTGAGCCTGTCGGGCGTTCCTTGGCCGGCGGATACTGCAGCTCCACCTGCAGCAGCGCACGCAGCCGCTCCCATGAGTGAGTGCTCACCCTTCGACAGGTTTTCAATACATGCATTTCAGTATTCAGGGCATGAACGGATGACGATTGCCATCATCATGACAGAACCTGCTGGAGCATTACCCGATACATACTAAGCTCTAGGAGACTCTAATGTCAATTGGAACAGAGCCTGAAGCGGGCAAGTGTCTTAGTAGCCAGTCAAAGAGCACGCATCAGCCGACACAGATGGAAATGCACGACCTCTTGTATGGCCCCAATAGGACTATAGCCTCACAAGTTATGCAAAAATCAAGAAGCCCACCTGGAAGGAGAGGATGTCCTGGGTCGTCTCGGCCTTTTCCCCGTACAGGCAGCGGATGCGCTGCTGCATCAACACCCCAAACAGGCCGTCCAAACCCGCCGCCGTTTGCTCCGGAGACGGCCACCCGACATCCTCCGCCAGTCCTACAACTTCTTCGCCCCATCCATCCACCTTACTACCCTTGCTGATTAGATCCGCAGCCTGATCAGGCGCGGGTCCCCCCGTGCCGCCACCGTCGCCCCTAGGCCGCCGTCCCGCGGCGTCCCCATCGGCGGCCTCTTTAGGCTGCGGGGAATTCTTTGCCGCTCCTTTTTGTTGCTGACCTGAAAGGGGTGTACCGGGCGGCGGCTGGGATCTGCGCTGGGCTAGCTCGCTGCGCAGGCGTTCCAGCAGGAATCGCTGCAGCGACTGCACCCGCCGCGGCAGAGACTTCTCCTTGTTCGTCTCCACCTGCGCGCAGCATAGCAAGAGTTGGACATTGTTGAAATAGCATCCAAAGCGGTACCTCAGACAGTCAACGAGGATGAATTGCTGTAAGGGGATCAGCTACCCCAAACATGTTTGTTTCAGGCGTCAACGCTATACAAGGCGCAGATGGAAGCCAGCAATGCGACAC